AGCTGAATGATGCAGATTCAGAAATACTCAAAAGTCAAAAACTGTTGAAAACAACCCAACAGAGGTTCTCCTTGTTTTTGTTTTTTTTTCATTTGTAACATACTTTGTAACTCTTTTTCTGTATTTGTTATATACATGCGTTATTTCCAAGCAGTAACCTCTGGTCTTGAGAAATGAAGTCAGAGCGAAAGTACCAAAAACTGCAGTTTCTTGAGTGTCTACTTGAGGCTGACTCCAAAAGCCCTTGAGGCCACAACCACATCCATTCAAATTTGCTGTGCTTCATGTTTCAACAGTGATGGCTGTTGTTTTGTTTTGTGCACAATCAAGGCTTCTAATGAGAGAGTGGAAAAATGAAAACGAGATAGACTTATAGGGGCTGGAAGAGACTTACTTGCTAAAAATGAACAGGTTAGAAAGAGTGACCCAGTATGCAAAGTTGTGGCAGATTTTCTTGAGATGCTTATCTAGTTATACGATCTACCAACTAGTAACGACCGCACGATAGCTAAACACAACTTTCCCACTCTCTTCCAGCAGTCGCTTGTTTGTAGGGAGACCATGGACGAGTTGATCACAGACTGCTGCGGGGTGACACAGCTCAAGGAAGAACATTAATGATCTATCTTTATCATTTCCATGAAGTAATAATCATCATGATAATCATTTCACTGCAGACGCGGTAGTTCTTCTGCCTTAGCGTCTCAGCCTGATTGCATTTTCCAAGTAATAATCATAAACTTCCTTCTTTGAGCTGCGTAACCCCCCTGCACTCAGTGATCGTCAGGGCTCCCCCCACAAACAAGTGGCTGCTGGAGGAGAGTGGGTGAGTTGTGTTTGGTCTCTTTGCGAAATGGATTAGGCAAAGCTAAAAAGATGTTTGATGGCTAGAACTGTGGCTGGGACCCTACATGTACTGTTGATGAAGTTAGGTGCTGTTCTGAGAATTATTTGTGGCTATAGAGTGGCATTTTGGTTGAGGTTAGCGCATGGAGATGTAGACCGCTGTGTATCGCTATCGTGTGGTCGTTACTAAAGTTGGTATAATTAGAGAGAGGCAAGCGGTCGGCAACATTCATCTCTTGAGAGGGTGTCTAACTCAGTGTTACGGAGTGTTTGACCCTAATTTAATTTTACGCCGGAATATCCCTTTAACATGGCAGCCTTTGTTTGGTGGTAATGTTTTTTTATAAGGCTCTGCAGGTCTGCATCAGGATGCAAACTCCTGATTCCTGCATCAATTTCACATTTCCACTCAAACCTCCGATCACTTACTTTCCACCTTACTCATCAAGGATGCTGGGAGTTATTCATTTTAAATATGGCTCCAAATCCTGAGATATTAGACAAAGCTAAAGGATATTTGCTTGAGGCTTTAAATTAAGCCTCCAGTATCTCCAGCACAACACATGAAACGGTTCATCTGCCAGCTCAGCTGTTGGCAGGAATGCTTTTGCAGGGAAAAAAGGTGGCTCTGCAGTGGCCAGGCTTCAATACTTGGACAATGGATGAAATAGTCAAGGAGAGGATGCGGCAGGAGGTAATGGAAGATGAGCAGAGATGAAAAGACAGGTTAGAGAAGAGGAGGAAGAGATAAAGAGATGGGGGATGGGAAGAGAGGTATACAGAAGAGGGAAAGTGATCAAGATTAAGGAGGGATGAGATAATGAAGAGCAGCTGGATGGGAGGGATGAAATCAGCGATGTCAAAAGGGAGGCAGGGAGTAGGGAGGGAGAGAGTGAGGAAGACAGATCTGGGAGACAAAGGAGGCATATAGGGAACAAGGAGAAGTTGGCACATAATAAGCAGGAAGTGAAGGAAAGGAGAGGACAAAGTATGAGGAAGGAAAACAAAGTAAAGCAGAAGTTTGAATACCACCGAGGAGCCAGAAGCAAGAGATGGATGGAGGAGAGGATGGTTGAAAAGAGCGAGGGATGGAGGGAGGGAGGCCGTGACGGGGAGCCATTAATAATTTATGATAGCCTCAGCTTTTCAAAGCAGCCCAGCGGTCCCGCTCTCTGCTTTCCCCTGACGTTTAATTTGTCTGAAAATCAGCGAGCGTGGAGTCTGATTATCGTCTCCGTCTGCCAACGCCTCCGCCTCAATCTCCCTGACACCGAGGTGAGATCACAAGCTGTTCAGTACACACATGTCAGCCTGGTATACCTTCCTCAGGTGAAAACAATCCTCCACGATCAGCGGCGTCCGTGCAGACACCAAATATCTATGTCAAGCATCTCTGAGGCTTTTAGGGCCACCTTCAATTAAATGCCTGAAACCTTTGTATTTAACCTTTTCTGAGATTTTTACACTGACAGGGGAAAGTGCCGTAAAAAGCCCTACTCTAAGCCCACCCTGTATAATTTAACGGGCTGTCCGATAAGCCTGTTCTTGCACGACGTTTTGCTGTTTAGTGTCTCCTGCAATGCTCCTTATTTCCAGCCCGGATGGTTTTTGCATCACAGAGCAGGGGGATTAAAATCTGGATAATATTTCGGTAAAATATACACTCCATCATTCCAAATGGTTTGCTTTAACATGGTGCTTTTAAAACTCCTTTTGCACTTTGTTGCATTAACCTTTTTTTTTTTTGCAGTGTGGTTACTACCATCGGCAAATGAACAAAACTAGATTTTCTAATGGATCCTTACGTAACTGGTGGAGTCTACACCAAGGGAAACTGGTAACCGGCTCTGTATTGTGTGTGTGTTTAAAGTAAAGACTCAGACGTGGATTTCTCCAGAGGCGGTCTCCATTTATTTTTGCAGCTCCTTAGGAAACAGTGTAAAACACAAAAATCCTCCAGTCAGTGACCTCAACAAACATGCCACTACACAAATCAAATGACACAGACACATGTTTCGGTATAAGGTAAACGTCTCATAATGAATTGAAGCTGGTCAGTGAACTTAAAAATGCAATTAGCAGAGGCAAGATCAGAAATTTTCCTGCAATGCAAACCAGCTTACCTCTCCCATGGAGATCGGTAACAAAAAGGGAAGAGAATTGGCGCAAAAATGCCATTTATAGAGGGCAGTGTTACACCACAATGTGCCTGTAGGGGTACAACCTTAAACCAAGGTTACATATACCGACCCGAAGGCTCAACCAGTCAGGTATCAACCAAAACAAAAACAAATAAAACAAACTTACAGTTACACAGGTTTTTTTGTAATTATAATAACAACTAATAATACAATACATTTTGTATACACATTATAACTGTAAACTTGACCCTGTTACACTGAAGAATCTTTTCTTTCAGTACAGGACTGATCTGAAAACATGTTATCAGTTACATTTTAAATGTTTTGTATAACTAAAGTTGTCTAGACTTTTAGCTTTCAAACGGTGCATACTGAGCCTTGGTTTGATACGTTGATCATGTTTTCCTATTTTGAGGACTTTGCAAGGGCTCATCAGTGAATCATTCAGTCATAGCTTCCAGTAAAAGTTCTCTAACTTTTGAGTGTTTTGGAAAATTCTTCCAAACACTCAAAAGTTATGAAAAAAACAAAAAAGTTATTACTGTATTAAAATGTTTTGTGCACATCCCCACACAGCTGTCCTGTCTTCATCAACTTTTTTGTGTAGCTTGACGTCTCTAGAGTAACATTGTTTCTCTGAAAGCTGATACATGGAGAGGCAAAAGTAGGCCAAATATAATACTTGTTCACTTCACCACTGCCTGACAACAAAAGCATCTTAATTTCATTTCATGTGTTAAGACTAAACCTCTTATTTACAAGCAGACAGTGCCAAATAAAACAAGAAATATCTTAAGATAAAAACAGAATAATTTCTTATTTCCTTGGTCTCACTTGCAGTCCGGAAGATTACCAACTGGAAAACGCTGGACTCACACCAACAAGTAGAAATTACAATGCTGCCACCTAGTGATGTAATTATCTCACAGCAATGCAGCACAATCTGACATAAGACTGAGAAACAAACCCTGTGAAGACTTTTAAAAGTTGCTTGAGCTGTGATCTCATGCTGAGCATTATTTAGCATAAATTTGGAAAGAGCAAGAAGGGCCCTACAGCTGGAAATGAAGGCGTCATGAGGCCTCTCGTGTAACAGGACATCTTCTGCATTTGCTGTTTCGAGATTATAAATCACATATTATAATCACATATTAAATGGAAACCAGATCACTTCCCATGCTGACAAATTAGAGCTTTGATCAAGACCCCTGAGTACAGATCCTGCTTTTTCAAAGAATCTATTTTTCCAGAATCCAGATTATATTAGTAGATTATATTAGTATTGAGTAAAGCTGTTTTTGCGCTTTGATGACTGATGGCCAGCAGGGGGCGACTCCACTGGTTAGAAGATGTCTAATGAACAAAGTTTGTCAGAAACCAGCTCTGCTCATCACTAGATTTGTTAAGCAGACATACCCTTGGTCTAAATCAAGAATTGTAGGTCCTCTTTAACGCTCCAGGGTGTTAAAGCTCCAGGGTGTTAAAGCGCCAGTCAGGAAATTGAGGTTTGACACAATAGTTGATATTATTGGTCCACTTTCTTTTTTTCTTAGCTTTCTCTCATATTGCTTACACTTGATAATGTTAAAGCACAGATCTTTTCACATCCCCACACTTTGATCAGCTTTATTTCTTAAAGAAAAGCACATTTTGGTGGAAGTTTGCAAATAGAAGTATTTACTAATTTGAACACAGATTTTTTTGTTGTTTGTTTTATGTATTTGCTGCCTTGCTGATCCTACAAATTCTCGTGCCATGTTTGTACAGTTCAATTATCATAAAGTTTAGAAAAAATTCATGATTAAATACAAAAACACTATTATCATTTATAAAAAGTCATTTGTTAGAAAAACAGAGCAGATCACCGTTTGTAATTTTTTATTTTATTTTGTAGAACCAATAAAAAAAAGATCATTCAGTATCAAAAGATATCAAAACTAGAGGAATAGAGAAGGCCAACACTTTTTGAGAGAGATAGAAAAACTTTTTGTTGAAACTTTTAGGAGGAGGGACTCAGGCAGACATGACAAATACTGTGTGAAAGCTTCTGGAAACAATGCCGGGGCAATTCCTGTGGGATAAAGTCACCATCAGAACTTTAGTACCAGGTGAAGAGGCCACGATGGACACCTGCTTCTCTATCTTCTCACCGTGCTGCAGAAAACACAGTCTGGAATAGAAAAAAAGAGGGACTTAATCCATGAATGAGGCCAACTTTGGGTTTGTGGTGGTTGCGGCTGTCTGCTGTCAAACCCCTGACAGGGGGCTCAGGCCTTAAAAAATGACAGCAGAGGATTGATCAGTCATGTTGCTGATGGTTTTGTTTGTTTTTGGAGATCATAAAGAGGCATCAGTGTCAGTTTCAGTCTGTTTCTCAACCAGTTAAAAAACCCACATTGTGCCTTTAATACTCAACTTTGCAGGTCTTTACTTCAGTAATAAATCATCAATCAGTATTCCTGTTCGTTGTTTGAGTTTTCTGAAACTAACAACATGACTCAGATTCGTCAAGGTTAAGCTGTCAGAGAAGACAAAAACTTTGAAAGGCCTGGTCACTACAAATCAGATTGTAAACACACAACAAAACTCAACTTTTCGTGAGATTTATTGTGTTAGTAGACATAACACTGATCTAAATCACTGGTCTCACATAATCTTTAACACTGTATGGTGTTAAAGCAAAGTAAATGTGCAGAGAGAGGAACTTTCTGTTTGTGTCAACTGTGGCGCCCCCTGTGGACAATACAGTCTTTGCTTATCTTGTCCACTCATCCTGCTGACTTTTGGCAGTCAAGTTTGATATTTATTGTAAACATTTTATGTAGAAATTTTAAAAACAGCACTGTTTTTTAGCTGCCCAGCTGACACCAATCCCCCTTACACTGGTTTCAGGCATAAATAATGGCAGCATGATAATTGCCAGTCTTGACCTTCATGGTTTTGTTTCCTTTTCGATTAAAAAAAGATCAATATGAAAAAATAATAATAAAACTACTTATAGGAGCTTTAAATTTGCAAATTAAGTCCTCTTAAGGATAAATCTTAACAAAAGTAAGGAATGATTTGGGACTTTGCTTCTTGCAACTTAAAAGCTATGAACTTGGTACTTCAAAAGCAGCAGCTGTAACCATAGTTGTAATATTCAGGGCAAATAAAAAGTTTATAATTAACACTGGAAAACCTGCCAACCTAGAAGAATCTGAAACTGTAGTTTCTGCTCACAAGGACTGTTAGTATGACTGCTTCTACAACAAGATCCTGAAACATATGTCTTTGAGAATACTTGCAGTGAGCTACAGGGAGGTGTGTAAGAGGGTCAGCTGTAGAAATAAAGAAGTTGTTTTTAATATAAGCATGAGGCTTATTTATTGCATCTTATCGGACCTTGACCTCATCTGAAGGACTGTACGAAGATGAAACAACAACAACATTCTTCCTATTGCAGCTAAAACTTGCCTGGCAAGATTCCTGGACAACATTCCTCGGACATGTTTCTGTTTTTCCTATCCAGTACAGACATTGAAGGGCTGGAATGTGGCACCTGACCCCTTTTCTCTTTTTTTCTGACATCAGTTGTGTTTTCAGCAGGTAATTGACTCACCTGGCTTCATGTTTTCCCTCTAAAAGGCCAGATCCCTCCACGGTTAGCACAGCTCCACTCAGGGTTTGGGAAAATGTGTTAATAAAGGACACCTGAGCTGTGTGCTCCTCTGTCAGCTTGATGGTGTTCCCTCCCTCAATCTGTGGAAACAAAAGATGATATAATGATATTAAAAAACATGTTTCAATGAGTCCCTGAGTTAATAGAAGTGAAAACTAGGGTTTTACATCTCTACCTGAGACTTTAAAACACATGTTTTAATCACTATGGTTGCATGCACTTCTTTCATACAGTGTATGCTTTCAAAGAGTGAACATTTTTGCTTTCCATCTGTTCAGAGTTTGGTTCAGAGTCTTCCTGCTGACAAGTAGTAATTTAGCTCGTTGTAAACTTTCCAAAAAAACAAGTTGAATCGGCTAAAGGCTCAAAAATATGACTGTAATTTGACAGAAAACATCTTCACCGCGGGGAATAACAATTTCCTAAGGCAGCTGTATTTAAGTGCCGTCATGGCATCTGCTTGTAAAGACACTAACAAAGACTTGGACAAAGATGATGTTGTGTTCACAGCAGATGCATGTGAAATTATTTGCGTGTATACATTGTATGTAGAGTCAATGTAAAGACAACACGAGTTATTAAAGAATGCACTTGGAGGAAAAGTGAGTTTTGAGGTTGATCAGGTTGTTAAAAAAATTAATTCCCTTAATGTTGTCAAACTCAACCATGTTTGATGTAAACAGACTGAACTAGGAAAAAGAAAACACTTTGCGCTTTCTTGTATAAATTTGTGTGTTTGGGCACTTGCTTGGACACAATGTAGCACACAAAATGAACAAGTTAAAAGAATATTTATCATTCAGATGCACAAATTAAGTGTTAATTAGAAATTTGAGTCAATGATTTAATTTGCATCAGATGTAAACACACTAGAAAACAAGTTATTTGTGCAATTGGCTTATTGAAGCAGGATTTTGCTGAAGGGTTTGCTGACAATTTGGAAGTGATCAGCAGTATCAAAAGTGATTTACAGTCACATCAGAAGCCGACAAAAGTCAAGATTTGTGGTCCTAGCTGGAAAACTGTTTCCTGAAAGTGTTGAGAGACTGTCAACCTAAGCCAGCCCGCTGTGTTTAAAAAAACAAGCTGTCATGAAATATCGGAACTTTGAGAGAGGAAACAGAAGAAATCGCTGAAAAGGTGAAGATTTGATCACACCGTTATGAAGTTTTATCTTGCATAGTTAATAAAAAAAGGAGATAGAGAAGAAATGAATAATGTATTCATGATTTGGACGAGCTGTCTCACCTCCACTTTTATCTGAGGCGAGTTTATGCTGAACTCCTGTGCTGCCAAGACTCTTTTGTTAGTCCTCATGTCTTTTATCACCACCGCCACATTCACTATGTCATCACCTGCCAGGTACGCCTCGTACTCAGAGGGAGATATGATGTGGTTGAGCTTCAAAACTGCAGAGAAATGTACAGGATGTAGGGGGAAAGAAATGAACATAAGAGAGTAAACACATCAGAAAGCTGTCGATCATGCATGGCTCCTCACCTTCCCCGGCCCTTATGTGCACTTTTCTGCGGCTTTTCCAGAAGCTGTCTTGAGGGTTGCTGTCAAACTCCTTCAGCTGGGCGTTGAGGTGTTCGATCAACACTCTGGAGCTATTTGAGTGGTTACTGATCGTCACACATACGATGATGCAGTCACCTACTGTTGGCACCCCATCAATTTCCAGAGACACCTCCAAACTTTGTGATGGGTCTAAGAGGGAAGAAGAGGAGGGATGCAGTGATTTTGTGGTCTGAAATGACTTCTGGAAAAACTCTCAACTCGCTCAACTACAGGTGTGAAAAAGAGATAAAAGAAGTGTGTATCAATAACAGCATGAACGAAACAAAAGCTTACCTGCTCTGCCCGACAGTGGACCGGACTGCTGAGAGCTACATGAGGAGCCAAACTCTGCTGTAAACATGAGAGAAATGATGTCAAGATAGAAAAGACATCGAACATTAAAGTAGGGATGTTGTCTTTTCTCTGATTTATTCGGCGACTCAAGACATGAGCTCTCCAGAACAGCCATGAAAATGTCTCCAGATTGACTTTGTCTATAGTAAACAAAGTCAAAGCAAATTTGTAAGAAATGTTACTTGAAAAGACATCTGCCTTGGAGAAATTTGTTCATGCCCTTACGAGACTAAAAGAAGAAAAGTGAAAATAAACGATGGATCTTTGAGTGAAGATGTGCATGAGTAAAGAAGTGTGAAGATGCTTTTTTGCATGTTACTCACTGCTGCTTATGTTCATCACTGCTCTGACTGGTTGCTGTCCTGCAAAGCAAAGGAAAATATCTTTAAAAATCACACAGAGAGGACAGATGAGTGGGTTAAGATGCTCTTTAACACGGACACTGACCTGTCCTTGCTGTGCCTCTGACGGTCTCTGCTGGTTGATCTTTTGGAAAGAAATTAGAAAACAGTGAGAAACCTCCAAACTGAGTAAATGTGCAGAAAGTCTTACAGACGGTGGACATGATCGTACTTTTTTTGCCTTTATACGCCGCTGTCAGATTCTCCGGTCTGTCAGAACCAATGCTCTTGGTGTAGACCAGCTGTCCCACTGCATCGGTGTCCACCATCCTGCCCACTACCAGCCCTTTACGCACAACCAGTCGTATGATGTCAGCGTCAACTGCAGCGTAGATGAAGGCGGCGTCAAAGGGGGTGCTGAGGCAACGCTGCTGGATGGCAACAACTGGGCAGGGTCCACAGCAGAAGACCCCTGCAGAGGAGGGTTTATTATCTTTATATAATTCTTGATCTGACTTATTTATTGAGTGGTTATAAAGGGACCAACCTGCACTCTTCTCCTGGGGGGTTGGGTCTACCACTTGCCAACCATCAAACCCTGAACCGAGGTCAGGTCTCCTCATCCAGCACTCCACCCACACATGGAAGTTCCTGCAAGAGGACACACATGCAGGGACAGAAGCACACACATAAAACACAACCAGCTCATGAATTAGCCTTAAAACACTGACATATATCTGCGATCTAAACTCTTGCATTGTCCCAGAGACATGCAGGCAGACAACAAAATACTGCACTAAGATGTAGTAACAATAAAATCTGATGTTATTTCTGGTATAAACTCAGCAGCTGAACATGTAAAACACTGACAGTTGACTTTGTGGTTTGAGAAGAAAGGAAACTAACCAAATGCTGTCCTTTGAAATGTTGAGCTTTTCCCCTGTGCTTGAGTAATACTCCTCTATCTTCACACTGCCGTCAGTGTCATGGGCTGAGTTGAAAACTGTCACCACCCTGGAGGGAATCCCCAGAACTCTCATCACTGAAAAAAGAAATCAGTCACAGCAGGTTCTTAAGTTTACATAAGCTTCATGAACATGGCGGGAGGGGAAAATATTCACTTTAGGCACCTCTGTGATCTAAGTTAATGTCCCAGGCAGCATTTAAACTTATCGCTTACAGCATCTGACAAGCTTTTATTTTGTTGGACTTGAATGCTACCTTTTTGTAGTATCACTGTGTTAGCTCCCAAATAAACCCCAGGTGTATCTTTTTCCCTGCAGAAACCTTCCGACTTATTGCAAATAGAATCAGAGATCAGACCCAAATATGAGGCATGACTAGAAATATAACGTGAGGGTCTGGTGTGTATAATTGTAACATGTGCTGCACACAATGCTGCAAGGTAACCATTGTGCTTCTGAAGAGATAACAGTTGTTTGTGCAAAAGAAATGCTGCAAAGGCATAAAGCTGTATGAAAATTAAACTCTCAAAAGCATAGTACTTGTTCCAAAAATCTTACAGACTTTGTCAAGTATTCATTAAAACTGATTTGGATGGTTTTCAGATCATTTTAATCTTACATTTGATTGAAAATAGCGCAAAGATAATACATCAAATGTCCAGAAATGTCAACAATTTCTCTGGGCCTGAGTCCTTCCAAGACTGCTCTGTGGTCTGACTTACAAATCTAACATTCTTCTTGGAAATCATGGACACTAAATCCTCCACTCTAGAGAGGTGAGGGGCTACCCAGCACAGTTAAAAGTCAGTGTTAGCGATGGTGTGGGTATCTCTACATTGGAGGGGCTCCATTAATGCTGAACAATACAACACTGACAGGTTTTTACATGCTCTCATGTTAAAGGTGTCATGAGATGTTCTGTTCAGATATGTTCTTGGTTTTATTTGAGTGTAATCTGTGTGTGTGTGTGTGTGTGTGTGTGTGTGTTTAGTGTTTCTGTATCCTTTTTTTTCCTGTTGTCCAGTCTTGTGAGTTTTCAGTTTGTGCTTGACCCTGTTTCCCTCCTGTTCTCTGTGTTTTATTCTTTATATTAGTTTTCAGTGTTTCCTGTTTTATTTTGTAGGTGTTTGTTCCCGGTGTTTCTAGTCTGGCTTCACTTCCTTAGTTTTCCCTCCTTCATTAATCACTAATGAGTTTCACCTGTGTCTCGTTTGCCTCACCTGTGTCTCGTCTGCCTCACCTGTTGCTCGTTTCCTCGTGTGTTAATAGTCCCTGTCTTCCCGCTGTCACAATGCAAAGGGTTAAACAAAGAATAAGACCCAAATGCCGAACAAAGGATTTAATAAAATTTTTTTTTAAAAAGAACTAAATGGAAAAAAAGCAACAAAAAGAGAAACATCAAAAAGGCAAATTCCACAAAAATCACTGAGGCAAAATCTTAATTTAATCCTTTGTTCTGCATTTGAGTCTTGTTCATTGTTTAACCCTGCCTGTCCTGACAAAAGGAAGGTCTTGCATGTTTCAGTAAGTCAATTCCAAATCATGTTCTGCATGTGTTGTAGCAACATGGCTCTGTAGTAAAAGAGTCCAGGTGCTAAAGTGGCCTGCCTGCATTCCACTAAAAACATTTGGCACATTGTGAGAAAAGAAGAAAATACCTCAAAGGATGACCCAACCTGTTGACTGAGTTAAATCAATCATCAGGTAAGAATAGGACAACATTCCCCCCTTAAATTTGCAAACTGACTTCTCTTGTTCCTTTGTCGTCATTTTACCTTTGTGCCCCTTCAGTACCTGTGCAGAGAACAGCAGCAAAGACCCAGCACTGTCCATAGCGAACAGGGCTGCAGCTGGAAGCGACCCATTGATGGAGGATGTCCGCACTGCTGCTCCACTCTGTCGGCTTCACACCGTTCTTATAGCTGCCCTGCCACTTCCCCTGCAAGATCCCCAGGTCATCATTACAGTTGACCTTGGACAAGAGGAGACATATTACAGGGATTTCTGAGAGCACAGTTTGGCTTAAATGCAAGAACACGTTTTTGCGTATTTACCATGTACAAACAAACAAACATAATCCTCCCTCACCATGGCACAGAGCACCCTGCAGAGGTACGCAGGGTCTGCTCGTAGTGCATAGTCCTGGTTTTTGTCTCGGAGGTGCTGAGGGCTGACCTGCAGGAGCTTTAGACATGCCTCCAGGACCCCAGGCTCATACTGCACAAATAAAACCACAATACACAGCAAAAGAAAAGTGTCCTCACCTGAAAATGTCGTGATTAATAACACATTCATAACATTTAGATGATGCTTTCGTCACTTACCTGACTGAACAGCCAGGGCCGCCTACAGATGTTCTGAGGGGTGCCCATATATATCAACCCATAATCACTCTTAATGTACTCTTCTGTTTGGACATCAAGTGGCATGTACACTGGGTCATCTAAAGAAATCATCACAACATGTGCACAGTGAGGGCATTTTCTTCTCCACACCAAGATGCACTTCGTCATGTCGTTCATGTTCGATATTAAACTCAAGTACATGCAAAACTACGTGAATCAAATATCCCAACTGATTCTGGATTTCCACTAAACCAAGAATACAAAATAATGAATATTAGTGGAAAAAATTATATATATATTCTGCTCGACTTGGACTCACCTTTCAGCCAAGGATTGCAGAGGAGGACAAATGTCCCCAGAACGTAGCTCCTCCTGCACTGTCTGGTTTCTAAGTGGAGCTGGAGTTCATAGAAAGCCACAGAGGATAAAACAGGAGAGCAGATGTGGATGGTGACTGACGTAGAGTGCATGTCACCTGGGTAGATTTTTGCTGACCACATCAGAGGGTCGGACCACTCGTCAGAGGACTGGACTCTGATCCTCTCTGACATGTTGCCTGTATTAAGACAGAAATCACCAAGTTAGCTGCCCTCTTTGTTTTTTTCTTTTGGACTTTTTTGTGTTTGCTGTTGATGGTGCTGTTTTTTCAGACTTCTAATTCTTGCTTCTGCCCTGTTTCCTCTTCGATTTGTTGCCTTGGTTTTACCACCTGCCCTGGCTTTGACCCTTGCTGACCTTTTGTTCACTGCTTTTTTACAAAAGCACAGTCTGTACTCTTCAACCCTTAGTCTTCAAAACAAGGCTCAAACAATCCAGACGATACCATGGTACCTATGGATATTTGAATGTTCACATGGTCTGTTTTGACCAGGAGCAGTTCTTGCTAAAACATAGCAATGATGACATAACAGACATGATTTATTGACGTTTTTCAGCCCCTTTTGCTTAACCAAAGTTTTATGGCAATTCAAAGTAAGAGCTCAGTCTAGTGATGAGAGTAACATGATAATTGTCTCCAGACTGGAAGGTCAGACGGTTGGTGGTGGCCTTGAGATTAAAAAGCTTTAAAAACCGTTTGACTCTCTTTCTTTCAGCTTCATCAGTCATAAAACTTGAGAAAAGTCATTGCAGACACTTAGGAGCCTGTACCTCAGGCATGCAGATTTTCAGACATGATCGTATTTAATGAACAGCAGCCATGGAAGGAAACATGTGGGACCACCGGAGGGCAGTTTAAGGCTTGAGAGCTCCCCAAACCAGTTTCTGCACCTTTGGCTTATGGAATTCGGCTTCCAATTATGGACAGATTTTTGTAATAAGCGTCGTGGTTGAGTTGAGTTACTGTTGGAAAACTGCAACTGTTTACTGGAAGACATATGACACTCCTCAGTGCCGCCTTTTTGTTTGGTTCCAAGTAAGTCTGGGTCAAAAGGTAAATTAAATTATGCGTTACTAGACTGTATGATGGAAGGGTGTAGTCTTAGTGATGTTATCCATTTATTTCTCAAGCAAAGTTTTGAAGCCTAGTGGCAGCAGTCGCCTTATTGGAAGTACTGACTCTCACTTTTTAAACTGTCAAACTCAATAACTTCAGAACACATGCATTTATTGACGTTTTTCACACCCTTTTGCTTAACCAAAGTTTTATGGCAATGCAAAGTAAGAGCTCAGTCTAGTGATGAGAGTAACATGATAATTGTCTCCAGACTGGAAGGTCAGACGGTTGGTGGTGGCCAAAAGCTTTAAAAACCGTTTGACTCTCTTTCTTTCAGCTTCATCAGTCATAAAACTTCAGTAATCTCCATCAATCTTACCAAGACTTGAGAAAAGTCATTGCAGACCCTTAGGAGCCTGTACCTCAGGCATGCAGATTTTCAGACATGATCAGATCATGTTTAATGGACAGCAGCCATGGAAAGAAACATGTGGGACCACTGGAGGGCAGTTTAAGGCTTGAGAGCTCCCCAAACCAGTTTCTGCACCTTCGGCTTTCTTAAGAATTATGGACAGATTTTCGTAATAAGCGTCATGGTTGAGTTGAGCTACTGTTGGACAACTGCAACTGTTTACTGGAAGACATTTGACACTCCTCAGTGCCGCCTTTTTGTTTGGTTCCAAGTAAGTCTGAGTCAAAAGGTAAATTAAATTATGCGTTACTAGACTGTATGATGGAAGGGTGTAGTCTTAGTGATGTTATCCATTTATTTCTCAAGCAAAGTTTTGAAGCCTAGTGGCAGCAGTCGCCTTATTGGAAGTACTGACTCTCACTTTTTAAACTGTCAAACTCAATAACTTCAAAACACATGCATTAATAAAAATTAACCCCATGTACAGTGTATTCAGAGAGAATGGCTTTTTGAATGAGTTTGTATGTGTTTTTTTTTTTTGTTGTTTTTGCTGTCAGCTACAAGTGGACACTTGTTCAGTAGCAGTTCAGCACCTCGGAATTGGCTTCATTTCTCAAGACTGGCGGTCAACGCTCGCTTTTATCACTTGAATTTGTCCCATTTAATTTCTAATTATCAGATTAAAAACTGTCTAGATTTAATTGACATTACAGACTTTATTACCTAGCCAAACCTCCAGGCTCAGGCTCTCAATGCGAGGATCCCAGCGACCATCAAACACCAGAGTGATTTTGAATGGTTTCCCTCGTCGCACCACCAGGTGCGTTTTGCTGAGTCCCTGTGTCTCATGGGAAACGTGGTTCTCGTGAGCCTCATAGTTGACCAGCTTTAGTTGGCACTGGTCACCATGAGAGCCTGGAAAACAAATTTTGAACCATGCAAGCCTCATTGATGACAAACTGTTTGCAAGATAATTATGAACAGTTAATCTGACAAAAGAAAGTGAGGAAAAAGCTGAAAAGAGGGAAAGTGGAAAGTTTTGGATATTTAGGTTAAAAAATTATCATCCACAGCATGTATTGGATGGAAAAGAGGATTTCTAACAAACTACGATGCACAGCAAACACAATATTCAGTCAGTAAAAATCACAGTTTTTTTTCTTCACATGGTTGTTCACATGTTGAAAATCTGCTCTGCAGCTCTGTCACACCTTTCCTGACCCTCCTCCCATTCGTTCATGCCTGACTTTTTACAGTCATGTTATTTACTGTCTCAACCGTACAGCCTGTAGTTAAGAATTTATGAGCACCTCAGGGACTTAAACACATGTAAGAAAAAAAAGCATGCTAAACCAAGATGCAAAATCAACTCAAAATGAGCAAAAAAGAAATTAAGTCATTATTTTAATTGGAGGTAGAAGGATAAGTGTTCATACTAAACCTGAAATATACAAAAGCTTTTATTTTTGTACATTTCTAGCTTTGCTGGATACTGTTCTGATTTTTAAATGAAATAATGTATTAATCTCAAATAAATTACAATTACAATTAAAGTAACCTTCAAATTTATTTCATTATGACTTCAGATCTGCAGAGAGAACTCACCGTAGATGTTGTGTGTAGTCTGCTGCATGCAGTCCATAGTCTGGCTCGAGGACTTAGGAGTGACTGAAGGTATGAGGAGCTGGCTCCACCTTCACTCTGATAAACATCTCACTCTTTCCCTTTTTTTCTCTCTTCTGGTCATACTGGTCTCTGACAGCAAACCAAGCTGCGAAGGAAATAATTGACTGAGAGGATTTTTAAAGCAGGGAAATAAGAGAGGAACAGCAAGTCAAGGATTTAATCTAACCACATGATGTTGTGCTGGATACAACACAGGTGGTCCCATTGCGTCTTATGTTAGGTTGAATCTAAAACAAGAAACTGCAAGAGCCATCAGGAACTCAGATTAAAAGGTCAGCTTTAAAAATAGGAAAGAGGAGCTTTAAAACTGGAAAAATAAACCCTGAAGAAAGCGAAATTATCTCTCTAAAGAACGATAAGGGATCATGTGCTGTTTTAAATTCTTTTGATTGTGACAGAAAATATTCAAACTATGCAAGATAATCAATCAATCTTTATTTATTATTCTCTGTTTACTTAGCAAGTCACAGTGGAGAGGAAGTACTTCCTTTAACAGACAGAAACCTGGAGCAGAACCAGACTCATGTCAGACAGTCATCTTCTGAGACTGAGCTGAGTTTAGAGAGGGAAGAGAGGGATAAGGAGAAAGAGAGAGATGGACATAGATTAGTTTGATGTACTGTATGTAGTTGAGGCCGCTAGAAAGCAGGCAGGAAAACGTCTGCTGCAGTGATCCAGAGGAACCTACAGTGTGACGGCGCTCAAGGACTTCCAGTGTATTAGGGACTCATTTGAGGCAGGATGATTCAAAGTTAAAGAGGATGAATAAGGATCCTCTCTAACTATGAGCTATATCAAAGAGGAACATTTTAAGCTGACTCTAAAAGGTAGAGAGGGTTTCTGAAAAAGAAACTTCAAAATGAATCTTTTGGTCATTTTTTTTCACTGTTAGGTAGCAATCTATCAAAATCCCTCCAAGTTTCAAACTATGTGTGCTTGGAACAACTCCTGAGTACATGAAGCAAACACAGGAAGCTGCTGAACTTTGGACCTCTTCAGACCAGGAGAGCTGAGGCACTTTGTTGGGAGTGAATGGAGCACTGCTGTCACTGAGAATGTGAACCTTTGTAAGTACATCGATCTGAAAAGACTCACTGGCTTTGCCAATAGAAGGTGAAAAGACTCAGTGATTTAATTCAGTTCATGTAACGATACGATCATCACTATAAAATGAAAAAGAGGAAAACAAAAGAAAGAAACCCAGTGTAGAAAAAACATTTTTTATGTCAGCCCATAAGTTTTCTATGGAATTAAGGTCTAGGGATTGTGCCGGCCACTCCATTACTTGAATTCTGTTTGTCTGGAACCATGATTTTGCTCTCTTGCTGGTGTATTTGGGGTCATTGTCTTGTTGAAACACCAATTTAAAGGGCATTTCCTCTTCAGCATACAGCAACATGAATTTTTCCAGTATTCTGATGTACTCAAACTGATCCATGATCCCTGGTATGTGATAAATAGGACCAACACCACAGTACAAGAAACATCCCCATATCATGATGCTTACACTACCATGCTTCACCATCTTCACTGTGTACTGTGGCTTGAATTCAGTGTGTGCAGGACGTCTGTCAAACTGTCTGTGGCCCTTGGCCCCAAAACAACAATCTTACTCTCATCAGTCCACAAAATATTACGCCATTTCTTTTTAGGCCAGTCAATGCGTTCTTTGGCAAATTGCAACCGCTTCCGCACGTTTTTTTTTTTTTTAACAATGGGACTTTGCTGGGGCTTCTTGCTGGTAGCTTGGCTTCACATAGACACCGTCTGATTGTTACAGTACTCACAGGCAGTCTTAGATCTTTAATCCTCCTGGAGCTGATCATTGACCGACCCTTTGCCATTTTGGTTTCTCAGATCCATTCAAATAGTTGTTTTTTCTTTTTTTTACGCCAATGACCTCACTAATTGAACTCAGCACTGCTATTTTTGAACACGCCCCTTTCAGTAAATGATTCAGAAATGTAAATGGTTTTCTATACCTTTACTGAACCTTCTAGAAACTTGCTTGCAGCATACAAGTTGAAATTCTAACAAAACAATGATTTATCTTGCTAGTGATGTGGGGCTGCTATTATTTTGAACACAACTGTATATGTAGAAAGAAAGTGTGCGGGTGTAACTTTGGTCTCAAACGGTTGAATAATGTTGTAGGTGTCATTGATGTTATGCTAAGAATGGAAACATGCTAATTAACATTTTCAGAAGAAAAAAATAAACCAGTTTGAACTGAATCGATATTTCAAATGATATTATTTTCAAACAAAAAAGAAAGACTTCTGATAAAGATTGAAGAGAGATCAATACAGAAGGCGCCATTTATAGTTGGGAGATAGTTGATGTATTTATTAAAAGCTTCTGCAATCATTGATAAGTCTGATCCTTCAAGTGTGAAGACTTTTAACATAAGTACAACAACCACTGCTCTCTTTAACTTCAAACCGGTGCATTTCGGGAGGCCACTCCCCCAAAAGTAATAACATGTTTTAGCTGATACCAGTTTGTCACAACTTGGTGGTGCAAGATGGCGGCTTCTGTAGAGGAGGATCCATTTCTTCTGCAGTCTGACTTTATGGTTTGTATGACGCTGATCCTGCAGCTTGTGTTTGAGTTGAGTTGCTTATATTAGTTTTTGGTTTACTGGATAAACTCTGACTGAATCAAACCACCTTTATGCCAGAAAAAACCACAATCAAGGTCATGTGGAATATTATATTTTGACTGTTATTAAAGAGAGAAACTGCAACGCAATAACAAATCAAAATAGTTCTTTATTTTTGTCAAAGGACATTTGATACAAAAGGGCATATTGGGGCCCATTAATAGATCATAAGTACAAACCTTTTTTTTTCTTGCCAGAATGCAGAGACAAAAATAAAATTTTGTAAAACAATAACAGAAAAACTGTGAATGATTGTGAACTTGCTGGATAAGCTCCTTTAAAAGCACTTTGAAAAATCATCTTTAACAGGGTTGGAATCAATTCACCTTCAAAATCTTTGTGAGAGATTTCATCTGCAAACATTTTTTTTTCTCTTTCAAGAGGGATTCAAATACATTATAGGACTTTTTTCTATGGAATAAAACAACCTTTTTTAAAATTTAGTATTGTAATAATAGCTTATAAAACTGATCAATTAATTCAGGAACTCCCTGCAGAGTCATTGAAATGATTCCAACCCTGACTCAAATATTACCTTAAACCTTTAAAAAAAAAAAAAAAAATCACAAAACACCTGAAAACATTGCATTCATCCACTGCGACCTGACCCCAAACAAGAGCCTGAATAACATCCTCATGAAAAATCCATATTTCACCACAGAAAGGCACTGCATTTGTCCAGCAGGAGACCACAACACGAATTTAACAACATGAACTGCTCACACTTTGCAAACAACGTCAATCAGACGTAAGGCCGAGATAACCACAGGAAAAAAAAAAAAACATAAGGGCCAGATGAGTGAAAACATGAGCAACACATCTGAACTGCTGTCAGTTGAAAAGGCTTCAGATGCTGATGTGAGTTTAGGCTGGATTTGAAGGTTTGTACAGAACTGAAGATGAAGACTGCATCTAAGAGAAGATGAAGGTTGTTTTTTTTTGTTTAACAATTATGACAGTTTGAGGCACCCAGGGTTTAAACTACAATGCACATGCAACCTTAGATTGGCAATAACACCTGCACCACCAAGAGGCTGTTAACACAAACTGATGTTACAGTGAAGCTGCAGTTAACCCAGTCACTGAAGAATAATTACAAGAAAGTTCAGACAGCTTGACAAATACACTTGAAGTTGTTTTTTTTTTTTTCTTGAGTGTTTTTGCCAATACAAAGGTTTCACACGCACAAACAGTCACACAGGGATACATTTAGTCTACAGTGAGAGAAAACCTAGTGAAAGATAAAAGGTGCTACTTATGCGGAGCTACGTTACAGACATTTGTTTCCACCATCAAATGACATAATGAACGATGATCCGCTTCTTCCAGAAAATCAATGATCAATTTTTGTACCATTTTTTCTCCATTAAGACCCTTTTCTTAAAAATAAATATAGAATTGAACTAAACAAACTATCCTCCACTCGCATGCACCCACACACACTTTGAAAACTTCAGGAATCAGGTTAGCTTACATAACTTAAAATGAGGGAAAAATAAAAGGGAGATTTGAACAGACATTTCCAAGAACAATATTTACAACAATTACACAACAGATTATCCTTTCATACTCTGAGACATGATGCGAAAATGTGTTATTGCTGCTTATTTTGTATGACAATGTGTAGTAAGGGAAGTAAGAGCTGGCTGTAGATGCAGATAATGTGGCGCCAGGATAAGATATTCCAGGTATCCTCTCTGCACCTGGTAGAGGTTGTTGATTTAAGGCATGAACATCTGAAGTGCATATTACAACATGTCTCTGTACGCCTGAAGCTTACTCTGCTGCACTGATTCGATGAGTAAAAGCAAAGATGCATCTGAGCTGAACTGAAACTGGAAGTGAGGACCTGCCAGGAGCTTCTGCAAAGAGTTGAAGGAGCATGAATTTACAGGCATCTGGGGAGCTCTTCACCCTGAAACCCTCCGCTAAAAGAGATGAAAGAAAAACACCCAACACTCTTTTTCTAAACCTGTTAAAAGTCATTATGACCCTACACACAACCCGTGAACTGCATCTATAACACTTACACTCTCATATGTTTGCATCAAGAATTGATTGAAGACTTTGCTCAGCTCCAAACACCTGAGACTAAACACTTACCTAACCCAGAACAACACACTCAGTTTTAGTTTTTACTTCCTGTTGCAGACTAAAATCACCAGGTCTCCGACACCAAATGTCTCAAACCTTCAAAAACGACATTATTTGTCTCGCTGTGAGTACTTTGCTTTTGTCCTTTTTAGTCCTTACAATGGCTTTAGAAACACTTAGTGACATCAGACATAACAGATGAATAATTAACCCATCCTGTTATCTTTGATTTGAAGAAAAATTAGGCTCAGGCTCCCCAAAAGCATCTCTGTTTCTTGTTTGTGTCTTGAAAATGAATTGACAGTTTGAAAAAAAGACAAAGTGCAGGGAAAGAGAAGGCCAGACTGGGAGATGATCCCAAGACCAGTGTGACACGTACTCCAGAACACGGGGTGCCTGTTTTATTTACTGTGCTGGACTTTTGTCCCTGAATGTCCTTTTTTAGAAACATTATAAACAGCCTGGTGAAAACAGCACAGCTGTTAGGAAGTGGAGTTTAGATGGGGGTTAATAAATGCAAGTTAGCCACTAAATCGGAGAAGTGAAAGTTCTGCAAACCTGAATTATTTATAACGAACCCAAACTGTTGCAGATAATCTTTCAAAATAAAATCAAGAGAATAAAATCCCTACTTTTCAACAGAATGAATATAGTTATGTAAAGTCTGTTTTTTTACGGCTGGTTTTTGGCCAGTTGAAGCTCTTTCAAAGAGCTATAGATTTGTTGATTTTGGCACCCCCTGGTGGACATAAATGTGCATCTTATTTCTTGGCTTGTTCCATCCTGTGCATGCTAATTATCTTGATTTTTTTTTTTGCTAAGGAAATTCCATCCTAATTACTCTTAAAGGAGTAGAGGTACTTATAGTTTGCTTTGTGTCATAACACGTGAATATTTTGTTACGTCTATTATGATCCTTTTATATCCACATTAAAGACGAATCCCCATCCCGGAGGCTGTTTCTACAGAATTATTAAATAAGCATTACTAGTATTTAGTAAGAGGAAACCTTCCAGTCTTCACGGGGGCATTCGAAACTACTATCTAGAAATTTTCAGTCATGTTTCATAAAGTCCTCTGCACCTCTTAAATCTTCTTAAATGTTACTAGTCATGCATTATTCATAAAATCATTAACTTCCCAATGGTTTATAAGTTAAAGCTGCAAACAAAACACTGCTCAGGTTTGGGGAAATGGGACCTATGACAGACACGTAGCTTTAATGGGAACCCAAAAAATGGCCTCACTGGGGGTTTGGTTGAAATTAAAGACACTCTGAGGAGATGACAACATTTCCTGTACTTTCCAAGTCCTGTTTTACACCAGCCAAATTTAGCTTCCCTATTAAAATATCAGTTTCAGGAGGATTAAGACACGAACGAATCTGGTGCTATCATGAATCACTGGTCCAAGACTTTGCTGACACAGCCCTTGTCGGAATATTTGCAGTCAGTCAAATCTGATTATCGAGGGGGAAGCATTTACCCATGTGCTAATGACGGCTTCTGTGGTTGTAGAACGTGACAGGGAATGTAAAGTGAGATGCTTTTGGACAGCCTGGCTTTGAAGCCACACTTCCTTTATCGCTGGTTTCTCATAGGAGCAGCTTCTGTGGGATGCACATTTTCCTCGTCCCAGAACTAACTCTGCTGTCTATGAAACCTGCGGCATGAAAAGTACTGTGAAGGCTAATCAGTGTTAAGGAGAACCAGCCCTAAGAATCCGTAAATCACACATGCACACACTCTTACTCAAAAGATACATACCTGAATGCACACACCTGCGCTATCTGCTTAGATAAAACCTCATTAACAAATAACAAAAACCTCACTTGGTACAAAATATCAAATAACATTCATATAAATAATTTAAATAGCTATACTAGAGCTAAATTCTTGGTCTAAAATGGTTCAATGGCCAAAGGAAGTGCCGATAATGTGCTGTACAATTTGGGGGCTTGTTCAAATGTTGTATTTTAGGGTTTATTAAGTACAATAACATTCTCCCACAACCCATAATTAAGTCTGAGTTTTGACAAAAGACTTGTCCAGAAATCGCTCCCCTCTTTTAGAAACCCCTCCCCATTCAGGAAAAAGTGTCCTGAAAGTAGAAGCCCGCATGCTCACCGTCCTCCTCTTCTTTTCCACCTAACTGTCTCCGAGAACTTGTGAAAGGTCCCCGAAGTCACAGTCAAAGAGTTCACTGATGCCTTCATTGTCCTCTAGTCCAAAGTGGTAATCATGACTGGGAAGGGGGGACAGGTTGATAAAACCATCCAATGGGAGCGAAAAGCCCTCTCCGTTCAGGAAGTCCGCGGAGGAGAGAGGGGAAAAGTCAAAATCTGGGATGTCTCCGAGGGTGAAAGGGTCACCTCCGAGAAGGGATTCTATTACAGAGAAGATCAAAATCAACAATCAGTGACAATTTTATAAACAGAAATTAGATATGTGAGCACATCAGATGTAAATTAGCGGCACTACGGCGTCAGGACAATATCAGGTGAGTTGTGAAAAACAGACAAGCCGGTTTTCCGTTGTTAGAGGTCCAATATGTCCAAGTCTGCACTCTGTAAAAGACCTTGAAGAGATCTATAAATCTATTTACAGACATGTGAGGACTCACCTGCGTCTCCACCTAACGACAGCGCTGCAGGGTCCTGCTGAGACGCTGCTGTCACTGTGGATGACGTGGATGCTGGCGATGAGAAACCCACATCCAGGATGGCTGTTTTAGGTTCTGATTGGTCTGTGGGTGTTGCAGGAGGCTGGACCAGGGACGGGTCAGTGGTGGGTTTGGATGGACTACTTCCAGTTACGGGGCTGCAGACACCAGAGTTGTCTTCTGGACAGAGGAAAACGTCAATCGGGCCACGTGTGCTCTTCAGTGACACCTGGTAACCCTGAGAGGAAAAAAGCAGACACGGTCTCTTTAAAATGTCACAACTGCGAGAGGAAATGTGTGAAAAGCTCAATGACAGTCCAAGTTTGTACCTTGGAGGGTTCTGTAACTTGCATCTGGGTCTCTGGTGGAGCTCTGATCACCATGACCAGCTGGTCTGGGGAGTCAAATGACTTCCTCAAATCCTGGCAGCGCACATAACCCAGCGTGAAACCACAACAGTTAAGGAACACACAGCACCTGCATGTTGATACTAAAGCACTGTAAACAACAAACTGACGTGAATACACTAGCAGCGAAGAATGAACACATCTTTAGTATCTTATGTTTACTTTTTCGGACCAGGAAAAGGTGCCTGAATGCACCACAAAAACTACAACTCTCCAGATTTGTGAGACTTAAAGTACACCTAAAAGGATCTGTTCTTATCATTCACACAAACAGATCTTGTCTCCTTTAAGGGTGTAAACAACATTGGTGTAGTCAGCTTTAAGTCTAATAGTGGTGGCAGAAAATAGTACCAAGTGTTTGCTTTCTTTACTTTCATTTCTCTTTTCCTGCTCTGGTTTGACTGAACAAACATGATCATGGGCAAACTAGTGCCTCTGCTGCAAAAACTGAACTTCAGGCACAGATGAAGTATTTATTCCTGGAGGGAGTTTTGATAGAAGGATCTGAGATTTTTGCTTTGTTAAAGAAAAAAAAAAAGCTTGGCTTTCTGTGCCAGCTGAGACATTAACAGATTAGTTATACTGGAGAGAGGAAAGGATCAGCACAAAAAGTAATGTAGGGAAAAGAACAGAGAATACAGGGACGGACAAATTTACCAACTTTTACACCCCACTACTGTTGCCGTCTGTGTTCTGTATACGAGACAGTTTGCAAGCCTGCCTTTCCAAATTATGCTATGCAAACAAATGCTATGTGGAGAAAATAGAGGCATTTGTATGAAATGTATGTGCATTTCACATTATCACTAAAATTTAAAGTACCATCAAGTCTCTGTTTGCTCACAAACCCCTTTTCACTTTGTCTAAATAAGTCAAAAGGATATTTCTTGTTCTGAGGGTCCTCTGTGAGGAGCCGCAGCTGCAGGTTGCATTTGTTGATGAGCTCGTCCAGCTGCTCCTCAGCCTCTGTCAGGTCACACACCTCCTTCTGCAACTCCTTGTGCTGGGCAACCAACGCTGCATCAACTCGATTCCCACTGCAGGGAAAAAAATAAAGAGAAACTTGACTTTTCTTATCATAGTTTTGCCCAACCTGAGACTCACTCTTTATTTATACTTATTTGTACATTCATTGATTTCTTCTAGTCTGCAAACACAGTCTGGTCTTTTTGTACTCACAGCCACTGGATGTTGTTCTTGGACTTCTTAGAGATGAGTTGGATCCCCTCTAGGACGTTGGTTATATCATAGATGCGTCTCTTCTGGACGTCCAGAACCTGGGAGGCCCAGTTTAGATCCACCACGCCATCAGCAGACTGGGACAGCAGGTCCAGGAAGCGTTTGGTGGTGAGGTTTAAAGAGGTGTCATACCGCGACTTCTCTGTTGTGACACGAGGAACTAGAGAGAGACACAGCGAAGGGGAACAGAAACAGAAATGAAATATCTGCCTTTAAAATACAGGGTCATTATTTTCTTTGTTATTCTGCACCCTCATTGGTTCACTGCACCTAACAGGTGTTTCCAGACCAGATTGTTCTGAAAGTGCCTGGATCTAAAAGTCTTGAACAGTCTCTGTTTGCAAACTTCACTGTTCACCTCACTTTCTGTGTTTTGGTATTTTTTAATGCCAACTTTACAAACTGGTTTTAAACGTGTTGCTGGCTGATGTTCACCAACTCAACAAGTCACGCCTGTTTCTCCTACACTGGGAGAGTTTTGACTCTGGCAAACATTTTTTAAAAACTTCTTATGTGGCCACTTAACATCCTTTAATTTCATGTGGAGCTACTTTACTACAAACTTCATAAACAATTTACTGTATATTATGAGGCTGAGGTTGTTTATCTCAACCAAACTGCCTTAATTGCGTTTGTATTTTAAACGCCCTAAATAGTTTTTACTCTACTTAATGGAGCCGTTCAGCAGAAGAATTGCAAACGACTGAGCTTGTGTGATAAATATCTTTAATCATGACTCAGGCCTTCATCAAGTGTTTTTTTCCTCGTATCAAATTCACAGCCAGGGAAATATCTCTTATACCCCTCACTTCATTTTACTAGTATGTTCTCACACCAGCATGTTCCTTCCCTTTTTTATATAATTTACTGTGCCAATATCCTCTTCCAAATTTCACAAATGTTTTGCCAGTTCCCTCTTAATTAATCTGAACTCACTACTTTGATTTGTGGTGGAGCATTGACTTGGTTCTCAGTTCCTCAAAACATCATATGAAGACAAAATATTTGAGATAAGACTCTACCAGAAGCACCTTTCTGCACAGAATATTGAATGTGAGATCCGTAAATTATGCACTTTTGTGTGAGGATCTGTAACTCACAGGTGATAGTGCCATCCCTAATTTTTTTTAAGAAGAGAAGATTTTAGTTGTTTATACAAGACAAAATGTTTGTGTTCCACTTTTTGAGCCATTTTAAATTGAGCCATTCTCCTGCTCTGGTTTCTACATTCAAAATGAATGAAACCTTTATTGTCCTAAAGGACTCAGGGAAACTTTGAACTGAGAGTCTAAAAGCATAAAATTATAAAGACATTAACTGCCTTATAGCACATAATAAACATAAAACTGAGTCATTAAAAGTATATTATCAAAGTGTTGTATGGTTACTTATTTCGAAAAAAGGGCCAAGTTCAACAAGGTGTAGCGAGAAGAGTTCCCACTGTGTGTTACAGCTCATTTAGCAGCTAAATGTTGAAGTGATCAAGGATGTGATGCTTCTTTAAGTTCATTTCCTGGATGCTCTGTACTTGCACCTGAAAATGAAAGTGTGTATTCAGACCTGAGGAGAGGGTCTGCTGTGATTTAAGAGCTAAAAATCAATGTGAACCAGTCTGTCATATACTGGAAACTTTTCCTAAGCTGAAGCTTTTTCTGAATTTATTAAATTTCCTTTGATGCAGTTTTTAAAATTTATTTTCTATTACACTTTTAATATTTGTTCAATTAATTTACACCTGAAACATGAGAATCTGACTTTATTCTAGTCCAAGTTTTTGGAGAATCAATCTGGGTTAAAATTGTGAATTTCTTTTATTGTCATAAAGTAACTGAGACATAAGTTCAGCTTTTTTTATTGCTGTATGATTTATAGTATCTTTTGTCATTTAAATTGAGCGGGAGCTTTAAATTACTAGTCAGCCCAGTGAGGAAACAGGCGTGCAGGCAGGCTGTTGTCTGTGCTCACAAAGGAACAGCTGTTTTTAGGACAAAGGGGGCTGGAGCAAAGGTCACGGTGTGAATGTATGTACGGATGACTGGATGTAGGGCACACATGTAGTTGTGTTGCTGCTCCTGCTATGAACTTAAGGAAACAATGTAAATCATCTAAATAAACTGTGAGTGAGAATGTATTTATATATGTGTGTGTACCTCTGGGAGGAGCAGGTGTTGAGGGTGGCGCCTGGCCTATGGACGGTCTAGTGGTGCTGACATACTGATGGTCACTGTCCAGGTCCAACTTTCTTTTTACCTAAAGAAACATAAACGTTTTAGAGCAAACAGTTTAGTAGCTAACATGATAGAAATAATAAAGAAGTTATTACATTTGTTTCAGTGGAAGGAAATGAAAGTGAAACACTTCAAGCAACAGGCAGATGTACTTTGCACCAAACGTTTCAACACTGTGTGATCAAGGAACACCCATTTTACCACTTCCTTTATCTCCCTTTTCACTTCTTTCCCCACTAACTCTTCCCTTGTCCTCACCGGAGGTCTTCCCAGAGCTGGTCTTCTCTTGTCCTGGACCCCCACCTCAGCAGGACCTTGTGGCGTGGCGAACAGCAGGATTTCCCCTGTGCTGCTGGGGGCAGCTGCCGGGTGGAGTCCCTCATTGCTGGGGCTGGTGATAATCACTATCTGGTGGTCTTGGCCCAGGTCAATACTCCCAGAGTTCAGCAGAGTCTCAAAATCAGCCAACAGGTCCTCCGATGTCTGCCCCGTTATCAGAGTCTCTGACATGGCAGTGTGTCACTGAGTAACCCCTTCAAATTGAGTTTAGCTTCCAACAGCAGGGGTGTGACAAGACACCAACACAGAATTATAATGTCCTCTTGAATTATGGGTTATAATCATTTATCCAATTCAGCACTCTAAAAGCAGATTCTCCTTTCGACCTGACTTAACAGGGCACTACTTCATGACTCCTTCTGGAGGTGCTGGTGATATGAGTTTGGATTCTTTCATTCATCATTTCTTATGATAAATCATAAACTGATTGTCCTGAAATTTCTTAATCATGACCCTGATATTCCTACCACTGATCAACACTTGCTTTCATTTGATTTGCCTGCAGAATTTAGGGAACAAGGGTCAAACCTTCTTAAAGTTTGCCTGCAGATGCATTTAAGCAGAAAAAGCATTTCTTCAGATGTTCCCTTTGACTAGATTATACAACTTCTTGCTGTAACAAACAGATTAAAAGAAAAAAGAATACACAAATAAGTCATCGTACAATGTCCCTAATGTAAGCAGATAAAGACCCAGCAGCACAGGATGTTCTGTCAGACAGGAAATTTGGCAAATAAAACTGTATTGCTAAACACATGCAACCTCAGCTACTTGACGCCCAGCTGTTGATATATCTCCAAAGCTAGGGTCTAAAATTATCCGCGGTACGCATATATTTCAAAGGATTAGCGAGCTAGCAGAGGAGTAAGCTAATCTTTTGTTTTCATCTGTCCTGACAGTAAAGTACAGCCGTGAGGCCTGGCCACACTGTCCTCAACACAGCTACCAACCCTGCTAACAAGCTAGCGTGTTTCCTACCGACAAAGACAGACACAAGTCAACAAACAGCCCGCTGCAGACAGTGCAACACCCATTTAAGGGTATACAACTAAGTTATATACGCGTTCACATAAAAGAGAGTTTAGTGAGAGGGTTATTCAAACTTTACAGCAGCTTTCCAGTAGTGAGCTATCGACATGAGTGATCCAAAGGGAAATGCATCCCCACAGCTAACCACCGTCTGCAATCGTATTTCCAATAAAGCGACAGTGAGAAGAACACATATGAGCAGATATTTCCCAAATTAAGAATATATAGGGCAGATTAGCATGTTAGCTGAGTTATTAGCCGCAATTCTTCAACCCCCTCGTTTTGTTAGGGCACGCAGGAAGCAGTCCGACAAAACTGGAAATGTGAGAAAATAAAGCGGACAAATACAAGCACGTGCTCCCCAAAAGTAGCCGTTAGTCCTTCGGTTGATCCCAGCGGGTGCGGTCCCCTCATAGAAGCGTCTTCCGGACCCCGTTATCGGCTGTTATTGTTGTTATTGTCCCAGCTGATCTACATCTAAACAAGGATCAGACAGTTTTCGCGCGAAATCTTTTTTGCCGCGAAATAGCCACGTGCACAAATCTGACTGTTGTGATTGGTGGAAATTGGGTTCTTTCCGTAGGGCGGGTCAGTGAGAAGCTGAGTGGTGGAAACGGCAGTCTGTCATTTAATCGAGAGCAGATTCATCGCACACGGGAGGCGTTCACAATCCAGGGAGATAATCGTTCTAGCTGGACTTTCGCTTTGTTGGTTTACATTTCCTACTGCGGGAACATTGTGGCAAAGCTACTATTGAAAATGCTCCATTACAATCTTCGATAGTGTGTCACGTCGACAACTTTTATGTCAAGAGACAAAAAAACTACTGTGTTTAATTTTAGTGGCTTCAATAATACATTCAAAGTGTAATTCCAGCAATTGCTCTTCTCTTTGAGGATCGTAAACATAAATGAATGAAACAAGTGTAGAGATTTCTTAAAATATATATGTACATATATTCATTTTATTGACAACTACGAGGCAAAAAGGACAAACGTTGCATAGGCAATGAGATATCAATACATTTCGTGAGATTAAATTTGTTTAAAATATGTTAATGACCCCTGGGGTTTCATACGAAATAATAAAGCAGGTGTTACATATTTTAAACTTTTGCATAAATTTGAAATAAGACAGCATCTTCATTAATCAAGTGACAAATATGAGTTTAATGTCACACCATACGCAATTAAACAATAATTATTTTTTTACAAAATATTTTCCCTTTCTAAATAAACAATCAGTGGATACAATAGTTGGGATAATATGCTACTGCTGAGGCAAAAAAAGAGTTTCCACTGTATCTCTGTTGGCTTTGTTGTAGGAAGGTGCGTTCATCAACAGGCAGCCCTTGCTAATCGAGCGCCAATTGCGCAGTAGAAGAGCTACAAGATGGCGCAGGCAATATTTGAAGTGCTTGAAGGTAGGAGAAAATGTATAATAATATGTAACTACTGTGGTGATAAGATATCTACATGTGTTTGGAGCAAATTCGGTAATAGAGGACCTTTCAGATGTACCAAAAAGTGCGCTATAAAACGCTGTTACAGCTCATATTTTTGCTTTAACTACTAAAACAGCCCACAGAGAGTAAGGACCATGACTGTAAACAAACACACTGATTATTTTCAGACTGGTTATTTTCTGCAGCTTGCAGTTTTTCCACGAGTGCATGATGTTGTAATTGTATCACAAAAAAGACATTGAAAATGCGAAAACCCCACATGCTTCTTGAATAATGATGTTTTAATGTAGGCCCATTGTAAAAGAAAAACACTGTCTTGCTTCAGTGGGCTACTTAAAGTACTGATGAGTCTGTACTCTCTGTGGTGTTTAAAACAACCTGGTGCTTTGTGGATTTAATGTGTTGAGACATAATTACGGTTTTCTTTAAATTTGTTTACATTCATTTACATTTGTATAACAAGATTACTATAGAGTAATAGAGGACAAGGTTGACTGTGGAGGAAATCCTACAAAAAAACAGACCAAACCTAAGAGCTAAATCTACAACTATTTAAAGCCCGGAGTAATGTTGAACTTTCTTTTCCATCATTGCCTCTTCTTCCTCAGGCATGGACAACCAGACAGTGCTGGCAGTCCAGTCTCTGCTGGATGGCCAAGGTGGAGTTCCAGACCCAAACAGCCAGAACGTCTCTGGGACATCCACCATCCAGTCTATGGGTATGTAAAGCCAATATGTGTAAAGTTAACAATAGCTGTGTTTAAAAGTTGATTTATGTGATGCTGTGGCAGTGCATATTGAAGAACCTTTAGCATGTTCTCTGGACTCTATTGAAGTGTTCACACTGTGAGAGGGTGCACATTGGTATTTTGTATTTTGAGGCATTTTGCTCTTAATCATCAATGAATAACTTCGTTTGTATCACAGCTTTCATGTTATGATGCTACCTAAAGTGGTAATCCAAACAAGATTAGATAAAAGCTCAAAAATGATCCTGTTTTCTTTCATTATTTCAGACAAAATCTTTTCTCTTTCCCTTGAAAGAGAATGTACTATCACATCATAGATTTTCAAACTACCTTTCTTAAAATTCCCACCATATAAACAACAAACAATATCCAATGGAATATAAAATCCTACAAGTTGTAAATTTTATATGCATAAATTTCATTTCATGTTTATTTATTTCATTTCATTCATGATACATAATTCATACAATACATTGCACTCATCTTTTTTTTTTCATGCGTAATCATGTAAAATGAAAAGGAGCAGACAGAAGACAAGTCTAAATTTAAGTACTGAAGGCTTTAGAATCAGTTTATTGTACCATGGAGTGTGTATTCTCCTCAAACCTCACATTTGTCTCTACTGCAGATGATGAAGACGTCTTTCTTTGTGGGAAGTGTAAGAAGCAGTTTAACTCTTTGCCGGCCTTCATGACACACAAGAGAGAGCAGTGCCAGTCTAGCGCCCCCTCCCTATCCACAGTGTCTTTGGCCTCCACAAATGCCTACACCCCTGTTCCCTCAATCAGCACTGGACCACAGACTCCTGCGAACAGACAGGTGAGGTGGACAGGTCCTTTTTTATGGGTGATTTATGAATGGTTTGATTTCCCCAGATAGGTCATGTTTATATGTAAAGTTATGGACTTAGTTATTAAAGTTATTTCAACTGGTTAAAAAAGTGAAGAAGGAAGCACATAATTCTGGATTAACTGATTGTCAAATCAGATGAAGAAGCATCCAACTTTTGATGATAGTACTGAGCAAAGTAGGTATGAATCAAACATTTTTATGTGGCCAACTAGGCTTTCTGATGTATATGATTATTTATTGTATTTTTCCCATTTTATTAGGTATCAACATATATCACAGTGCCTCCCTCTCCCCTGACACACACTCTGGTCCAAGGCAATGTGTTGGTCAGTGATGATGTTCTCATGTCTGCCATCTCAGCGTTTACCTCTATTGACCAGCCAATGGCCACCATGCAGACGCCCATACAGGTAATGCAGTAAAAGGTCCCAATGCAGATGTTTGGACTTCTGCCACAGCTGCATGTCTTTAAATCTTGAAATCACCTCACTTTAAAAAACTATGATATACAAAATGACTTAAATTTTGCTTCCTTTTTTGCGTTGTAGAGTAACTTGAGCATGCACACAGCTGGTGTATCCTACCTGCAGCACCATCACCACCACCACCACCATCATCATCACCAACAGCAACAGCAGCAGCAACAGTCCTCCCACCCTCTCCCCTCCAACCAGACACAAGCTCATCCCCTCCCAGCTGGACAGCCCTCCCAGCAGCCGCTCTCTTCACAGGTGCCAGCCAGCCACAGCAACTCTGTGGTGCAGGTGTACAGCACGCTGCCCCACATGGCGGGGGGTGGAGGTGCAGAGATCCACACCCTTGGTCTGCAGCCCTTCCACCCTATACAAGTGAGTGAAGATGTTCTTTGGCAGGGGTGGGAAAATTGAGTTTTTATTGTGAAAGAAAAGCCTCAAGTGAAGATGCAGAATTTCTGTCATTGCTGATATATCTTTTCAGCATTAATTTATACTTTTTAATGAATTAGGCATATGTGATTTATGTTTAACTCAACAAAAAAAGGTTTTGTAATAATCTGTTTTTAATAAGGAACTTAAAAGGGACATACAGGAAAGGAGACAGGTTGGAATTAACATAGCTCCCTGCTTGATCACTGTAACACAAAGTTTTGTAATTAAAAATACATGAATTTATACAGAGGGGCCACCCTTTACCCCTTACCCTTGTATAAAGAAACACTATCACAAGGTTTTCATGAGGAAACACAAAAGGTAGAATAAGATGTTAAATCTCCAGACAGTATAGTGAAACAGCCAAAACAGATGTACTAAATAAGATAATAATAAAAGATGACTCTAGTAAAAGAACAGTAATCTAAAAGTATCATTTATTTATTTTAATACTAAAACTGCAGCACTTTCACAGGATAATTCTTGATGGTTAATACAGTTAACTGTTCAAAAGGCCAGGATTTTTTTTCTTGAAAGGACACACCTGACAAAAGTGTGGGACAAAATCGCAGACTAGATAATAAAATTCAATTTGTCCACCAGAGGGCACTAAAGTACAAACCAAAAATCCCTTTGAAAAGCTTTTATCCAAGAGAAATAAAGAGTCTTTTTCTTTGTAGTGTCATTTGCTTTGGTAGGCTTAATAGTGATGTTATATTTAGCATGTGTCACAACCAGACAAAAACCACTCACAGAAGCTTTAAAGAAAACCCCTGTTCAAACAAAGATGTAGAAATGCACACAGACATTTATAACTATAAAGAAGTTTACGACAAATCACTGTATCCATTGTTTTTTCATCTCCAGGTGCCCAGTCAGTGTGTGGAGAGCCAGTCATTTACCACCCCACCAGTGTACAGCCCTGGGAAACAATGCACCAAAACAAAGATCTGCAGCATCACCACCAACCTGACAGAGCTGGGAGACTTTGAAAAAGTTATCATTCCCAAAAGACCAAGGAGCAGCAAGAAAAGCCCAGATGGAACCACAGGTATGTGAGAATAAAGGTCAAATTAGAAAGCAAGATTTTTTAAAAAGTGATTGTTTCAATCCTGCAAGTTTTAAACAGAAACCACAAGATGCACGACTATGTATCACGTTTATGCTGATCACATGTGACTGAGAACTGAAATTGTCTTCTGAGCAGAGCAGCTAAAAGGAAAAGGTCCGAAGCTTAAGTGCAATTTCTGCGACAAAATCTTCTCGAAAAACTTTGATCTGCAGCAGCACATTAGAAGGTGAGTCACTGGTCAACAAAACAGGCTGAATTCATTCAAAAATGGACGAAGAACAGACAACAAATCTTTTCATTTCTGACTTTGATCTTCTCGCAGTCACACAGGAGAGAAACCGTTTCAGTGCATCGTCTGTGGACGAGCCTTTGCTCAGAAATCCAACGTGAAGAAACACATGCAAACACATAAGGTTTGAAGGTTTAATGCTCATCCCACAATTATTTGGAAAAAACAAACTCAAAGCAAACACAAAATAAACCATGTTGGTTGATGTGACACTCAGTCCCTGAAAGTATGGACCAAGTTAAGAGTACACCTCTAAAAGTTCACAGATGGAGCCTTAAGTTTTAATCTGTTATTGACTATTTGCTAAACCCTCTTCACTTTTACTGCATTTGTCAAGCTTTAAATTCCCTCTATTAGATTAAACGTTTCTAAATTCTGCAAACTTTGGTCCATGGTTCCAGGTAGAAGTGGACAAAAGCAGATAGTTTATGATTCTGTAAATTCAATTTGGTATGAGAAAAAAATATATTCATCAACTGTTTTCTTTTCATAAAGGTGTGGCCTATGGGTGTGGCCAGCACTGTATCAAGATTACCAATCACAGTCAAGGTGGTACCAGTGTCATCCAATGAGGAGGAGGGTGTCAGGAAGCAGCAGGAGCAGCAGCAGCAGCAAGGTGAACCTGAAGAGGAGGGATCTCAACAGCAGAGTGGTCAGAGACGAGAAGAGGAGGAAGCAGCTCAGACAGGTAATATTCAGGAGCTGTGTGAGAGCAAGGAAAAGACTTTAGACTCCAGGTTTCAGTCTAAATACAATGTTTGACAACAGAAGCTCCAGGGGAGATGAAGGAGGGTGCCACAGAGGCCCAGGTTGATCTGGAGGGCAGTCAAGGAGAGAATGGACTTCCTCAGGTGCAGTCCAACCAGAACCAGCAGTGCCAGTCTCAGACCAAACAGATAGTCGTGATTGACAGCTCCTATCAGTGCCAGTTCTGTGCCAGCAAGTTCAAGACCTACTTCCAGCTCAAGTCCCATTTGACCCAACACAAAGGGGAGCAGGTGAGCACAAAGGGGGTAACTGGTAAAGACATCGGAGAGATTTGTTTTATTACCACAAAAATAACCAGGCTGACTTCTTTGCAGGTTTATAAATGTGTGCTGAAGTCCTGCTCTCAGACTTTCCACAAGTTGGATCAGTTCCTGGAGCACATCAGGACGCACCAGGAGCAGCTGACGTACCGCTGCCACCTCTGCGGGAAAGTTTTCCCCTCACTGTTTGAACTGGGGGTCCACCAGTACTCCCACTGTTTCTGCCCACAACAGAACACACGCAAGGAAACGACCATCTACAGGTCAGCCTTAACATGAATCCTTGAATAGCAGAAGAAAAGAAAACCTGCATCCCTCCACTCTGACTGGGATGCAAGTAAAGCAAAGGGTCAAACATCAGGTTAATCTTATATGGAAACGCCCTTAGTCAGTATATTTGTTAATAATTTGCAACTTTGGCCATGTGTTAGGTTTACCTACATAGGTTTGCTTTAATCCAATATATATATTTAGGACTGTATTATCCTTTGTAGCTGTGAAAATCTACATTTTTCTTTACAGCTTTGACAAAAATTAATTATCTGTAATCTGAATCCTGTAGATGTGTAATGTAGGGTGCAAAATAAGTTACTACCACTTCAAGTACCAATCTCGTGATTCAGTGTTGATGTAAAAAATAGATTATGTATACTTATGTGTCGAAATAAGAATGCTCTGCTATTTAACAAGCTAAGAGATTGTAAATGCAATGCAATTTACCCCCAGCTCGCTGAATGTTACTCCCCGTCTTGTTAAGCTCAATGATATCGCTGTCAGTACACCATTTCTTCCTTATGTTTCGTGTCAGATGTGTGAAATGCCAAAGCAGATATTCTACCCAGGAGGCACTGGAGCAACATCTACTGACCGCCTCACACAACTACCCCTGCCCACACTGTCAAAAGGTAACAAACACACTTCTGTGCACACATTTGAATATGTTACAGTAATCAGTAGTCTCTCACACTTAGTATCATGGCCTAAAAATGTAAAGTTCATTTCTTTGTGTTTGATAGATTTTGGACTCTTTGTATCCATGTCACTATTTAAAAGTCATGTTTGATCTGTTCTCAGGTTTTCCCATGTGAAAGATACTTCAGACGCCACCTCCCCACACATGGCGTTGGCGGGAGGTTCAAATGTCAGATCTGTAAGAAGGCCTTCAAGACAGAGCACTACCTCAAACTGCACACGCGGATTCACTCAGGTGAGAGAGGCGTCTACGAAGGTTTCATCACCTCCCTCTGGGGTGTGTTTGGATCTCCTATGATAGTGTCTGTGGAACAAGCTGGGGTTGGGGTTCATCTTGGTGAAATTGTGGCATTAAATTAAACAAACAAATACTTACAAAGCCAGAATGGGCATTTGAGCCACTGGCATTTGTATATCATACTGTAATTATTCCTCAGGTGGTCATTAGTAAGTGTAAAGGTGATCATTTGACATTTCCTCTACTTTTTAGGTGAAAAGCCATACAAATGCTCCCTCTGTGAGGCGACTTTTAACCGGAAGGACAAAGTGAAGCGACATATGCTCATCCACGAACCCTTCAAAAAATACAAGTGTCCTTTTAGGTGAGCCTCCCTAACATGAACATAAAAACAAAATCCAAAGAAGTTTATCTTTCTCTGTTTTTTGTAGTTGTTTCTCGTTAAAGCTGGTTGAAATTTGTAGTCAGCTTTCTCCTCGCTTGTCCTTTTCTGTTGTGTTCTTATTTAGTTCACTCTAACTTTTCTGTTTCTCCATAGGACACACGTTGGTTGTACCAAAGAGTTTAACAGACCAGACAAGCTAAAAGCCCATATCCTGTCACATTCTGGTGAGTGAGTCATACAGATTTTTCAAAAAAGTTTTAGAGCTCCTCCTGGTGACTGACTGCTGTATGCTGAATTGAAGCATGTTTACAGATGGAACCAACTATGATATTAAAATACACAGCAAATTATTTACTCTCAGTGCTGTCTCTCATTAGAGTGAGTTCTTATCATCATCCACAAGAGGTAATTTTTCTGAGAAAATTTGCAGGGGTCAATTGATTATCCATCTGATTTATTATTGGTTGCTGATTTGGCCTGCTGTCTGTATCAGCATTTGATTTTAAAGATTAGCAAAAGAATGACTTCATATCAACGTGCATAACTTTCACTCTACTGCACTTTAGCTTCCTGAGTCAGTTTCCACTCATTACCCTGTCCCACCTAATATCTCACCCACAACATAATCTGATTGGCTGACACCACACAGGTACCAGCCAATCAACACTGAAGCCTGGGTGCCACTGACAGCACAGAGGGAAGAGCAGCCTTGAGCTGGAATAGAGCCACCTGCTCCAGGCTGGCAAAAGCCCCAATAACTTCAACCTTGGGAACTTGCTTTTTATGATTTTGTAGTTTTCAGCTTTGATAAGACATTTGACGACTTCTTTTTTCAAGGAACTTTAAAGGTTAAACATATTCAAAGACTAAACTCTAAATACAGTCATACCATAAATGCATAATTTATTTTACAAATTCATTGTGAAACTAATTAAATCATAATATTTATTGAGTAGCTCTCATTATAATAATAACAAATTGATATTAGGGGGGAAAAAAACTTGTAAACAGCAATACAAAGGCCAAAAATTCTTCAAGTGTGTACAGATATTTTGATGATGACAAGTTTTGAGGTCTCAATGAAGGAAGTTTAGAGCAGCAGCAACTCTGTGCACTGCAAGATAAAATGACGATGATGTGGCTTTGAAGAAAGTGACATTACAATGAGGTTTCTGCTTCAAATAAATGATCCAGCTGTGTAAGAATCATTTTTGTTGCTGAGAAATACAATCTGAACCTCTTTATCAGCATAAAGACAAGTACTTTTATCAGGTGTGACCATAAGTCATTTACACCATGTCAGAATGGGCAAATTACGTTTAAATGATAAGAAAAATACCTTTAGGTGTTTACGAGAGGCCTCAAATCCAAAGGCTGTTTCTATTACTGGAATTTAAAAATAAAAAACACAGCATTACAGCGCTGACTTGAAAACTCTTTTTTCCTCCAGGTATCAAACCCTACAAGTGTCTGTTTTGTCAGAAGGCATTCAGCCGCAGAGCTCACATGCTGGAGCATCAGCAATCCCACACAGATAACTACCGCTTCAGGTGCTCCACCTGCAACAAGGGATTCACCAGACAGAGCTATTACAGAGATCACAAATGTCCTGCAGCAGGGAACAGGACAGGAGCTGAAGGAGGGGGGACTGAAGAAGAGGAGGAGGAAGAGGAAGAGGGAGATGAGGTTGAAAGAGTAGTGACAGAAGAAGAAAAGGACGGAGAAGAAGACCAAAGAAGGTTGATGAGAAAAGCCAAAAGATCAGAGAGTGAGGGGGATGACGAAGAGGAGGACAGCTCAAAGGACAGTCAAGAGCAGGAGACACATGAGGAGGAGGAGGACGATGAGGAAGAAGAGGAGGAGGAGGAGGAGGTGGAGGGGAGGACTGATGAGGTTTGTCAGGCTGCAGTGTCTATCACAACTGCTGAAGAACAGACAGAAAGAGAGGAACAGGAGGAGGAGGAGGGTGATGGGATGAAAACTGGTGAAGGAGCACTTGAACAGATTCAGAGCAATGACCAAAACTGTTTGCAGCAGCCATGTTTGTAGTTCTCAGCATCACCTTTGTAGGAATGTCTCCAGGACATGGACCAAACAAACAGTTATAAATTATTTATAAAGGCCGTCAGGGTCTGACTATTGTCTTATCATTTGTTTTAAATTAAAACATTTAAATTATTTGCACTGCTTTCACTTATTTTTGCTGTGTATGAGTAAATACATTACCTTTTATACTTATTTTGCCAAAATAACAAGTGGACCATTTATCGTGCGCAGATTTGGGGCTGTAAAGCTGTGGTTGTTCATTATAGGTGTCATGATGTTAAGCCAGCATTTTTAAGTATAAATGTTGCATAAACTACCTGTTACATACACTTAAACTTGTCTTGCAGTATATTTTTGTATGTATTTATAAAGTTTTGCAATTTAAATTCATGTAAAATTCTCAATTTTTCTGTTTTTTTATCTTTTTATATCTTTTTATATTTGTCCCTTAAGGGACAAATATAAAAAGATGAGTAATTTTTTATATTTTTGTTCAGTGTATTAAGTTAATACACTGAACAAAAATATAAACGCAACACTTTTGTTTTTGCTCCCATTTTTAATGAGCTAAACTCAAAGATCCAAGACTTTTTTTATGTACACAGAAGACCTATTTCTCTACAATATTGTTGACAAATTTGTCTAAATCTGTATTACCTCTGTGGTACTGCGACAAGATCCTGGGGCCAATTGATGTGCCATCATCTTATGTTGCAGCATGATAATGCACGGCCCAATGTTGCAAGGATCTATACACAATTCCTAGAAGCTGAAAACATCCCAGTTCTTGCACGGCCAGCATACTCGCCGGACATGTCACCCACTGAGCATGTTTGGGATGCTCTGGATCGGTGTGTACGACAGCGTGTTCCAGTGCCAATATCCAGCAACTTTGCACAGCCATTGAAGAGGAGTGGACCAACACTCCACTGGCCACAATCAACAACCTGGCCAGTCTAAGGCACACCTGTGCATCATGCTGTCTAATCAGCATCATGATATGCCACACCTGTGCAATAATCATGCTGTCTAATCAGCATCGTGATATGCCACACCTGTGCAATGGATGGATTATCTCAGCAAAAGGAGAAGTGTTCACTTACACAGATTTAGACAAATTTGTAAACAATATTTTAGAGAAATAGGTCTTTTGTGTACATAGGAAAAGTCTTAGATCTTTGAGTTTAGCTCATGAAATGGGAAATGGGAGCAAAAACAAAAGTGCTGCATTTATATTTTTGTTCAGTGTTCATTACCTACCACATAGCCCTTGACAAACTAGACATGAAGATGCATAGGACATCTCATACAAGCCAATAAGACTTTCATCAACTTCTTAAAACTTTATTTTTAAACATTTAAAAATGTTGCTGATGTTAACAAATAAAGAAAATGTACCTTAGTTGTTAGTTTACCTTAATAAGTTTAAGGTTTAAGGCCTATATCCCAGCAAGTCTACATTTTTAAAGTGTTAAATCTGTTAAAGGGGCTGATCAGAGCCTCATGGGGGACAACAGAGAGACACAGCAGACAGGCAGATGCACAGAAAAAAAGGGATTTATTAAGAACACCAAGTTATCAAAACAAATAATGATGCGGGCAGTAAAGAAAATGAAAAAGCAGGTTAAAAAAAACAATGCCCCCTAAGGGAAGCTACTGTGTGGAGGGAAAAATTATAACAAAGGAATTTCTACAAACGTAACACATCTAAACTAACTAAACTCAGAGAAGCTATAGGGTCTACAAGATAAAAAACAAATTCAGAAAACTAACAAACCAGGCAACAAGCTGAAAAGATAAGAAAACACACTACCTTGGCTGGAACAAACTGACCTATTCAAGGGAGAGGATGAGGGAAGGCAGGCTGAGGAGGTGTGTTACATGGCCGAGTGATTGAAAAGTCCAGCAGGTGAGCAGAATGGAACGGGCAGGTTGGGCTGGAAACTGAGGATTAGCATCCAGGGTGAAACAAAATAAGACAGCAAGGTTGATCAGAAGTTAATAACTGTGTCTTTACAACAGTCCAGATCTGAGTTGTGACTGCAGTCAGGTTTTATGGCAGAGGTTGGAGAGTCTGTGATTACCACTTGCCTGCACCTGTCTGCACTCCACACACCTCACTCATGCCCACCTGGGGAAAAGGGGAAAGAGAGAAAGGAGGGGGAAAGGGAGAGGCTGCCACTAAGCAGAGCTGGAGGGCATGACAAGATCAGTAAACTCTACTATTTGAGTAACATTTAACTCTTTAGTTTTTAAATGACCATGAAAAAAAAAACAGATTAAGTCTCACTTGAATGTGAGCTTAATGCAGAAAGTAGAAATCAACACACATTTATATTTATTATATAACTGAGTTTCCACCACAAAATATAGATATCCACCACTAGATATTAGATGCTCACGATTTCCGGAAGGAGAGCTCCAACCCACAATTTTTGCTCATGTCTCATCATGCTTTGTTTAAAATGAGGCCCTTAAGGTTTCTGTCCCGATCCTTTAACCTTTAGGCTGTCCACCTCTAACTTTTACAGCCCCCTTATCTTTGATGGCCTAAAATGAGGCCTTTTTGTGCAAATATCCTACGATTAACTTTTTGCCAACAACCTAAAAAAATGTTTTGCACTCTGTTTCTGCGTCGTTTAATCAGCTGCCATAGAATCACTAAGGAAAAAAAATGTCATTCCAGTCATAGCAGAAGTCAGTCGGGTGATCCCTGAAAGTCAAAGGTCTACACTTGAAACTTTTGATTTGCTCTTGTGGCTTAAACTGTCAAAAAAGCTGCTGGTAGACCCAATTGTTTTATTTTAAGCTCTGCATTGGCAGACTGTAATTAGGGAAATATGCAGACACAGTGCATACTGCAGGGATTCAGACTGTATAGGGCAGAGGCCTAGATTCCTTAAACGCGTTTGTGACGATTACAAGTACCTATGTCAGCTCCATTATGGAGGCGGTAGTGTGCAGGCCGCAACAGAAACACTTTTGACCTCAAGCTTGCATCGCACCGCACTTGGACAGTAACAGTAATGACAAAAATATTATTTATTTTATACAGGATAAGGACGACTTTACCCAGCAGTAGCGACTTATTTTTACAGACCCATACATTTTCGTATTTTCTAGGCCTAAGGCTACTTTTTAAATATGGCTCCTAAACACACAGGATGTGGATTATGTCAATTTGACAGGGAGGTGGTGGCTGTAGAAACTATTTTAAATTACCTAATTGTCTCTCGGCATCTTCCGCCCAGAGATATGTCCGTACAAATAAAATACCGAACGTAAGTTAAACTTCTTGGATGTAAATAAATCTATATTAGTTTCTCACAACAAATCGTCAGAAAAAAAATGTAAAGCGCACGACTTGACAGGTGTAGGTGTCACGTAAGTAGTATGAATATGTAAGAAATTATTTAACCAAAAATTTTAAGTTGATTTTTTTCATGATATTATGCCTTAGGTGGAGATAATCAGAAAATGGTTCTCTTATAAAATAACATTATGTATTCAAAAAATTGATATCGCTGGTTGTCATGGTGATGACGCCAGCGCGAACGTCCCCAATAATTCCAATCTCTTTCCAAACTTTCCAAAACTTCATCGAACATCAAGAGGAGACAAAAAGGACGTGAATATTAAATAAAAGGCATGGCTTTTCCCAGACCCGGCAGAGAGAAGTACCTCCTACCCGATGACTATAGGTAAAACTCTTAAAACCTTTGGACCTTTTTTCACAAACAAATATAAGCATTAGGAAATAGATTACATTATAAATAACTGAGTATCTATCGATAAAAAATTAGGTCATTTCATCTTTATTCTGGGGAAAATGTGTTTTTAGCAAAAAGCTTGACTTGTATTTCGGTATCATTTTTAACATTTCCAGCCAAATACGTCTGACGTATGAGAGGTCAACCTGGGCCCGCTTTGCACGTCTGTGTAGTTGAAACAAGAGAGCAGAAACGCTTTAAGAAACCGTGGATTTGTTTTCATCTCTATAAAATCTTTAAGGTCAAATGGCTGAAGAAACGTTTGAGCCTCCACAGTCACTGTAGAATTTAGTACTTCATCTATTGACCGTTTTCAAGTGGGTTGCTCCCCACTCACCTCAAGAATGGGATGTTATTCTCTGTTTCTAAATTGCCAGTAAAACCTTTTTGGAATAATGGTTATATCACTGTCGGTAACAAAAGATTATTTATAGAGCTCTGTATTGAGAGTGGAATCATTTGGCTTCGCCTTTTGATAAAAATGGTGATCTTTTTAATTATAAAATTTTTTGAAAGTTACATCCTTACCTGTCAAGTTTTGGGATTTTTGGTTAATTCCTACAGACATATAAGATTTCTTAAAAGGAAAAACCATTTTGAATAACCATAGATTACAGAAACTATCCTTTCTCTAAAAATTTCACAGATTTTTAAAAATACGAATAAATAAATGACACTTCTCTGTGGATTATTCATCATAAACACAGTCACATGTTTTGATTTAATTTATTAAGGTGACAATTTCTATATTACACATCTTGCATGTACATCAGAAATTAAACCAGGGAAAAGAAAATATAGTGTTATACCATAAACCTCTTATTAAAACCTCTCTTTTACAAAAGAAAATTTGTTATTGACACCATTTACAACTTGTCTTCATGTACAGGAAAGTGACAGTGGTTAAGTTGTACATGGAAAACTCTGGAGCAACAAAAAAAAAGCTGTTTTTTTTTGTAATTTGATATTTACATATTTTCTTATTTACCATGACCACAGGATTTTTACCAGAATAAGATTAAAACAGCACTCATCAGCATGGGATAAAAATCTGAGGCAAAAATGTAAATAAGCAACTTAACCAATCATCTTTTTATCATGATACATTCATTTTATCACACTGAATTTATCTCAGTAGTCATTTCCTCAGCTGACGTCACAGTTAAAGCCACAGTTCATCAGCTTAAGTCTTCTCACTTTGCAACACTGGTGCAGTTTCTTCAAAAGAACATATCAAAATCCTCTTAGTCTGGAAACCTGATGCCTGAGGGTACAAATAAGGCTACCTGAAGGCTAATGACAAACATGACAGACCACCTCGATGTGCATTGGAAACACAGGACAGAGTTTCCTGGCATGGTGCACACACGAAGGTGGAGGGAAAATGGTGTTTCTCTGTAATATAATCAACACCTACATTTCAATGTTCCTCAGTAACCACACCTGTTTTTTTTTTTTGTTTTTTTTTTTAGTGTTTGATTAATCAATTCAAAAACAGACACTCCAAAATAAGAAACCACAATCAAAAACTCAATTTATCTCTTCTGGAAAGATGGTACTGCTGTTTAGAAGCATAGACTCTGTATTAAAGGTGGACGACAATGTCTGAAGCTTGCAATCTTCCTAGTAGCCAGCAGGGGGCAACCTTTTTAAAATTTCGAGCTCACTTTTAAATTGGAATTCAATTGTATGAGGGCTTATTACTAAAGTGGAGACAGTTCATTTTTTCCAGTATGTGCATTTTGTGAAAAGCCTTTTTTCTAGCCAGAGGTTTTTCAGCGTTATCAAAATTCACAGTAGCCCAATGAAGATGGACAAGGGAAAACTTGTCTCGTGTTGTGCCAGATCAAAATTTGATACTCTCCCCTGAAGTCATGGATTCTTCATCCTCCACTCTGAAGAGGAGAGGAATCTGCCGGCTGAAAACTTGGCAGGAGTTCACCTCTTATGAGGACCAAATACAGTCACTTTTGGTTCTGGGGAAACTTTATGCGAACAACCAAAAGGGAAACTTTACGCTTCAAAACATCAACGCCAATTTATGCGTCCACTTCTTATACTCGTTGTAGGAGAAGCAGTTGTATAAAATCAGAAAAACCAAACCAAAGGGTATTAATCATAGATGTACTGTTTTAAAATTAATACCAGATTAACAATTTATATCCTGCAACAATACTTCTTCACTATTCTTTTGGCAATTGTGAGGAGGAAATACTCAGTGGTAAAACTTTATTTAAATTTTTCATTTTTAGAATTTCTGACCAACAGAAAAATTATGCTATATGTGTTTGGGAAGCAGAATTCAGTTTGCTTTTAGTCTTGCAAAATATGCATGCATAAAATCTGACCTAATTTCCTAAAAATGAGTTTGGTTTGAGTTGTATTTGGCATTTTCTGGTCTTGTGTCTCACACTGCATAAATTTACGTTCGTCTTGACTGAAAATCCTTCAATACTTTCCTTTTCCAAATGGAGACAGACCATCCCAAGATTTAACGGAGACAGTGTAAAATAAATTTGGTTGAGATTAAAAGAATAATTTATAGCATTTTATCATAATACTCTAATCCCATTTTACATCATGACACACAAACTTTGGCCCTATAAAACTAGGGTCCACTCAAGTTCTCTTTATAATTTCCCACCTCATTAAAAAAATGGAGTTTCAACACTTTTCACAATCATTAAGCGATTCACAGATCAAATACCTCAAAACCAGAAGCTGTTCAAGTCTCCTTAATCTCTTTAAAGCACAGAGATTGTCTGTTAATAGAGTTTATAGTGATCCCTCCACTTTCATTAATTCAGAAGTTAATCTATTTCATATTTGTATGTGTTATTGTTTTCTAAAAACCAAGGTTAACCTTTGTCAAGTGGTGAGAAAGAGGGAAATCTGAGGATAGGACACTGAGGCGGATGAAGAAATTAGATGAAACTCATTCAAATGCAACAAACAATCTTAGAGTAACAACATTTGATTTTTGGTAAATTAACCCTGTTTAGAAAAATAACACACACACACCCTCAATCCTGCCCTCTTCCACTCTGATGTTTATCAGAGGCTTTAGTGCAGAGCAACTTAATACAAAGAAATCCTGGTGTCAAAGATGCCTCAACAAGACACAGCGATGAGATTCTGACTCTAACCCCATGCTCACCCTGCTGTCTGTTGTTAAATGATCACAGTATGGAGGAAACATCAAAACTGCATTCCCTTAAACAGATGTCAGATAGAGGGAGAGTTTTCAGGATCCCATGCAAAATGTGTCGCACATTCTGAGAGAGGAGCAGCTCAGAGTTTTGGTTCAAAAGAGGACAACACTTTCAAACCTGCTGCAAAGCAGTAGAAATAACAATCCCAGCTCTGCTTTGCAACAACATGCAGGCAACAGTCTGATATACACACACCCATAAAGGGACCATACAGGTGTGTGCATGCATGCATGCGCACAAGCACACCTGACACTCGCCTCTTCTCTATAGGCTCCCTGAATTTAACACTTGTGGTCTTTTTTTTCCTTCAGACTCCTCCTCCTCTTCCGGTTGTTTTTAACTTCACACAGTTCCCTCTCACTCCTGTCCAAAGCCCTCTGTCTCCTCAATGGCAAACAGCAGCTTCTCCTTCAGCTGCTCGTAGCTCTTGTAGGGAGGCAGGTCCAGTCTGTTAAAGCTAGAGGAGGGGAAACAAAAGTTGTAGTAGTTAAATCAAAGTCGGATGTCTCTTAGTAAAGAACTACATTTTCCTATGAACCATCCACCCTTGTTATTAAAGCTTTTGCTTTGTTTCTTATTGGGAATCCTTCAGTTCAGTTCCCCTTTGGCAGTCCAAGCTTTTAGGTTTGTGCTTGTTCTCTATCACTTGTCACAAGTCTTGATGCTTACGTTGACTGACAGAGTCAGTCTGCTGCAGACTCACAGTGGTTTAAGTGAACTCACCATGTATGACTCCTTGGAAGCCAGTTTTCTTTTCCAACCTTCTCAATACAAAACTTCTGAGGACCGTTGCTTCCTGTGAAGAGAAACTCAGCTCAGTAAAGGTCACACATCATCAGTGAGACACATACAAAACAGAAAGAGGAACATGAAGGGATCCCACTGATACCTTACCTTGTGATCTCATTTAACAAGCTGTTATAAATACAGGCAATAGTAACACCAAGTTTAATGTGAGGTTTAAATTTAGCCCTCTGTGCTGTCCTTGAAAATTTAAACACCTCCCAATAAACTGACATCAACAGTATGAAAGCAAGGACCTGAAAATGGTCTAATCTACCGAATCATATATAAATATGTGTGTGCCACATGCACTTTTACACCAACAGAATATATAAATGAGGAATAGACTCAAAATTGCTCATAATTATTACCCATGAGGTCAGCAAAGCCTCCAACAGGAAGTCTGCAGGTACCGGAGACAAACTGAAGGAGCCTCATCCTCTTCTCGTTGTCCATCTCCTTTATGAACTGTAGAGCAGAATAACTCTGTTTAACACAACTTCATATCAAATGACAAATCATTGATTCAAGAAAATATTCATTTAAAAGTATGAAGAATATTGCTTATTTTTTTATGTCCTGTTAATCAACAAGTTGGTTGTAATGTCATTTCTAACTAACTTTATGTGCAGCTTGATATGGAAACTTAACTGGAGTTACTTTAAGCAACAGGGGTCAGGAAGCTTTTCTATGACAGCAGCCATTTTTTTACTCCCCTCTCCCCCCAAAACCTATTTCATGACCTATTTTCTAATCCTGTTGGAAAATGTGAATATTTGCCAACCGCAAAGCTGGCTATTTGTGGAAATAAATCCAGAGGAAAGCCAGCTTTGAAATAAAGTGGTATGTATGTTAATCCAAAGATGGGCAGAACTTCAAATCCATATTTTATCATGCTCTAAATATCAGACGTAGCATTTTATGTTTCGAACACCGGTCTCTTGTGTCTTTGGAGGCTTTCAGCATTATGAAGTGTTAAACGCAGTGATCAATGATGCCCTGAAATGGTTAGGGGTGGGAATCACCAGTGGCCCCATGATACAATATTATCATGATACTTGGGCCACGATAAGATATTATTGCAACTTTTAACATTTTACGATACAGTGAGCATTGCGATACAATAAATTGCGATTTTGTACAGTTTTTTCAGCTGTTTGGTTAATTTAGCATTTGTATTTTCCTTTATGTTTGTCTATGTACACAGTATATTGTTTTCATGTCGCACATCTTGCAAACCTGATATATTTGTTGTACTAACTTTCTTCTTCTCTATAATGTCACCTCTGCCAACTTTTATTTTTCCAATATCATAGATTTGATTTCTTATTGACGATTAATTTGAAATAATCGATACTTGGTAAATGAGACGATACGATATATCACCAGACAAAATATTGTGATACAATGCTGTATCCATTTTTTCTCCCACCCCTAGTAATGATATGGTTTATAATGAATTGAACCCTAATGCCAAGAGAAATGTAGCCTTTTCAGTTCACATTATTACTCTCACAACTTTACCTGGTTATAAAGATACATAAAGACTTCATTGTACATATCTTTTAAAAAGTTATAATTCTATGATGCTCAATTCAGAAAATGTCTTATTGATACACACAAGCATGACTTTAAGTAAAGTGACAGCTCTGTATGAGGTTAGTAACACCTAAATGTTCCCAAGTTTGGTGCAAACCAACCTGCCAGAACCAGATGATCTGTTTGCTGCTCCGAGCATAGTGCCTGTAGATTGTGTTTCTTTGCCAGTCTGTCAGGTCGATCTCCTGCATACCACACAGCATCACCTGCAACAAGAAAGAAGTGACTCACATGAAAGTCAAACCCTGATACCCCTGAGGTCTGTTCTCTGCACTCCTCTTCCAGCTCTTCCTCACCTCCAGCTCTTTAGCATCAAAGTACTGCAGGTACTGCTGAGGGAGGACTTCATTAAAGCCCTCAAAGAAAGCCTGCGTCTGCTCCTCCACTCCTCTGGACAACCTCCACTCTGCTACCAGCCTGCAGGGGGAGACAGAGGCAAACATATTGGTGTTAAAACTCACCTCAACAAAGGCAGAAACAGTTCTGATGGAGGGAGCTGTGGGCCTCATTTTCATAACCAGTCCAAGACTCCAGGAGTATGAGTATGAATCATATCAAAAAGGCTGACTTAAATCTCAGAGCAGCCCACCTGATGTACTCCTCCTTGTTCTCTTCAGTGACCTGGATGTCACCTCCTCCAGGTTTCAGCTCGTGGGTGGAAATTTCTCCCAGTATCTCTTTGTCGACAGAGAAGAACATCTCAAGGCAGCACTCCTCAATGTCGTTATCCCTAAAGGAAAAATGGACAAAGACGGCACAACTGTAACTACACTGTAGTTCTTTCAACCAGTCAATTCACAGTTTCAGGGTTGGCTGCAAAGCCAAGAACAGAAGGTCACAGGCTTTCTTCCTCAGAGTGATAGATTGGCTCTTTGTCTCCTCAAGCTGTCTGTTTAGGATTAACAGCTGCACTGATAGAGGGGGACTGACTGTGACTCCCAGGAGATCGAGCTGTGTGATCGATGCACATCCCACACTCTGCTCTGCTGCACTGTCTCTTCTCTGACATGCACTTGTGTGACCTAAGACATACAACTTGACAAACACCTGACTTAGACCAGCATACTTTCTTGTTGTGAGTCCAATAATCAATGTTTAGCTGGTGGAAGAACAGCCTTTTTCACACACACAGTTGAAACCCACATGTTGTGAGTGGTGATAAATTCTCCTCCACCTTTCAGATGATCTCTTCAGATGAGTTTAATAACTGTGTCTGCTGAGGACACACGTCTACTGAAGCTCCTTCAATCAAGTGTCTAAAAGTCCTTTTTACACCAACCATGTTCACCCCAAAAGAAATGTGCAAAATAGTTCCTTTTTGGAGTTTTTCTAATTCATGTAAATATCAGCTTTAATAAAAGGTGAGTATCTATAGATTTTTTCCTATTTTCTTAAGTTTTCCTATTTTATGGTGCAAAAATGAACAGTAAACAGACTTTACAGAAACAGTAATTTGACTACCAATGTAGAAAACTTTAAAGGCGCTTTCTTGGTGCTTTTCAAAGTAAAAGCCTGAACTGTTATAATCTCTTGAGCGAGTGCCTATGTTTCCACTCAGTGCTTTTATTATGAATGTGTATCCTGGACAGCTCTCACATGAATGAATGAAAAAACTTGCAGGATTGGCTTCCTGCTGAACTTTCTTTTGAATCTTACCCTTTTCACTTTGCCTCAAGAAACAAAATGTTTATGTCAGGTGATGAACAAGAACATTTTCTGACCCTGAAACACAGATTTACAGTGACCATGGAGAGCTGGTTGAGTGCAGCCATCGAGATAGCTATGTACATACATATCAAACAACAAAATCTGAATGTAATTTGAAAATGACCAATAATATGGGATAAAAATTCACACTCAAACAGGATTGCAGCCCTGGGATTGTGTAATCAAGGTATAACAGGGGCGACAAGGTTTTACTGTCAAATATTTGTTTTTTTTTTATTATTTTAAGTAAAAGTGCAAAGGCAGGATAAAAGCAGAGCTTGGTTTCAGCAGAGACTCGATGTAAAATGTGCAAATGAAAAGATTGTTATGGAATGACGAACACCCAAAACCAGTCAGTCAATATTAAAACTTCAACTGACATCAGCATAATCAAACATATTCAAAGTAGCACATTACAGCCAAGATAAGGAGCAAAAAGGCTTTCTAATTTCTGCATTTTAACCCCCTGACTTCCTCTATGACTCTAAGGTGACAAAGCAGAAGTCACGCTGCTTCTGACCCCTCAAACTCCATCTTTCTGACCCCCAGGAAATAACAGTCTGCCCACCAAACAGGTTAAAATCAGCACTTTTCTGTGAGGTCTATGTTTTTTCCTGTGGTACTCCCATTATAAGAGCACACATGGAAAAGGTTAAACAGATCTGAGCAAATTCCTTATTGCTGTCAAAGAGAGAGAGAGCTTTGTGTCTATCTGACATCTGTTTTATCTGAGTCAAAGTGCACCTCAGTGGGACAGACCACAGGTGCACTGACGTACTGAAGCTCCACACAGTGTTGAATCTGTTGTCAAAGTACACTATGACCCAGTTATACTTCCATCCACACCACTCTGTGAACTCACTTGATCCACATGAGGGAGTTGTAGAACTCAGGGTCCACCGACTCAAGGTCTTTGAGGGCCAGAGGTTTGTTCAGGATGCGCTTATAAAACGGCAGTGAGAAGCCAGTGTCGATGAACTTTCCATGGAAGAGAGCCTGAGGGGGGCAGAAAAACACACAGCTCAGTGCTTGATTCAATTTTTTAAAGTAGTGTAACATAAAAAAGAAAAATCGGACAAACCATGGCAATGAAGCGTCCTATGAACTTGAAATACTTGAGATGGTCGGGGTTGATGTAGGAGGCGGGGTTTATCTGGAGACAGTAGTTATCTTTACCGGCATATTCAAACAGGCAGTACATAGGGTTCAAAACTTCGTGGGACAACAAGAAGAACCACTCCCTGGAAGAGAGGACAACAACGATCACTAAGATTTAAGAGAAAACAAGAAAATACACTGACCAACCTTCCTGTATAAAAACAAAACTTCTACAACAGTTAAGTTCGGAACTAGAAATAGAAATAATACCAAGGGAAATTTGTGGAAACACGCACAACTTACATCTGCACCAATGTTATGTATAATATAATACATATAATGCTAAGAACAACTAAGAATACATGCAAAGAAAACTCACATTTGAAGAAAAATAATCTTAAACTCACAAAAAGGTGAACTAAAATCTTCGTAATCACTCATAGAGGAGTGACAGATGAGCAAAAGCTCCCAGCCCCAACATAAATGTTATCAAACCCCATAAAAATGCTCCTCCACATTATAAAGCCTTTGTCTTCAGCTGTTTTCTCTCTTACCTGGCCACGCCTCCGTAGTCGAGGCCCTCTTCTCCAGGAAAGATGATCCACAGCCTCCGTCGCAGATCCTGAGCATTGAAGCTCATTATCTGAAACACAGATTGTTGGTGAAATGAATGTTATTTCATTTATTTGTTATGAATGAATTATTTTTATTTTACACTATTTCAAATATATACACTATAATATACAGGGTCACTGTACCTGCTGGAAGGAGTCCTCAAACAGCGTTTTCCTGGTCACTGTGATCTTGATGTGTTGGGGCATCGCCAGTTGCTGGAGAAAAAGAAAAAAACAGATGTGAGTTATGATAATTTGCAGGCAAAGTTTTATACAAACAGTGGATTCAAAGCGTTTAATATCAAGGTAGAAATCTCAGATGTACACAAAATGCCTAACTAGCTCTTCAACAGCTGTGATTGGTCTTTTCTTTGATAGAAAGGGGTGCCAACCAATAAAATACCAGCTTGTCCTCCACTGGGAAAATGACCCTCGATTTACTTCCCAAACACTTAAAAAAGCTGGATTTCAGGATAACTTAAAAAAGACAGATGACTGTTGATGTACTGACTCACCTGGCACCAGAATCTGAAGTACTGGACTTTGGCTTTAAAGTCTCTGACGTAGGTGATGTGAGGTCCATTTTCACTTTAAGAGAGAAGAAGCAGAGATAGACACATTATTTTTTTCAATAATTTGAGCATATTTAGTTAATAAAGTTATTATTATGCCACAGTGATGTAAATAAAGGGTCATTGAGTCAGAGATGATAACTGCTGCTGTTTTTATGCAGCATTTTCCTTTTTTTGAGTTCATTGCTCAAAGCTGCTACAACAGCAGGTTAAAAATGTCAGGAATGTTTGTCTATTATGTGTCTGTTCCTGTCGCTTCATACAGTCACAAAGTCACCAAACTGGTTCTCCCGACACTGAAACCAAAGTAATGACTCCTGAGTCATGTTTTGAACATATGTTGTTCGAAGGGAGTTATCTAAGGTGTTACATCGGTCAGACTGACAGAGCGAAAGCAAAGGGGATCTGGTGACTCATTAGTCACATCAGGATGAAGCGTCACAAGATCTCAAAGCAGAGGAATGTTTGAGATAAAGTTTGAGAGTTTCATGCTGGAGGACAGTTTCCACCTTGAGTTTTAATTTAGGGAGAACACAGATTCAGAATTTTTTCTTTTTCTTTTTTTTTGTATATTCACCACAGAGTCAAAAACTAAGAGTGATGAAAGTTTAACTTTTTCATTTTCACACAGACTTGATTTAATAAGTTAGTTAGCAGCATTAGCACTAGTCGGGTTTCCCTGCCTGGAAACACACATCACTCATTCATTTCTGGTATGCAGACTTGCTGGAAAGACTAAAGTCAGGGTGGTGATCAGCAGAGACTCCAAGCTTTAATAAGAAGGGAGCTTCTAGTCTACATACAAGGTTAACCTCCTTTGAAAGCATCTTATTGGTCTCCTTTGAAATTATACAGCTCAATCAAGCTGTAGTCTAGATATATTGCAATTAATTTCGAGTCTTTGTGGGAATCATGACTCTGAGGACTATATTTCATTCACCACAGTACAGGATACTGAAGCTCCATAATCATAGTAAAGAGTACATCCTGGGCTTTCTGGTGGTTTAACTCAAACTAAATTTGGAGGAAACATGCTGTATTGAAATATAGCAGTTTAAATGAACTGATCTCTCAAGATTTAGTTTTTGCTCTTCATTTAAAGACATTTTATTTCTGAGACTTTCAGCCTCTCCTCTTCAGCTATCGTCCGTACTTCAGCAAACGGTACGCTGTAGCTGCAGGAATTCATTCACAGAATGGCGAACGCAATAATGCCGATATTGACGATAACTGTCCTTTAAAAAAAAACACGAATTTGTGCTATAAATAAGCACAGGGTCCAAAAATAACCCAAAAGCTTGTGCCTCTTCTGGTAACTCATAAAACATCCCCATTATGTAATCATGTCCATTTGTTCAGCTGTCATTCAAATTTACTTTCAATTAATTCATGACTTAACTTCAAAACAGGAAACAGGATTTTGTTGCTCATTCAAAGAAAACATTCAATAAGATCCACAAATTAACGGATGAGTCTGTATGTAACTACTAACTCCTGCAGTGTCACCTTTAAATCTCAACACTTCAACAGAAGAAAATAAATGTCAGACATACAGTGAGGATTTTCCAGTGCGAGGGTCGATGTAGGTGGTCGTTCTTCTGTTGTGGTCAACAAAGTAAGGAATACCATCTACAGTGAACCTCATCTCCCAGCCCTCTGGAAGCGGCTTCTCATTCAGCAGCCTGAAAAAAAAGGTTACAACATTCAGAGGCCAATAGTTTTAAGAGGAGTTTAATAGAGACAAATATTCACAAAGCCTTACCCCTGTGTCCGTGGGTCCTCCCACTGTGTCGTCCGTGTGGGGTGATGTACGAAATAAACTCTGCCATTAGAGTCTGTTCTCTTCTCTGAAAAGACAACGTCACAGCCAATTATTTCATGATTCAAGCTGTAGGCACTCACATATAAATAAAGGTAAATGATTAAAACCTGAAACAAAAATGTAACATGTACTACTTTAACCCACGCCAGTAAAATGTCTCAGCAGCCTTTCAGTTACATCTCTGCAGATCTTACCCCATCCATGTGGCAGAGGCCCCAGAGGATCAAACTCCTTATTCTGAGTGGCTGCTGCCTGGTCTTGAACCTGAAACACAATCAGAAAATATGAATCAAAAATACATATAAAATCACAACTTAAGTGTTTTGGCTGTAATGCAATTATTAATTTATAAAACTGGGTAACAGCACTCTGTGACAGACAAAGAAAGAGCAGCTGTTACCAGTTATTCTAGTCACCACATGCAGATATATTTAGTATCACAGTATCAGATCACAGAGAGGAAGTCTCACCCCGAATATGAACCTCTGGTTGAACTGCTGCATGGCGCCCTGTAGCTGGCTGCGCTGGTGCTGCCACTGCTCATAGTTACGCACCGTCTCCATCGTAGGGCGCTGCCATGTGGTGGTTCTTGTGATGTGGTCGACAAAGTACACCCGCCCCATCTGGTCGACACGACGCTCCCAGCTGCAAAAGAAGAACCGCAAATAATCAGAAGTGCTCAGAGGTAACAAGGCTGGTAGAGTTGCAGGACAGACCAAAACATGCACTGATATTAGCAATAAAATGTCAAAGATCCCTCAGATCAATATAGTCCACACTGTCCTATACCGCAACCAATCAGTAGGGGGAGCTCCAAATCCTTTAGCTTCACAGTCAGCGAACACGAAGGGTGTCTTTATCTGACACAGTCTTTGACTTAAAACCAAAATTTAAGAATTTTACAGTCTTTTTTTTTTTAAATCAAATTTACATTTTTGTTGTGAATCAATGTACGTAAAATCAAGTAAAAATATTTCTTATATTTTATTCCAGTGACAATCAGCCCCACATATTACTAAAATAATAAAAAATTCTCATGTTGAAATTAGGTTTTCAGTTTTTTTCCTAGAAACTAGGGGAAAAAAAACTGGATCTTTTTAAATATAAAAAGTTCTTAAATTATATGATTGCTCATATCCATAGACACCCAAAAAAATGTGGCATGTTTTGTAAGGTAATATAAAACTCCACTGTCAAAATTTTGATTTTCTAAAATTTTTAACATTTAAAAAAACCTTGACTGAGCAGAGATTGGTGCTATGGTAAACACACTCTGCAATAACTGGTTTAAAAAAGGAAGGGAGTGGAAATATCCAGACAGTTAATGCACCACAGCTCAGTGATAATGTATATTGTCAATGTAGTGAACAGGAAAGAGAAACTAGATGAAAAATGTTCAAAGCAAATCATACTGACAGACAGAAACGAAAGTTAAAAAGGTGAATGCCCTTGCAATATCAGGGAGGAAGCTCACTTATCTGCAGGGTTCACGGCTTTGTTAATAACTAAACTGCACAGCGCTGAAGGACACTGTCTACTGCTCTGGGAAATTTGTTTATATCTCACTGTAAACTTGAATTTTATAATCTACTTGCCATAAAACTTTGAAAACAAATATTAAAGTTTTGAAGGTAGTAAAAAGTTATGGTGGTCATCCTGTGCTGTGATAAACAAGGCTGGTAAAACACACGTGTGAGAAAATAATGAAGCTGTGTGGACTTTTATAAAGGTTAAAGGTTAATAAAGATCCTACAACAGAGCGTGGAGAAGAATCTCTAAACAACTGTGTTAAAGATGGAGAAACCGTCTCATTATTAGACCTTGAAAAAGGCATAAACACCACACATTTTCTGCAGTATCTATTAAAACAGACTGACGGAAGATGACGGAGGGAGGAGCTATGATTTTTACCCAGGGGGCAGTGGTTCAGGGCGCTCCCACGTCGTCCTCTTCTCCACGTGATCGACAAAATACAACCTGCCGTTCTGATCCACCCTCTGCTCCCACCTAAGATAAAACAGCAGCAGTAAATCATGATGTCAAGCAGCCATCACAACATGAGTCATCCTGTTCAAAAGCAGCAAAGAGCCGGTTAAAGTCGCACTGTTGTCTCGGTGACGACACTCACGCAGCAGTAATGACAATGGAGTCGGTTAGTCACAACCGCAGTAACAATGTAAATGCCAGAGGTTTAAACTGTGTTGATTTTACGCATGTACAGACACACCTGTGTGGTTTTCTGTAAAGGCTAAGAAACAACAATCACTTTTTCCTATTAGTAATAATATTCTCTCCGAGTCTGAAAACATATTTCTCATGTTTGTCAACCTGCTTTGTGTGCATGTTTGTTACTGTCCTCATAAGAATTTCAGCAAAACTTTGAGGCGAATTTGAAACCAAACCAACCAGAAATGCAACTTCATTGTTCCCCTCACACATCCTCCAGCTCCTACTGCAACTTAAAGAAACTCCAGTCAGAAATGCTCGATAAACTTTGAGCATTCACTTCTCCTACAAGAGCGTTTAATTTCACAGCAGGCCGAGTTACAAAAATAAAAGCATAAATGCATTCAAACACGTCAGGGATGACAGGTTTATTATGAGGAGTCATGCCACAGAAGAATTTTGGACCAAAACTCTGAATATATACAAAATGAATGAATATGAATGACATTACTTCATAGCATGACAAGAGAGGATCAGATCATAACTCCTCTTGTTAATATCAACACACATCAGATGCATTTTCACCACCAAGGGAAGCTCTTCTGGAAGGATCTGAAAATGAGAGCTCACCCCGGGGGCAGTGGTCCAGCGTTGACGGGGACTCTGGGAGTGACAGCTGGGGTGATGCTGCTAGTTGGCTGTCTGGTTGCTGCAGCTCCAGAGTTCCTGTCTGAGCCTGAAGATGGACTGGAGTCTGGAGCTGATGAGGTCGCTGTTCGCACTGGTGTAGCAGGGACGGACTGACCGTCGCTGCTGTCTCCTGGTGCTGAGCCATTGCTGGATAATGCTGAGGGAGGAATCAGAAACCACAGAGTTAAATCACACACACCCATAAATCAGGATTGTCATTACAGATTAAAAACAAACAAACAAACCACAACACAAAGAAGAAACTAATAGTTCTTACAAATGAGGCTCGAGCTGACACTGATTTTGCTTTGGAAAACTAATCCTGTGCACCATTAGTGAATTGAAGTTACTTCTATATTCTAATAAGGGCTTGCATTAACATCCACCATGTTAATTATCTGCTCCCTCACTGTTGAGGGAGCAGATAATAATATCCATTAGACTCCATCAGGTCCAAAAAGCACTTTTTAAATTTGATTAAAGATCCTATGAGGAGTTTTTTTAAGCTTATGAAATAGTCTGAAATTAATATTGATGCATTTCAATGACATCCAAAAGCAAACAAGATTATCAGTGACAAGATTAATGATGTTTTTATGATAATTTTTAATGCCTAGATAAGCAGACAGGATAAGCAGAGAGCCTCGTCCACAGTGGGCGCCACAGCTGACACAAACCCAAAGTTTCTTCGCAAGTTTGCCAAACTGATCAATCCTGTTGCTGCATTTTACTTTGTGGATCATAAAGAGTCTTCAGTTTAAAAGTCCTTTCACATCGGGACTGATTTTTTCATGCGATTATTTCAGACGTCAATATTTTTTTTCGAACCTGTATCCTGTCAATACAAGCGTTCACATCAGTGACGTTTTTACATCCTGCGATATTGTGGCATTTATTTTTTCGGATCATGGTCAATTTTTCTATAGTTTCATATACTCTGTGTCCACTTCTGACCAATCAGATTGCATGTTGTTGTGACGTCTGATTCATATTGGCCAACCAGCTTATTGGTTGGCCAATAAGCTGGCCAACCAGCTTATTGTTAACGTGTCAGAGAACAGAGTGCTTTTTGATAAAAGACACAAACATTACACAGATAACGATCTGAAGGACAACTTGTGGAGAGTCATAGCGTCAGATTTCTCATATGACGATGGTTTGTGTGCTTTAACAGTTTGCAACTTTTATCTGTACTAAGTAACTTTTGCTCGTAGGCTAACCTGTTCAGGTACAACATACCATGTGTATTTTCACGGTCTCAAACTCAATCGCGTTGCTGTCACAGCACCATTAGGTCTCGGTTGTTACCTTACCTTAATGGATTAAAGTTTAATGTGCTTATCTGGTACTGGCCCCAACTCAGTACATGCTATCATGACAGAAAGCCATCTCAACACTAGTGTCTAATCAGAACTGAAAACAGTCAGTCTGCTGATGTTTCAGTTTTCTCGCGTCCACCCGGGACGCGTCTTTTTTTCCCCCCGGAAAGTCGCAAAATCGCATTGGGCTTGATGTGTATAGTCAGGCGTGTCAAAATTCGCCTCTGAATATTTCGTAATTTCGCATTCTATATTCGCGTCGGCCCCGGTGTGTAAGGACCTTAAGAGTGAAACTATTTCAAAATAAGACTAAAAATGCTCCCTACAGTGCCTTATAAGTCTTAACTGCTAATTTAGCATGCCTACGATACACTTTCATTAAACCCTCTCTGAGGTACTTAACATTTGTGTTGATACTGACGCCCCTCTAACGAGGAGTGATGTAGACACATAAAATAATAGTTCAATAAGATAAAAAAAAAATCTATCTGCTTTCTGCTTTCTTTTAAGAGTTAATGCGTCACTCATTGTGAGTATTAACTATGGAAAAGGTTGAACAAAGGCTGCTTTTTTTCCCTGTGCTTTCATGTCTGGGCTCACATCTTCCCCCTCACAACAGCTACAGGCATTCAAATTATGATTTAAAAACTGTCTGTCTTGTTGCTTTTGTCAGTAAAAGAAATGAGTTTAATTTCATAACCAGCTAAGAACTCCTACAAGGAGCTTTGGGGTTGGATTATTCAGATTTCAGCCTCTTTGGTAAATATGACACATATCAACAGGAACTGCAGCCTCTATTCCTCATGTCACGCCCAGTCCTCTCCCCTGGTTTTCAGCTCCACCTGAAACACTTAAGTTGACAATAAAATCCAAATGATGAGTGGAGGAATTGACCGTTTGATTGGTACATTAAGCAGACACATGTTTGTGTCAGTGAGTACCCTGTTAGCCTGACTGCTCATCCAGCCTCAGTGTAAATGTTTGACATGGATTAGACTGTTACAAAGTCTGCAGACAGACGCGTGTCTGACCTTTGTTTCCCTCCTGGTTCTGAACACCTCGCACCCTCCTTTCTGTAAATGTCTGACCTGGTGATGATGCAGGTCTGCGGGGGGTCGGGGGAGGAGGTCTGGAGGGCCGTGGCGGTCTTAGAGGCCTGGAACCCCCAGATGACACTGAGGGAGACCCTGTGTTATTTGCTGCCCTACGCCCGCTTGGAGAGGCTCTGTGCTCTACACCGTCAACAGCTGGAGAGCTGTCTCGACTCCGCCTGCAGGAGAAGAAGCAGAAAATAAAGCAGATTTTTAAAAGAACAAAAGGACTTTGACCTGATAAAGGCTCAAAGAAGGATGAGAATAAATACTCTACCTCACACCGTGATCACCATTTGGTTGAGTTTCACCATTTGATGTACCTGGAATAAAAGAAAAACATAAATGAAAAATAAACTTGGATTAACTAATACAAGACACTAGCAGAATAAATGAGCTCATTAATTTGGGAAACACTACAAACAAGTGCAGTAACTCTATCAACTGTATTCAAACAAGCCTGTATGTTCCTGTACGACCCAGCTCAGCTCTCCCGTGACTCACTGTGATGATCGGCTTCTGCGTTGGCGAACATCTCAGGGTCGACAGTCATGCCGTCCAGACAGACAGACAGGTCTCCTACCACATCTGACTGGTCTCTGTCTGCACACAGCTGTAAGGTCTGCACTACTTCAGAGACTGCAGGGGGGACGACAGGAAACAAAGACGGTCAGAATCAGGGGGGAGACCATGACGAGTTTTATATATCGCCTCTTACTAATGATGCAAGCGTAACTGCAGCCAATCACTGACAGCGTGCAGTTTCCCTTTAAATCTGACCCCAAGAAAAATTTATATGTTTTCAATTGTCTTTTTCCTTACTTAGCAGAGAGAGAATTTACAGCTTAATATAAGATTAATTATCTGACAAGCCCAAAAATGAAAAATTCTCATGCACATGACGCAACAGAACAATAAATCATAATACTGACAACAAAAGAGTAATATCAGTGAAGCCGTGTATTTAGAAAATCATCAAACTGAGGTTTGATTGTTTAATGACTGGAGTTCTCATATCATTGTTTGTGCTGCCACACATCTTGAAACGTAAAAACATCCACAACTGCAGAGCCATGCACTTTTCTTTTTGCACAGGTGCAGAAAAGCACCTATTTGTGCGTCTTTTGTGTATTCACTCACTTTTCATGTCGTTGGACTTGAGCGTGTCGGTGACGTTCAGTGTGGCTATGCCGAGCAACACGTCTGACTTCAGGGTCTGGTGGCTCCATACTCGAAACACCAGTTTGCTGAAGGGAGTCACAATCCTGTAAAAACAAAGAGAGTCAGATATACCATGGACTGAATTAACACTTTTGAGTGACAGAAAGGAAGGAGTGTTTTTCTCTGAAGAGGATTGGGTCAGACATTTTCTCAGAGACCTCACTCTGCAGATTTGATCATTTTCTCAATCGCAGTCTGCTGTTTGAAGCACTGGTTTTCTTTCTTTATGCATGTATTTCTCATGTACATTCAGGTGATGCACCAGTATCTGAGGATCTTTTCAGAACATTAGGGTCTGCTTTTTGATTCCCTGCAAAATTCTGAGACACTGTTAAATGCACAACATTGGTGCAGTTGCCAAAAGGTGGCAGCACTTTATGAACGACAGGGGATTTCCTGACAGCAGAATAATTCTGAACAGTGCCTCAGATAAAAAATACCAAAGAAAAACAATGCAAACATCCTTCTAAAAAGTTACTGACTAAAAACATGCAAATTAATTAAAAAAAAACTTTAAAATGGAATAAAATTGGTTCACACTGTCGTCTGCAGCCAGCAAGTTCAGCAGCATTTTTACAAAAGCAGTCGTCACACAACAAAGTTCAAAAGCTATTTGGGGACAGCGAGAGTCTATGACTATCACTGTGACAGTTGTTTCGATAGCTTGCACCCTCAGCAGCCCCAGGACAAAAGCATTTGTGGACACACGGGTACGGGTCCGATTACATCCCATAGTAAACACTGGTTATGTAAAACCTCTGCAGCCACGAGTCCAAGAGAAACTGTAGGAGAAGTCTATATTAAGAAGGGCGCTGTCCACGGCAGAGGATCGTGGACAGGCTAAAATTAAGAGGACATCTGAGGTGTGAAAATGCTGGACTGTGTGAGCGCACTCAGTGTACGGCGTATGTTTAGAAACAGGGTTCCTGTAAATGAACCAGACACGCTCCCTCACCAGTGTGTGGCATTTTCCCTCCATGTGCCAACCACTCAGAGAAATCAAATCTGTACTTTACACTGTACAAACACAATTATCCTCCACTCAGAGTTATGAAACACAATGAGGATGAGCCATTTAGAAAAAAAAAACACGTCAGGTTGGTAGATAACCGAAATCTGATGTGTCACCAGCACTTTTGCACAACTATACGGAAGTGATTTTTGTATACTCTGGAAAAACTCCCTTTTCTGTGCAACTTAGGGCATGCAACAGCAAATACCAGAGTCAGCGTTTCCTTCAGATAAGCTTCCTCCTCAAAGCCAAACCTCAAATAACCACAATGGTTCAGATAACTGCGCAAATCCATCTGTGGTTCAGTCAACAAGAAGCCTCATGAAGAGCCACCAGAGACCCTGTGCTTATAGAAGTGTTTGCACATTTGATTTAAGCGGCATCTCATACAGTGACACAAGCAGCAGGCTGCAACATGAACCATGGCCTTAAAAATAAAAATAAAAAAAAGGCTATTGGCAACCAGATATCGGATTTAAGTGTCCCCCCTTTGGCCACAGAGGTCTATCTCTGAACCACATAAACACTCTTACATACCGCAGCAGTAAAACACAGCACGGGAAGATTAAGCAAATATATTTAACTCTCAATGCACAACACATGAAAACCACTTCCTGTTGCTGTTGTGGTTTTATTCGTACTTTCCAGAGAAAAAAAACAAACACACTTTCATTTTCCACCCCCAACAGGAGGTACTGTGCCCATTTTCACCCTTCATAATGCTGCTCTTGTGGCTTTGTAGAAGCTTTAGGTGCCCAACTGCTCAAAAAAAATCTTTACTTAATTCTTCAATTTAGCTACTGTCTCTTAAAGGCTCCGTGCAGCACTCTGGAAGCCTTCTCCACTGTTACCATGCCACAAACACATCCTCCACATCCAACACATGATGACTGCATTTCCCATGAGCTCTTGCGTGTAGTGTCGTGAAGACAATTACAAGGTCTTTGGTCTGGTGTGTAGCTGTTTTGAAGGCAAATGAAACAAGATGAGACATAGCGGTACTCTAAATACTTTTTTTTTTTTTTTTGTTGGCTATCTACAGGATGCGCAGTGATGAGGTGATGTATATATTTGCATTTCTAGGAAATATAATTTGCCGCTGGTGAAACAAAGTAACATTGTATTATTGTGACTTGTATTTTTAGCCTAGAATAAGAATAAGAATAACTTTATTGATCCCCAAAGGGAAATTTATGTAACGTCCCATTCGTAACAGTAAACCTACAACAAACAGATTAGATAACTCAGCCATAGATTAGTATGTAAAGCTAAAGTTGTCAGCTTTCCCTGGTAATGTTATATCTTCATATCAATGAGCCAGCCGTGAAAAGAAGCGTAGTTTACGTTACCCGTCTAGGAGGAATTGGACAAATTCAGGATCCGACTTGAATCCCTTCAAGTCCTGCAACTCTCTCCACCTCATGAAGGAATTACCAATGTTTATCCTCATTTTTGCCCTTGCTCGATCAAATTCCCTTTTTGCTTTTATTTGTTCTTCTATTCTAATTTGTTTTCTTTTTCATCTTTTTCATTGCTTTTGCTCTGTTTTCATTGGCTAGCTTAGCAACAACTCACTGCTCCTCTTGTGTCCCTGTCTAAGTGCCATAACTTCTGGCCTGCGTACCGTAAATCTTTTCGTCAGTAAGGCAGACCTGACCAACGAATATTGAAAGTAGGAGTTACGTACACGATTTAAAAATATCTTATCTTCCCTCCGATGGGCTTATTTGCTGTTATAGGTGACACAGACATATCAGGAGATATGAGATACCTTTAAAAATCTAGTTAAAAGTTCCCTACAGAAACTTTAATGCACTCTTTCCAGGAGATTCACAGATTGGTGGTGTCACAGTTTCAGCAAATTTTACGCCCTTCTTGCATAATCACATCTCACTTCTTGAGAAAACTCTTCAAAGCAACCTGTAGTCTCATCCTGGGGTTACTTCATGCATGTGGGTCAAAAATACATGAAGATATTATTGGGTTATAATGATTATTCTGTGCATTTTTTGTGTTGTCTTTAAAAGCTTCTCTACAAACTGTACACACACTGCAGCACTCGAGATAAATAACTTAATGCAGCTGTTAAAACTGTCACTACATTGTCTTCGTTTTTCTTACACTGTGTCTGTAAAGCTCGATCACCTAAGAATAAGAGTATTAGATCCCTGAACAGTCAACAAACACAACAAAAGACTGACAAAAAGAAAAAGTGCTTTCAGTTGCACTTCATTGCGACAGCTTCTGTAAAACATGAGTTCAGGCTGTTTTGAGCTTCCTGTAATACCAGACCGGTGACATTTAAAGGAACTGGGTGACTAATAATTGGGGTAAGATGTCTATCAAAGCTCAGGAAGGAGCCTGCAAAGACGTTTCCTGCAAATGTTCCAACATTAAAAGTCAATCTGTGTCTAATGTGACACACAGGGGACAGACAGACCAATAGTCTGAATCTTAAATTCTCTTCAACACAGGTCTGGATCCAGTCAAATCTCCAGCAGCAGAATAATGAAACAGTAAAAGATCATAAATGTGGCAGAGCATCATGTGGGGTTTAATCCTGCTCAGACTTACACAGTGAGCGGCTGCTTCCATTTGGGGCTGTGGGTGTTGTTGCATTTCTCAGTCTTCTTGGACTGGCCGTCGACCGTCACTTCCACATACGGACTTGGACCAAACCAGTTTTTCTTGTTCTCTTTTAGTTTTGCTGATAGCACTGAAACAGAAAGATAGGGAGAGGAAATAGAGCAAGAGAAGAGTCAGCCATGCTGGCGCGGGAAGACGGATGAAAAGGGACAATAACGTAACAAAACACAAGAAAATTGTCACTTTTTTTCAGTCCTTTTTCCAGCACACGCTGTTTACACATCTTTAATTCCCTTCTTTTACAGGAAAAGATCTTATTGTTTTTTCAGTGAAGTTCATCCTGATAGATGATCTTGACTGGGATGACTTACCGATGATTTGTAGCTGTGCCTTCATAGGGTAACCATTGGAGGTGCCCGTCCTAGTGACTCCACTGGCCATGACATAGGGCTGGGATAAAAGCCTGTGGCGCAGACAACACATCATTAGTCTGGTGACAAATTGTCTTCTAAGGCTGCCTCCCATTTGCAGCAAACACACCAGGTCATTACGATCAGGTATTTTTAGCTCCTTATATGACAGACTTGGAAAAAAAAAAACACTTCAAACAATTAACAAGAAAAAATCTTTGTGCAAGCCTTTCTTCATATTTAAGGGCTTTAAGCTGCACTTGCTAAATCCACTTAGTTCCTAAAACCAGTTTCTATTCAGGGTTTGAATAAAGTTTCAGTCCATATCCACATGAATAATAGAGCAGCACATTCATGATTAGATTGTCACTCTTACAGGCTGACAGAGTGAACACATCAGCAACAATAACACACATTTACTCCCAGTATTGGAGACATCATCCAAATAAAGTTGTTGTCCTTCTGCCCAAAATTACCTCACATGCACCCAGGTGTGAACCTGCTCAGCTCATGAATTTCATTTCACTGAGGACAAGCTATCATCCCTTATACTGCTAAAAAAGATTGATAATATTCCAATAAAGATCATCAGTCATGAGGCACCAATTCATAACAAAAGGTATCTGAATAGACTTCACAAAAGTGCAGGTCAAGACTGTAGTCTTTGACCCGACCCAAACACTAATCCAACATGAGAAAAGCACTTGGCAGCATTTAGCAGGTTAGAGTGGCCTTAAAAAACCTTCTATTAACTGAACAACAAAAAAAGAAAAAGAAAATTAAAACCTTCAAATAATCCCAAACTGGGAAAGTGTGGTGTTATAGCAGCAAACGCAGAATCTGAGAAATAATTCCACAGTAAAAAAAAAAACCTTCACACTGGAATAAAGAAGTATTTCCAACAAGATACTCAACTAGTTTCTACTAGGGCTACACGTTAATTCAATTTTAAATCATAATCAGATTATTTGATTATGAGAATGAAAAAAAGATTAAAATCGTCACATTGATTTTCTTCTCTATCATGTCTCGCGCCTCCAGGCCAACATAGGCTCTTCATTCCTGCAGGAGCGCTCCCCACTTCCCACACACACCAGTGTAAACAGACATGGCGTTTGCAAAAGAAGGCAAGAATTTCGTGGCTAAATAGGACAAGAGAATACATAAATCCGTAAATGACTACCATTTCATCTCTGTGTGGATGCCTATCTGCATCTCTCGAAATGATAATGTGACACACAGTGTAAAAACTTATTATCAAAGTTTGGTGAGGTTGTCACTGAATAAAAAACTGAAATTGAAAATGGACTTTTCTGAGAAAAAAAATCTGGATTTTATTTTTGGCCAAAATCATGCAGCCCTAGTTTCTACACAGAAGAAGAACAACAAATACAGCTTATTCCAGGTTCACTGAATCAAATCCAGAAATGCAAAAACATCAAATAGAAATTTTCAAGAAAGAAAGTACAGGATAAGAGACTGCAACAAGAAAGCACCTGCACTGAGCTGGATTTAATCCCAGTACACGAAAACAAAATTAACTAAATCCACCCTATAAAGCAAAAACAGACTTATGACTTGGTTGGGATGTTAGTTTGAGGCAGTAAGTAGATTTTTTCATAAAAGCTGCTATCTCCTTTAAAAGGGGATCTGAAGCATGGTTTTGTATAGTGAAAACATGAAGCCAGACAGATAGAGTCCAACTTTGTGTGGCTGTATCCTAAAACCCTCTCAGCAACCAAAGACAGAAGTCAAATTTTAATCAGAAAGGATCCTCTCTGTTTTCATAGATAAATGAGGCGCCCCCACTTAGCCGTCCTATCTGCCCTCTGCTCTCCAGAGTCGCAGTTTCTCATTTATCAGTGTGAGGACTGAGAAAATAAGAGCTTCTCAAAGGAAGACGAGAGGATGCTTTATGAGGTCTCTGCAAACCCAAGGTCATGAAGACCTGCAGACCAACCCTGCACATGAAGAAGAGCTGAGACACTAAATTTCAACCCACAACAGAGCACTTTAAACTGACTCTGAAATACAGGCTTCACTTCTGTGTCTGACAGCTGAACAAGCCCGAGTGCAAACAGAGACACTAAACTGTTTACACAACTGTCAACAACTTCACGCAATATGGAGGTTCATATTTTGAACAGCAATACTGCCGTAAACACTCTTCTCCTTTCTGTCAAAGTTTGTATTTTCACTGAATGACACAGTGGTAGGCCTATCCTGCACTGATATGAGTGAAATGGCAGAAAATACTGGTATGCTAATAAATCTGTCAGCCAATTGATGGCCTTTAAAGATCATCAGATACTGACGCTCATGAGACTGGTAGAAAAAATAAATAAACTCATGTCTGCAGACGCTGCAAAAAGCCCAGCCACTGTGATTGCTGTTAAACCGTGTTGAGAAGATGGTGGAAATGTTCGTTTAGAACCCGGTGTCATTACTGTAACTCTGACACACACTTCCATAAATGTTTGAATGAGTTTCCTCCATCACCTTTATCGCTCTCAACTAAAAACACTTTTTCCATCCTAAATGACACTACAAAAAGATTCAATGATACTGATGTATTTGGACAGCACATCTGTCAGACTTTTTTCCCTCCCCTTTGGTTCTCTTTTATTTTCACAGTTTTACCTCGACACAAATCATCCACTTCTACTCAGGGTGCATGATATGAATATTACGTCAGTATCTGCAGAAAAAGGTGAGAAAGTTAATCATTATATTATAGCGATACTTGAGCCACAATATGATATTATCACGATATTTCAGCCATGATACGATAATGTCACGATACTTGAGCCACAATATGATATTACCACGATATTTGAGCCATGATAAGATAATGTCACAATACTTGAGCCATGATACAATATTATCGCGATACTTGAGCCTCAATATGATATTATCACGATACTTGAGCCACAATATATTATCACGATACTTGAGCCACAATATGATATTACCACGATACTTGAGCCATGATACGATATTCATGATACGATGTTGATTTTCGATTTTAAACATTTTGCAATATAGTGAGTATTGCGATTCAAAATATTGGGACTTCTACAATATTTTTAGCTGTTTAGCTAATTTAGCATTTGTCTTTCCTTTATGTTAGTCTTGTTTACACAGGATTTTATTTTCAGGTAGCACATCTTGCAAACCTTATGTGTCAGGTCCATCTCATTTGTGCCCTGCTTGCATTCCTAATGTCTTTCCCCAGGTGCTGCTATATTTGTTGCACTAACTTTCTCCTGCTCTATGATGTCACCTCTGCCATCCTCACTGGACAAACAGTTGATTTTCTTTTTCCATTATGATAGATTTGACTTCATATTAGCAATTAATTAAGATAATTGGTAAATGAGACGATAAGATATATCACCAGACAAAATATTGCGATTCAATGCTGTATCGTTTTTTTTCTCCCACCCCTAATCATTGGTATTTGCAGACCTCTTCGAAAATACTGCAAATAATGTGATGCATTGATTGTGCACAGTTGCAGCGTACGCACACTAAAAACCAGCCTCAACATGCCAACAGACTGAAGTATTTTGAAGTGTCAGAAACAGACAGAAAGTAGCCATTTGAGATGCTTGTGAAAAACCAGATGACACAAGCAGGAGCAAAACAACACTTCTTTAACACCATCAGTCTGATTGTCAATCTCAAGAAGTCCCATCCCAAGTTCATCAGTTTTAAACAAATCCAAGGATGCCTTATGAGTAACTCAAATAAAAGCCCATGAATCAGCTGCTATAAAAAGTCAAACTTTTAATAAACCCTCAGATTTGAGTCTTCTTTGGTTTTCACTGAGACAATAAAGGTTCTGCAGAAATGTATGTTTTTCTCTTGTCATGAACTATAACTGGTATACAGCCTTTGAAATATTGATGTAGAATAGCAGTTCTAAGAGAGAGAGCTGCCAATCTACTAGATAGGCCCACTTCACGATAATTATACTTTCATCCTTAAAAAGGGAAAGCTTTCACTAAGTTTGCTGTAGCTGTAACAGGAATATAGCTTTGAGAGGCAATGACAACAGCTCCGATTCCTTTTTAGTGAATAATTTATGCTTTTAATAAAGAAAACAGAGACTGAGCCACATTCTCCTGCTTGAAATTAAAAACACAGCATGCCAACAGATGGGAAACCTTAAAATACAAGTCGCAGTCTCGATGGCTCAGGAATCAGGTCCTGCAATGCTTCCCAGAATCAGGTCTGCTACCTCCATGCCTCCCTGAATTATGCATGCTCCTCAGTCTGTCTCGTCCTTTCTGCACATGGCAGAGCAGAAGAAAGAGATGAGCTTCTGGGTAAACTTCCCCTTCGGCTTCTGCTTTAGTCTCTGTCAATAATTAATTGCATCTGCTGACATTGCAGCCCTGCAAGCAGGCCGGTTTACGTCTTGTAGTTGAGGATGCTTGCTGAATATCAAGCTTGTTTTTTTTTTTTTTTTCTTTTTTTTTACCAACAAGCTGAGAAACGTCATCCAAACACAGCCCTGCAAATGATGTTTGTGAGGCTGTGAGGCATTTTAAATTGAATTTGAGTTCAATTTACTCCATTTCCTCAGCTATAGAGCCAGACCGTGTTTCTCTCTCCCTCTTTGAGGGTGTTGTGCAGCTGAACAGACAGCCTTCAACAATCTTCCCTGAATAAAACCACTTTAAAAAGACCTGAAAACACTGTTTAATTCCTCCAGGCTTCATCCCCTTTAGATTATAGTTACATTAATAAACAGTTTACCCCAAAACTAAGCATATAATCAACATCCCTAATAAACCTAGAGACTGCACAAATTACCCACAGATGATCAAATTATCGCAATAAGATTTCCTATCATGATGTTTCAAGGGAAAAACACTGAAGATACCTGATGCGAATCCCTGCCCACACTCTGACAGGTTGTGCTTTAGTTTTTACCTCATCAGACACCTAATGAGCTGTTTCAAGGGATGAAAGGATAGATTTATTTCAGCTCTTCTAGGTTCCGGTAGATGTTCTAGACCATGTTGCTTGTCTCTGAAGTTGTAGAAAACGTGCACAACTCATCATGCAGTTACAGATTTGTAAAAATATGAAGTCAGGCGAGCTCTGCAGGAAAAATTATCTTAAGGCTTTTTTTTTCTCCTTGACTCAAACTTTTATTATCTTCATTAGTGTGTTTGAAAAGCACAGAGTAGTTTGGGTGCAGTAATCAGTCACCCCTGTGTTTTTTTTTTTCCTATTACACAGAAATAACATATACACTCTAAATTACTGAACATTACCATGTGATAGATCAGTGGTTCTCAAGCCCAGTCCTTGAGGCCCACTGTCCTGCATGTTTTGGATGTTTCCCTGCTCCAACACACCTGATTCAAATGATCAGCTCGTTATTAAGCCATTACAGAGCTTGATAACGAGCTGATCATTTGAATCAGGTGTGTTGGAGCAGGAAAACATCCAAAACATGCAGGACAGTGGGCCTCGAGGACTGGACTTGAGAACCACTGTGATAGATCATTGGGCCTGTGTCTAAAATCAAACCCATATCTTGTTTTTTTTATGTGAGGGGATCTTATTGGATGATTTGAGACCTCCCCTAACAAGACAGCCACCCACAACAGCAGACAGGAGAGCAGCACTCAGCCTTGGTGCTCAGTCACCAGACAACAGTGACAGACAAGGACACAAACCAACACAGCCAACCTTGCCAAGCAGACAACTGTGACAAATAAATCATTGTCTCTCCTTTCTTTGCTCATCTGTGTCTCCCACATAACTTACAATTAGGCCTGGAGACCAACTATGTGGTCAGAGCAGCTGCTGCAAAGCAAGAACTGTGGTCCTCAACAGCAAAGACAGAGAAATCCATCCACTGTGCTTATATCAGCAAAATTACTACAACTCATCACTTTAGTCTCACTGAAGAAGAAACTACACTTCAACTGCATCCATGTACTTAAATGAACAATATTCATGTCATTTTCATCGAGTCCCTTCTTTGATGTTAAATATGGCATTTCAGTTTAACAGCAACATCAAATAACAAATGGAAATGTTAGGCAGGGATAGATGGACTTTCCATATGAGCACAAGCAGCCAGCAAAAGAAAAAAAGCAGTTATAAGGGACTAAATATTGAATTTCTGCAGACTTGAGGATAGGTCTGACCTCATTTTTGCCAAAGCCAACAGCCTTTTATCCATTCCTCATTGTTTACATGTGTAAGATGTTTCATGCTATCGTCTGCTGATACCATCGTTATGTTTGTAGTTTCTTACGTCCCTGACATTAAGGTCATCAGAACCTGAACATGATAACTTTAGTTCAGTGTATTTCTTCCAAAGACTGGCTGGTTGGGTTTCTTTCTATGTTGGGCAGGATAAGATCATAACAAAAAGGTGGATTTTGAATCTGATTGTTTAATATGGAAACAAAAACTAACTTTCTTGTTAAAAAGGGCCACACAAATTAAAATTCAGATTCTGTACTAAGAGCTTAGCGCTTAAGAAAGGGGGCAATAGAAACTGTTTAAGGGTCAATGACGTGACAGTTTTTTAATGTTCCCATGGTTTACTTAAATTTTAAAAAGCTAAAATTAAAAATAAACTCACCAATTACTAGGGTACATTCTCTTTGAAGACCTTGTCTAAAATTTCTGGATTTTATCCATTTTGAGAGAATATTTTGGGAATAATGGAAAAAAAAGTCAATGTGGTGTAACCATAAAAACACAGTACCAAATATTTCAACTTGTTCAAAAAAGGACAATTTTTTTAGACCAAAGTTTTCAGCATTTTTCTTGCTCTATATTCCAAAAATGCACCCAAATTTTTTGTAAAAAAAAAACCAACAAAATTTAACTGATATATTATAATTAAGTCACTTTTTATAAGTACACTTGCATACACTATAGGTGGAAATAAGTATTAAATATTTACCCTTTTGTTGTGGTTACACCACTTGACATTTTCAAGGGAAATACATCATTCATTTTGAAAAATAAAAAAAGGTTTAAATGCTATTTGAAATTATACAAAGCCAACAGAGATAAAAAATATACATCTATGCAAACCTAATGCAAACTTTAAAACAAATTATTAAAACATTTTTAATTACTCATGATGCAAACCCTTATTTGTCACTGACCCTTAAACAGACATCACTAGTTTTTAATATTCTCTAGTATTTTAGGTCTATGTCATTGTTTTTTTCTTTTCCATGTTCAATGTTAGGGATACATTATAATGTCCCATTAAATAAAAAAAAAGGTTATATTTGATATGATTTAAGATTATTTTAATAAACATGAAAAACATCTTTACCAAACTGAGTAGCTGAAACCAAGGGGAAATGAGACTCACCATCTAGCCTACTGTCGCATAAATGTGACAAACTAAACATAGAAGTTATTTTTGTTTATAATATAAAACAGTTTGCGTTTATGTGTCCTGCTTTCTCTTAATTTCATATTTTTTCAGGCTCCTAATATCCTGATTTTCTTGTTTTTTTTCAGTGTCAAATGTTTCATATAGATCTGCTGTTCCACAAATTCACTTGTCATCCCATATTTCCTAACTAAGCAGCATCTGTAGATCTGTAAACAGCCTATCAATTATTGACAGTGATCACTCATTGATAATCCTCGTTCCTTTAAAACTCAGTTTGGTCATTTCAGATTACATAATTAAATCTAAGTGGAGATCGAGTTAGCTGGGTTAGCCCTGCAGTTAGGAACAATATGTTCAGGTTAGCTGTCAAATAGCCCAGTTTACAGAGAGGATTTCACAGAGTCTGATCTCTCAGGAGTTTCTCAGCACATGTTGAACCTCAGCTGGTCTCCTGACAGTCTGCTGCCGTCCCACACCAGCTAACCCACTGTTAGCTCCTGTGATCATCATGGCAGGCTGGAAACCCCAAAGTCCAGCGGCTGTAAAAAACAAACACCACCGATCCCACAGAAAGAAAAGTGTGTCCATCACGTACCCGAGTCCGAAGAAAGGCTTTTCAAACTGAACTGGCGGCACAGCGCTGAGCTCCCAGCCCTCGGTGTGCAGGATGTTTGGGTTTCAGTCTGGGCTTCACTTCGAGGAAGAAGAAACTTCCACCATCTTCGTATGATTACGTCGTGTCACGTGACAGAAACAAGGTGGGGCGCATGCTTCTGCCCCTCTGCGCTGCGATTGGTCCAGAGTTGTCTCAGGGTGGGCCAATAGGCAGCCAGTAAACATGATGATGCATTTACTGTCCGCGTCAGAACCATGTCAACGAGATTATGTTGTAAATAAACGACTCTGAAATCGCTGTCGTTCTCGGAAAACCCTTGACACAGAAAACTAGGTTCTCTGCAATTTACAGTGACTTTTTATCTCCCGAAAAGACTCTACAGGTCGCAGGAAATGAATTTGTGGAGAACCGTTTTTCTGTAATACGAGTACAGTTTACAAGAAAAACACTGGCTCATAAAATGTGTTTTCTGTGTAGTTTACTGATATAACCTTGATAACTTGACCCTTTTTCAGGGCTCTCAAGTTTTGAACTAAGCTTAGAGTGAGATTTCCTTGGGGGGGGGGGGGGGTCGAAGAGTGATTGAAGATAATTATTAGCATAATAATCTAATAAATACAATGGAGTATGAGGGCCACATTAAGAAAGAAAAAAACATTTTTAAATCTTTGAGATTAAAGTTATTATTTAGGAGAATAAAGTCATTAATGACTTTAAGAATAAAGTAGTTAAGTTACCTGTTGTGGAGGAGAGTTGTTAAAATCAGCACTGAGGAGCATTTAGATGAATTGTACTTTAGTATAGGTTTCACAGACATGGAGATACTTAATCCTTTGGTATATCAGCATTACACTGTCACGAGTATCAGAACTTCATCAATGCAGCTGTTAATAGCAATAGCATAGGGCTTTAGTTTATCATATGAGTTTATCTGCCATGAGGTGTTGAGGTCTCTGCATGTGTAGGTTACTGACTTACTGTAATCATCGGGTCTATCTCGGCCTTATAAAAACCTGCTCTATTTCGGCAAGTGTCTGTCTTCTTCTGTAGTCAAACCGCAAGATATCAAAATCTACCCAGATACAGCAATGCTGCTTTTTGATTGGCTGTTCAGTAAATATACTTTATTTGATTGGCTTGCGCGTGGCACGCAACTTAGGAACTCTCGGAGAAACTCCGTTGATTTCCCCCTGTTCCATAGTTAAAGAGGTGCAACTTGGTGGACATCACCATGTTCATTTAAATTCGTGAGAAATACAATGTGTGGCGTGTGAGCGTGTGAACGAGTGGGAATGCGTGTGTCTCACGCTGAATGCGTGAGACTTGAGAGCCCTGAAACTTTTTTAACAAATTGTTGTACATCCCTAGCTTCGCCATTTTATCTAAAGGGGTCAGTGACAAATAAGGGTTTGCATCACGAGTAATTCAAAATGTTTTAATTAATTGTTTTAAAAGTTTGCATTAGGTTTGCAAAGATGTATATTTTGTATCTCTGTTGTTTTCGTATAATTTCAAATAGCATTTAAACCTGTTTTTACAAAATGAATGATGTATTTCCCTTGAAAATGTCAAGTGGTTTAACTACACTAAAAGGGTAAATATTTAATACTTATTTCCACCTATTGTGTATGCAAGTGTACTTATAAAAAAGTGACTTAATTATAATATATCAGTTAAAAATACATTTTGTTAGGATTTTTTTTACAATAAAATTGGATGCATTTTTGCAATATAAAGCAAGACAAATGCTGAAAACCACTGGCATTTTCTAAATAACATTTGACAAATGATGTAGAAACTGTTAAGATATATGCTGGCGCATTGCACTAGAGGAGTACATTCTATTGCCCATGCATTTTCTCAAATATTATATTTTTTAAATGAAAAATACTGGTTACACCAATTGACACAAACCAGTTACACTACCTGACCATTTGGCGGGTGCATATATGAATAAAAACACCTTACCCTAAAAAAATTCTAACTAAAGGTTTCTCAGCTGTTTTTTTTTTTTATAGTATTAGGTGTCCTTAATAACATAGTTAAATTTTACCGAAGTTTGACCTCTAGAAAGTTTAAACTTAAAACTTAAACTTTGGTTTAAAAAACTTTAAACTTTTAAATTTTAGACCAACTATTGTGTGTCATGTTAATTAACATGTCAGTGTAAGGATATTATTTTTTAGGTTTGACATTGTCTGCTGAATCTTACGAGACATTTTGCTGCACCATCACTAGCTACAAACGTTTAATATACAAACGGTTGGGCTGTGGATGTCACTTCTTGGACACCAAATCACAATAAACTTTAAAAATTATGAGGAAAAAAAATTGAGTCCTTTAATTTTAGACTCAAGTTGTCCCAGTACAACTTTTGTACCAGATGTTCGGCTGTTCTGTGAGCAGGATTTTCCAAGTAATTCAAAACATCTAAAATACAAAGCCATTGCAACTGCAAATAAATAAAGCATACTAACTAAACAGGAAACAAACCAATCACAAAAAAATGAATGTTTCATGCCTGCAGCATGTAAATGTAACATTGTTAGGTATGTCCAGTCATTTAGACTCTGTAACCCCAAGAATACCTTCTTTTTTACTGAGTGAGCATTATTAATTATATTATCATAACAGACATTTGGTCCAAGTAGATGAATTAAGCTGAGATGCTACAATCCCAAGATCACATGGTTCTATATAAACTTGTTAAAAATTGACATTTGCAGTCTTTAATTTCCTCTTCTATTTAAATTATGCTATGTTGCAATGTTATCACATATTACACTGAACTGCAGAAACAGTAGATGGCGGTGCTGCACTGTAAAGCAACAAGTTGATGCCAACATGAAAAATCAATCATATCTACTTCCATCATTTGACTGACTAATTCAATGACAACAATTTTCCTTTCATTTTAATACTCTACATATTCTTTTGTCAATATTTAATCGTGAACTGTATTTAGATACAGCTCATCAGTGAATGTCTAAAAAAATGCTCCAACATCTTTAAAAATTCATCAGAAGGTTTTTGGTACTTTAAGTTAAAGACAAAAGACAAATGAATATCATTATTGTCTAAACTCCTTACGTACTGTTTTGTCTGAATCAACCTGGTTTTCAGACAGAGCTGTACCTTTATAAAGACAGATGAATAGAGTGGGGAAGCACCGGAAGTTTTCACTCACTCTCAAAATAAAAGAACCTGAAATAAAAGCTATTGGCTGACATGGATCCATAAAATGCACTGTGTTCTGTCATAATAAACTTATTTCAGGCCGTTTCAAAAATAAATAAATATATTGTCTACATTCTAATCTCAACATAATAATGCATTTTTTTTTCCAATTATAACATGATATTTGTTTCATTATCTTTAAATAGATTTAAAAATCCTAGTTACAAGATATACTAAACATACGAAAACAAACTTCTGTATGTCAACATATGGTATCTCAAAGTTATCTGTTTTGTAAGCCCCATGATCTTAAAATCACAAATTTGGACAAAGTACAAATAAAACAGCACACAAAATAAGTTGAAACATGAATGCTTAGGACCACACTATTTTGTGTAATATCTTTCTGTTAGTTCAAAGTAATATTTTATGTCATATATTTTATTAATTGGTTTATTTGTTTACTATTTATCTATTTTTATAATTTCTGTCAAACAATAAGAAATAAATCCATATATTCTGGAAAAAGTGAGTCTATATTTTGTTGTAAAGCTGAGATTCTTTTGTAGAAGAAGAAGAAATTCATGTTTGACAATAATTCTGATATTTAAAAAAATGTATTTCAGGTTTCTGCCTGTTTTTCTTTTATAGTATTTATAAACTTGTGGTAGTTACAGGAGCCCATTTTTGTTGTTTGCAGTTAGCCTAATGATTAAATTGCAGATTAAAATCTGATCTGCTCTCCGTCTAATTCTAAATGACGGACCTTTAAGATACCGTTAAGAAATTCACTATTACTGAAGTTATAAGAGTTCTACAATATCTTTTTTCTTTTTCCAAAAACAGGACATTCAAACGTTGGCTCTTGGCCCTTTAACGTTGTCTTATTTTGAAAGTAGTAACCGGAAGTTGAGTCCACGCTCCTGTTCGCAGCCTGACAGCTGCAGCTGTGGTGGTCGCGGTCGGCCAGTGTTGACAGAAGGGCAGCATGAGACCTCTCTCTGCTCGGATCATGACAGCATGGGGATGTTTGGTGGAAAGTACAGTTTGACAGCTCACTCAGAGAAAAGGTAAATGAAAAACTCTCTTATTCCGCTTTAAAAACAGTTTGTCACTTACTTTAAAAAGTCTAATTATTGCGGCTTTTCATGAGGCTTCACTTTGACGTGGTTCTGATGTGGTCACTCAGGATGTGATGCGGTTTACAAAAAAGGTGGGAATCATTAATGAAGGTGCAATGACACAAATTCAGCTTTTATCAGCTGAACTTTCGTATCTCAAGAAAGATCAGGAGACCCCAGAAACATTAAAGCTATCTCTTTTTATTAAAAAGTAGAGGTTTCAGACAGAAAAAAAAGTTTTATTCTCGAAAACCGGATTAAATCGCCGTGAAGAAGGAATATGCGCTACAAGAAGTGAACCAGTATTTTAAATGTATATTGTGTTTTATAGGGGGCTTTGGAGTGTATCATTGAGGATGAATGCAGGTTGAGGGGAAGGTCACACCCTCAGCTGGCTGCCTGCCCGCTTCTAAAGTTGCAATTCTGAGTAACATATGAATAGAAATAGACACAGAATAGAGTTGAAAATAGTACCACGGTGGTTATATTTTCTAAAACAACAGATGGTCTATGAGTTCTTAGTCATAAAGTGGGACCACTGTGTCAAGAGAGGGTTAAAAGGCATTGATACGTGACAGTGCACATTCATAAGTCATTTACTGGACGCAGAAGGGTCCATGCCATTAGGCTAATTCTACAGTCATATTAAAGCAGCAGTATTTAACTTTTAATATAACTGAGGTGCAGTTTTATGAAACTTTAACATCATCATAAATAAAGCGCAGTATAACTATAAACCCTAAAGCCTTAAATATCACAGAGGTTTCTCTCATTTAAATCACAGTTGAATTCAATGGTTAAACCGTTAAAAACAAACAAAATAAAACAGTGTGAAGTTTTTGAGAAAAGTGACTTTATTTATAGAAATAGTCACAGCTCCTAAAGTCCAAAAGAGTGCCATTTATAATGTACACATAATATCGTTTCTCATGGGAACAGGCTATAATCCTCTCTGCACATGTTGTTGTCACATGAAATAAAGTGTGCACAATATAATAATTTTGTATGCATGAGGTTTTCAAAAAGAACTATTCCAAGATTTTACTAAAATCTCTTGCTCTCATCATAAAATAAAAAAAGTGCTTTTCAGGTGTTCCAGAAGAAGAACAGCGTCAGTCTTGAGAGCATGTTGTGAATAACTCCACATGTTTAGAGCATGAATGCCACAGGTGGATTATCCAAGCGTAAAGATTTTTACTGTCACTCCTTAGACAGACTGTCGCAGCTTGAAACAAACAAAACTTTCTGAATCAAACACAGGGAATCTGATAAAGTGGATGTTTATTTTGTCTTTTTCACATTTGGTTGACTTTTAAAACAACCAATTCAACAGAAATGATGGAGCGTACATGAGTGTAGAGAAACACAAGGCTCTCCTGAACCTGTTCTCAGCAGTCTATATGTGCTGCTGAGTGCTTTAAATGACTCAGTGAATTTGCATGTGTCCTTGGTGATTTTCATTCACTTTAAATGCACAATGACAAACCACCTAGACAACCTGCTTTGACTTCCTGGAAGTTTTTTAATGCCTCTTGATACATTTAGAAAGGTAAAATCCTAAATGCTGTTTATTTGTTTATGAATTGTCATTCCTCAGTTGTCACTCTCTGTAATGGAGACACCCTCACTAATGTTATCCTAATGCCACCTAAGCCTCATAGCTGCCTCTGCAATATTTGCCGTGCAGCTTTGATTACACCCGCTGAGGCTATTTCCATGTCTGCTTTGTGTGTCTCTATCTGTGACTGGCTCCATTTCAGCTGAGTGTCTTCAGGAACACCCTTTTTCACTCGCTATCTAATGTTGCCAAGTTGTAATCCTCACACCCAAGACATTGATCTCAGACCAGCTCCTTACTGTACCACACACCCTTTAGCATGAATCTGCCCGTGGGAAACTTTCACCCTTGTCCCACCGTCCATCCAGCATGTCTTTGACCAGAACAGTCTGCTCTTGTCCCACAGCTATCAGTGTATTAATAGACTCTCTGGCTGCTACTTAGGTCCCTAACCCCCCACCTCGCTCTCTACTCATCCCCCCTTTTCATAACACAAACAAGCCAACGTGCCCCCTCATCCTGTGAAAAAACGCGTGGTTATTTTAGGCTCAGTGGCAGATAACTCACACGTTTGGGTTGCACACCAACAAATGCAAGGGTGCAGGGTTTGAAGCTAGTTGCTGGCAGTGTGTCCAATTAGCACAATCGTATTATCAGACTTGATTAGATTTTAAATCAAATTCATTTTTTAAGTGTTGTATTTGTTTTATTTGAACAATGCTGTGGATTTGATTTTGTTGTCCTTCTAAAAAGGTAACAAAGCTGTTAGTGCCGACCTGGACTTGATATTTTAACCCATAGTCTTTCTTTTCTAAGATTTAGTCAAGATGTTTTGGAGCTGGAACCAAATCTCTAAAGAGAAATTCAAGATAAACAGATAATCCATGAGGGGAGGAGAAGATGTTTGGAGTTGTAAACATCCTGGTTTCCTTTTAGACCATATGGTTGTGTTGATTAATATTTCAGCAGGAATTGATTGAACGCGGGGAAACAATCAAAAAGAGCAAAATCAGTGAGCAGAAATCCAAAACCACTGGCGCCCAGTGGTTATTAAGTAAGGAGCACTTACCCTGACTTGTAGAAGTACAGTGGGGGGTCTTGACCGTTGTTTGAATGTCACTCTTGAAGCTAATTTTAAGAGAAAAACACTAGGATTGTTATTTTAAAATTTGTTTTCTCTTATCTTACACATGGGACTCTACAGTACCATGCTAGAATTGAATGCTGGATGACTTACAATATGGTATAATTCAATATGATACAACCAGGCATATGTCAGATGACTCATGGTATGATAGGACACAATACAGTAGAATACAATATGATGCAGTACAATACAATATGTTACGATACTACATGATTCGATAGGATATGATACATTTGCGCAAATGCCAAGTGACTCACGGTACCATACAATACAATATAAGACGATAGCATACACAACATTATTGAACATGATACAACAATATAAAATATAGGATATATGGTCCACAGTGAAGATAAGTTGATTAATGAATGTATTTTTTTGCATTTTAATACATGTTTGTGGTCTGCTGATAACATTTACAGAACAACAGTAAATTACAGTTCATAAAGATTTTTCAAAATAAAAGCCTCATTTGAAGTAAAAACATTTCAGTGCTTGTTAGGTAAAAGCAATTTAACAATTTGAAACAAACTTGTTTTATTAACCTGCATGACTTTACCCATAACAACTACAGACCAGTACATCATTAGTTACTACAAAGAGGTCCTTCTCAGTGAGCATCTGTTTGTTCAAAGCCTTCAGTGTGCTTTAAGTGTTATATATCATGCTAGTTTAGTGCACAGGATGGGCTTCGATTGTCATGTCATGTAGTCTCACATGGTCCAAACATATGTGAGTGAACTCTTTTCTTTACCTTTTCTCTGGTCCAAGCAGAAAAAGGCAGAAAAACATTTTCTTTCTTCTTTTTTTGGATTCAAAAATGTTGGGTGGATCTCTGAGCATCTCTCTGCTATCTGACTACCTGCTGTCTTCTTCTGGTGTTATTTTTGGTCAATTAATTTTCTGATCATATTACTAAGAATATTTAAGACACTCTGAGTCAAACTGATGGAATCAGATGAAATCTTATATTTTAATTTTTCTATTAAAATATAAAAATTGGCTCAAGCCTGGATGACAGTGACATTTCTTTTTGCACCCCATGATTGAAGAGTGTTGAAATGTGTGTTTGAATTTTATGACAAGTGGAAAAAAGAGACTGAACACATTTTATTCTCAGGGAGAAACCAAGGACAGACCTCAGCGGGTGAAAAAAGACGTGATTTGTAGTTAGATTCAAAGTAGATGCTTTAGTGATGAATGCAGTGTCAGGCTGACCATATCTCAGAGCTGTGTCGGGTTGTCTTGACTCCCACATTAATTGATAAGTGGGGGAGAGCACATTAAGCATGCTAGTGGCATAGTTAATGTTGTGTTGATCTTATTTTCTCTCTCTGTAGCCTGCGGGCATCCGCACTCAGCTGTCTGCTGGGAGAGCGTGCGTTTTATTACAGAGGAGTCCAGGGGACGAGGGGGTGTTTATATCATGGTTTGACCATCATGTCCAGGGAGCAATGCCTCTATTTTCTCTCCTCCTTTGCCTGTTCTGCTTTTATTGCCCCAGAGACAAGAAAATACAAGCAAAAATCAAAGATCCCACATGGCAAAGCTCCAAACCGGAGGAGCTATTTTTGGGTCCAGCTATGGGAAAGTAACCAGGTCCTTGATCACTCGAACATGGGGAACTCTGCTGCTGTAAATCCTGGTACTGCTGGTTTTCCTCAGTGGATCAGACAGCGTTAAGAGTCTGCTTTCTGTAGAGCTCAAGGCTGGGAACTCTGGACTTTATCACAGGGGATATGAGATGATTCAGAAAGCGAGACAAATACAGGATCTGAAAGGAGGTGATAGTTTTTCCAGTGAGCTAAGATGGAGAGGCACTGTACATCTCTTTAATGTGGATTTCTGCAAATGCATTTAAGATAATTGTTCCTTGAGAGCGCAATGAATCCCCTCTCATTTCATTACCCCCCTGCCTGCAGGTTTAAGTACCCAGTTTGGCCTGTAACTGAACCTCCTTCTGCTCATTGCATAACAGGATCTTATGTGTTGACTGGTGTTTGGCTCTAACTGTGCGACCTCTTAACGGTGCCAACTCTCCATTGGTAAAATGCTGTTTGTGTATTCCCTTTAGATTTATTATTCTTTGTTTCAAGATTTAACCTTGATTCTTTTTTAAATGCATAAAAAGTTAAATGCATTTGCCGATATGAGGGTCCTATGGAGGATTATAACGCAACTCTTCAATGGCTTAAGTACTTTTTCAACCCCTTCTATCAAATAAGTTTGTTTTTGAATATCAAACATACACATAGCCCCTTCATATATATGCATGCTTTTGGACATTGCTTACAGCTCAATCTTTCCACCCTGACCTCAAGCAGGTTTTCCTTCCCAGCTCCTTAATAAAAAGTCTGAACTATCAGTGTAAGTTGGTGTGAAGGCAGCAGGTAATAGTTACACACATTATATTATAGTTATACACATCACATTATGCACCAAAGTTGCATCATGATGGCCCATCGTACTGCATTCTTGCAATGCTGTGTAATATAAATAGTTTGCAGTAAGGTTTCCGGGCAAGCCACATTGCCAGTCTCTGGCTTCATTTCATTGTCTGCTTGTTTGTGCGCAAGAAACCATGGCGACTGAACCTTTAACTAAATAGGAGCTTATTATGACAGAGTTAGAGCTGATGAATGTTGGGAAGCAGTTTTTCAAGCTGCAGGTATTAAAAATATTGAAAATGCAGGAAATAATGATGGCATCCAGCAGACCAGTCACATATCTTGTAGTCTGACTTACAGAAACTGTTTGTTTTCTTTTTAATGAGTGGTTTCAGTTTTGCTATCTGGACCGCTGCCATCCTAAAATATACCTGAAAGCGTTCAGGATAATCCTGCAGCTCCTCAACAGGTGAAACTCTCTTCACTCTTGCTGTTGGCAACACATTTGCAGTTGGGTTGGTAACCAGTTCACATGACCCAATTGCATCCAGATTCGGAAAAAAAAAAAAATTAAACATGTTTGATTGACTGTGACTGAGGTCAGGCCAGGTCTATTCCCCTCATACACAACAGGTTTTTGTGCCAACTAGCCATACCAACAGGGTTGGACTTTGTCCAGCTGATTGCACGTTTGCATGCAAACGGAGAAAAACTGTGGAAAATGGAGATTTGGGTAGCCGACAGCAGATTGTGTGCAGGAAAGAAGGAAGGGATGTTGTTTTTGCTGCTGCTATGCAGGATTCTGATTGGCTAATGTGGGCTTGAGTGTCTTGCTACACTGCTACCCACATGTTTGATATGCTCTTGACGGCATATATACACAGGTTAGTGTAAACAAAAGCTTTTTTGAAAACACAGTGGTGTGCACGCAGTTTTTTTTTTCTTTTTAAACAGGGATATAATATGAAACTTGCCAGGCATGTGTAGATGTAGTCTGGAATTGGTGGGTGAATTTTAGGAAAAAAATGATGTAGCGTGTCCTTAGCTTTGAAATGCAGCTAACGCTGGAGTACTGTGAAAAATCATAGGGACGTGAAGCAGGGTAGACAAGGATCTGACACAGGAAGATACACGCAAGGTAATGAACGATGCAAAACAGGTGAGGCAGTGAAGCTCAGGTGCAGACAGTCCCAAGGGAGGGAAAACACAGGAAGTAAAAGTAGACCAGATATTCAAGGAGGAGGAACTACAAAATAAAACAGGACCCAGTTTGATCTTGGCATCTAGTTTTGGATGTTAAAACTCGTTTCACATGCCAGACCTTTGAGGAGGTTCTGTTTTACTGTCATTCCTGACCTCTCAGTGTCTAGCAGATATTTTGTGTTTTCATATTAAAAGCCTGTGAGGATGTTATTTGTGTCCCCTCACTATGAAAGTCCCCTCCATGTCCCTTTGTTTATGTGTAACAATGGCTTATTTTTAACCCGTTGGCCTGTTTAGAAGTGGAGAGGGGAGAGGAGGAGGAAGTGGTTGCAGGATGACAGAGGAAGATAATAGCAGCCTCCTCAGCCTTCATCCTTCCTCTGTCCTCCTTCACACACTGACATACATACACACACAAACACACACACACACACACTCACACTCCTGGGGTTTGTGTTGATTTTTGCGTCTCTGCAGGAATATAAATCTATGTGAGCAGCAGACACACACAAACACAAAACAACCGATACACTCTTTACTTGTCCTTTATAAGAAGAGGCTCAGACAGTTTGACCTTCTAGAAAGTATTAGAGAGTACTGGAGGAAGCTTTAGTCATGATTCAGTGCTAAACTTTGGATGAACCACATGGTGTCCTTGAGCAACTGAATGAACCAAAACCGCACATTTTGCTGCTTTCTCATCTGAAATCCGTCCTCAAATAAACTCTGATTGAAGTCGACTGTATAGCTTTGAAGAAAAGTGTGAGGTCAAAACACATTTAAGAGTCCGCCTGGAGGTAAATTCAGAGTGAAAACAAATGAAATGTATGCACCCAAGCAAGAGTCTGTGTAGGCTTTAAGACTAGGGTGGCCCATCTGTAGCGCTTAGTTGTGTAGAGACAGGATAAAGCGTTTATACATTCAAGAATCAACAGCATTTCAGTCAAGTTTACAAAACTCTTCTTGGCTTCGTCTCCTCTCATTTATGTAAATACCCTCAATACCACTGAGCACCTAAAAGCCTCTGAAAAGGCTCAAACCCTAAAAAACTAACACAAAAGCAACAAGCCTTCTGAGTGAAATTCTCAAAGGGATACAGAAAGTCTTAAGTTTGAGTCAGGTATTAAGTTTATTTATAGTGAATAAGAGTTTCATTAAATTTAACATTTAAAAGAAACAGTTTCATGTAAACAGCCATTTTGTGATAGAGTTTGTACGCAGTTTTTGTTGAACTGATTTCTTTCTTTCCCATTTGAATTGCTAATACAAGAAAATGTGGTGCATTTAAATGCAGAATATCTACCGCTGTTTAACACAGTCCAAACTGTGTAATTTAACTCAAGTCCTCACAAGCCAAATAGCCAATTATAGTTCAGGATTTTGGAGCAGCACCTGAGGCGGGTATTAAGATGTTATGGTGGCATGGGTCCATCTGCAATGGTCCTGGTTTTTAGCCAGGCAAAGTCAGATGACTTCTTGATAGTACTCTGGATACAAATAATTGAACTAGTAGCTGGGTCTTCCCCTGAGTGTTTCCATATTTTGATTCTACTTCACACTTAAACTCTACATCCTTTTTTTTTCATGCCTGTTGTCATTGTAGTTGCTGTTATTTCTCCCTCACCCCATCAATCATCCTGCATTATCTTCTGACCCCTTTGACCCGACCCTCAGACAGGCCACTACTGGACTGAACTGTGTCCAAAGTAGATAAACAAACTAAGGTATGACGGTAAAATGCCGCAGACACATTGTGACATCAAGAAAATCAATCCAATAATGCCATATAAGAATCAGACTCAAGCAAAACTTTGATTCAGAGTCAGAATTTTCACTTAGTTCTATACATGTAGTTCATGTATAGAACTAAATAAGTTTTGCAGAAACTTTATAAGTATCCTCCAATAACATTTTCCTGTTCCTGGATCTTCATCATATGGGTAGTGTACAGGTATGGCTTCTTCTGGAGCACTTGTGTCGTTTATTACTTTGTTTTCCACCTCTGCATCCAGCTTCTCCCCCACAACATTCAGGCAGTCAGCCAATCAGCAAAGTACCTAATGGCCATTGTATCCCCGCCCTTATAGATCAAATTCTGTTTGGAAACTGAGAGGCTGCAGACGCTCCCTCCAAAGAGGCTGATTTTTATTTTTATTTTTTTGCAACAAGATTCAAAACCTGATTCAAAGACGACTGGAACATGTTGTAAACAGATAAAAATACCACTATACCGGACCTTTTACTTCATACAAACATGCAGCATTTAAAGCAGAAATACACTTCTCTGTGTTTTGAACTGGTTGAGCTAAACAGTGAATTTGTCTGAATCTTCTCATGGTACATCTAGTTCTTGCTAATCATCATATTTATTCTTCGCAGTCTAGTAGGTGATTTTGAGCCTGCAGAGAAAACAAAATCCATTTTTTTCTAACAGCAACAGCTTCTGGCATATCATAATAACCATAGAAATGTGTACTTTTATCAGTCAGTTCTCTGCGTTACCATGAGCAGTTTGAAAGAGATTCAGCTCGACATTTAAATGAAGCCAAAGCGTACTTTTTCTCTTTTTGTGTCAGCTCTGGAATAACTGTGTCGGCTGTGCTGCTTCTCCCTGTTTTTGAGTGCCTGCTTTTTTATCTTATCTCTTTAAAACACTGTCTGCTGCAGAACAGCACTCTGGTGCGGTTCATTTAAGTCCTCATTGTTTTAGTTTAGTTATGTTTATCAGCAATTATGGGAGCTTATTTTCTAATTCATTTTTGACAGCAGCAGAGGAGCTTCAGACAGGTATTGAAACTGGTTTTCACCCATTTTCATGTAACATTTACACTTCATGTCCAGGGTTTTTGCACTGTTCTTCCTCAGGCATTTGTTTTATCTGGGTCTGGATTTTCTCAAGACAAATGCAGCATTTCTCTAAAGTGATTTGATTCAATTACTTTGCCACTCAAGTTTCCATTTCCCCATGCGCAGTATCAATCTACTCGATCCAGCAGGAAATGCAGGCTGGAAATAGTTCATATTTAACGATAGACACACTCACACGCAGCTTATCTCTAACTGTCAGACTTTTTTTAAAATGCTGCAAGAAATAATGACTGCTTGAGGGAAATTTTCTGTTTACATCATCACAACATCTGCAAACCATTCGTCGGACTATGGTGGCCAATTCAACAGAATCTGGTGTTGCAACGCAGTGATTTTTAGATTTCCCATCATTTTTTCTGATGACCTCTGACCCCATGAGACCAGCATGACTATTACAGTGAGGTTGGAGGATGTGGAGAGTTAAACATTCTCTAAAGACTTACTTATGTGATCAAAAGGACTGAATTAAAAACAAATCCCTAAGAACTCTTAAATATATGTGTTTGGCATCAGCAGTGGAGTTTTTTTGAGGAGTTTCTGGAGAAATTATGTCTTTGCTGTGATTACATGAGAAAAAAAAACAGTCTCATGAGGTTGCAAACTCCCTAAAGACGGTATGTGGACTTTTTTCTGCCAGCCTCCTGGTGAATTTTCTGCATGAAAGCTGATGTAAATTAGGTCTGTTCCAAAGCATTTTGGGCCATTACAAGTAATTCTAATGCCAACTAGTGAAGATGACAATGTCTAGTTCAGCTGAATAAGCATGCACATCCTCTGTAAAAGTGCTGCAGGTAAAAGTGAGACATTCCCTGCAAGTTTGTAACCGATGCAGTGTTCATGAACATGACGAAAATGTACTTTTTAATTTACTTTAACCCGTTCTTTCTCTTGAATGTCTTATAAACATGTTGTGCACTATCCTTTTAAGACCATGTCCTGCCTTCCTCAGACAGGTAAAACTTTACACTGGTTTGAATAAGTGACTTTGGAAAATGGCAGAGGCAGACTCTCCTGAAATTTTCTAGGAATTTTCTTGCGTAAATCTGCAAAAAAAGCTTTTCAGGTCTTATTTGAATGCTGTGAAAATCCTCACAGGCTTTCCCGCTAACGCCTACACATCTCAAGTCTGAAGTGGAAAATGACCATTACCCCAATGCTCTCTTTGTCTCTTTGGGCATTCTGGGAAATGTAGGATGTCATTAGCAGATGAAGATGCAGGTCGACAGAAGGGTGGGCGTTAAAATAATTACAGCAGCTTGTCAATTAAGTTTGATCATGTTTGAATATGAGAGATGAAAGGATGAATGCATAAACAAATAGCTGTCAATCTTTTATTAAAGTATGGATTTTGTTCTTATATTGAGATGTTTTGTTTGCAGGAGGGTCGAGTCTGTGCAGGACTTTGTCAAAGTGATCCTCTCTAGAGAAGTGCAGTTTGCATTTTAACATAATAGATGTGCTAATTTGCACTTCATCACTACAGATGAATCTTGCGTTTATGTTTCACTGTGGGAAAGGATGTGAATATCACTATTTATTTGCATGTGTGTTTTTCATTTATCAAAATCACCTGCAGGATCATTATATTAACCTCAAAACTTCCCACAGTTCAGCTTCATTTGAACAAACGACTGAGTTTCAGCATCCGCAGTTCACCCATCTCCTCTAATGATGACTCACTCTGCCTTTCACTACCTTCCTCTCTTCATATATTCAGTTTTCCTCGGTTTAAAATGTCTCTAAAATCTTTTTATTGGGTTATTTACCCCGGTGTGTGATGATCCAGCACACAGCAGCTTTAAGGCCTTCTCGTTTGCAGATGAAAACAACAAGGAGGCGTCTTTATGTGATGCAATGCGAAGTCAGCAGAGAGCAATTGATTGTTTTTCTCTCCAAGCTGGGTGAGGCTTTATTGCTCTCTGTTTCTGTTTAAGCTGAGGAGATGTGTTTAATTTCCTCAGAGGTTTGCCTCCTTCTGAAGGCTCTTAAAAGAAACCTGAACCTCAAACTAAAGTCTTTATGGTCTTTGTTTCAGCTCTTCATGGCCCTCTGGAAAGCGAGCTCATGTGATCATAAATTCTATGGTTTTATATTTTTTCTTGAGCAATAGGAAGGATCTGTTCAGTCTTAGTGGGTTCTTGTTTCTTTGCGAACAGTTTTGCTGCCTATTTTTGTAATTTGTGTGTATCTGACAGAGTCATTATAGTGATTATCGTGAGTTTGTCGCTAGGTGTGTTTGATTTGTGCCTACAAAAGGCGTTCATTCATCAGAAACATCTCTGGATGCTTCAGTTGCCAAGAGACACGGCTGCAGCTTCCTCAGTTGTAAACATACAGTCAGCAGCAGCAGCTTTGACAGCGGGCTGTTTCATACTCACAGTACGAGGTCTGATGGGTTTTGTTTAAAGCTGTGTGTTAATATTTAAAATTAGAGCCACAAATGATCATTTTTATGTCTTGTTTTAAGCTTGTATGCATACTTTATTCCTAGCAACGATGTTTTTGCAGCTGTTTCCAGACAAATACAGCGTTCCAGTTTGGCCATGAACGCTCTCAGATCATCCAAACACACCAGAGAAAGAAATCCTTTAAAGGAATTTACTGAACTATCAGGGGATAAATCATTGGACATTAACTACTCCTCCTGCTTTATTTCCAGATCATTGTTATTACTTAAACTCAAGCAGAAAGTATGAAAAAGCTTTACAATCTCAAACCTAAGTAATGCTGCAGGGTGAGTGTGAAACCATAGGCTGAAGTCATGATAGAGGGTTTAGAAGATGCTTTTTGCATATGTAGATAAATCCCTCCAGACATGTGAACAGCTTTGATGATTAAAATCAGTGACGTCCTCTCTGAAAGTGATGTACATCTGGGAATTTTTGACATTTACTGGATTTAGATGAGCATATTAGCCTCTATGGGTATGTTAGTCATGAACAGAGGTGTGAACAGGCACCAAAATGGCATGTTTCTGTCTTAGGGTGAGTCAGGCAGCAGTCTGTTGCACAGTACGATCCTGCGATTCAACAGGTGCATCAGTGAGATATGAAGAAGGCTGCAAAAGTCCACAGCATGAATTCTCTTGCATTTCATGCTCAGGCACTTTCTGCTATTCAGAGTGTTTGTTTACAATACATACATTAACATAACTCATGCAGAGACCAGTGTTTTCTGTGATTTTTTAGGGTAGATAAAGGAGGAAAGTCAAATGAGTGTGTTTAAAGGCTGAAATCTGCTGTCTAAATAGCAATACACAAACCTGAAAGCATGTCACATCTAAAACACACCCGTAAAATATCTGTCATGAACCAAAACACAGACTGGAGGACACAATGGCACAGCACCAATTCACTTTGTCAAACAGACAGGGTTTAATGAAGTTCAGGCAAAGGTCGGTACACGAAAAGGCAGTCATGTCAGGCAGAGGTATCAAAAATGTGAAGCACAAAGGCAAGGTCCGAAAAGGCAGGCAAAGGTAGCTATGATTAAATGCTGGAACGAGACAAGAAGTGCAACGAACTGGGGACGAGACGGTGAGACATACAAGCTAAAATACAAGTGCTAACGAGAGTGATTGAAAACAGGTGGGGAGACACAATCAGGCGACAGGTGTGACAAGATGGGGGCAGGGCAGACCAGACAGGAACAGCTCTAAAGGACAGAAACAAGGGTTAGTGATTTACAAAATAAAACAGAGAATGCAAAACATGAAACAAAGCATGAACTGGATTTAGATGAGCATATTAGCCTCCATGGGTGTGTTAGTGATTTACAAAATAAAACAGAGGATGCAAAACATGAAACAAAGCATGAAAGTAGGGCTGGGCGATAAAATGAAAATGATTTCACTCGATATCAGTATGAAACATGGTCAATATGCTTTTCGATAGTCAGCATTCTGCCATGTTTTGGTAGACTATACGAATAGCCAATGAAAAAGGGAGTTGCTCCTGGTGTTCAACTCCCCTTGTGAACCGCCCATTCAGTTCGCTTTCTCTTGCGCAACACCTTACGACAAAACATCAAAGAGACCTAAAGACCTCACAAATGCAGTAGTTTATTGTATTGCAAAAGACACGCTACCAATAAGCACTGTTAAATTTCCTTTTTTAGATCGTGATATATATTGATATCGACTGATTTGAAAAAACTATGTATTGTGATAAACTTTTTCCCATATCACCCAGCCCTACATGAATGTGCAGAAATAAAGGGAACTTTACTGACATGAATGTACTGAAAAATAAAAAAGAAACTTGACCGACAAGAAAATATTAGCCTGCAGCTCATTTTACTCCCAGATTGTGCGCTGCTTAACTAGCAAAATAAGGTGTAATACCCTAATTCATCTTGTACCATGTGCTCTTTTCCTTTTACTGTAAATCCTTTTACTCTTACAGATCTGTCACTCTTTCACTCTAACTTTAAAAAGTATATCAATGTGTTTTTTTAGCCTTAATTATGACTCCTCTTTAGCTCACATCTCCCTCATGTCCCCCCTGTGTGTAAACACTAAAGATGAATACATCACTCACATGCATCTTGAAAAGGAGTCACATAAATGCAGACTTCATATAAACACACAGACCCTCTTGGATCAACATTTACGATCACAGAGTTATTTTTAATCATTGACAGTTGAAATTTATGTGTTACCCCAGTTGGTACAGACTGTTTTTTTGTCTGTAATTTTTCCCCGTCCCTCATGGTCAGAGCTCTTGTTTTTCTTTCTGTTATTGTTGGATGAAGACAAAGATAAAACAAAGTACTTGGCTACTGTTCACAGACAGTTTGTTCACATGGAGTGTTTGTAACATGGCGTACAGCGATCACTGCCAAAGTATTAATGTATGAGTGTGTTAGTGTGATAGTGTGTGTTAGTGTGTCTGAGGATATTCAATGTTCTGATGGGGGAAAATGCATTGTTCGAGTAAACTGTGTACATAACCAACAGAAAGGCCGTCATTGTTTGGTTCTTATTGACTGATAATGTGATGATAAATGTCTGTTTGTTTTTGCGAATGGTTAGCGTCACTGACAGAGGTTTAGGGAGGAGAAGATGTCAAAGTACTGTGTGAAAGTCAAGAACCACTATTACTTGGACTATCTCAGACCCTCCCTTCAGTGCTGGATGTCTAGAAAACTTTTTTAACACTTTTACTGCCGGTGTTGTAACATCAGACAGTCTGTGAAGCACATTACTGCTGCGTTGGGATCCTCAGAGAGGAAACAATTTAAAGATCAAATGAAAAGATTCATTGCACAAGGCCAGTTTGCAGTGTTTCAGTGGATTTTGACTTTGGACAGGAGAATAGACCCTGAGGAGAGCAGAAAAGGCAGATCACTGTGCTCATAATGCAATCCGGGAGCCTATACCTTTAGTCACCTGGCTTTATGCAGCTGTAATTGCTCTCCATTAGCAGATGTGTGCATGCATCAGCTGCTAAAACCCCCTCTTAGCCACAGAAGCTATAACATCATCAGTTGGTTCAGGCAGAAACCTTGAGCATAACCAGACTCCTGTAAGACAGGACTGTAAGACTGATATTATTGGGTTCAGAGAGGGGATAGAGGGAGATGCAGAAAGAGAGAGATGGACAGAGGTGAGACTGATGCAATGAGTTGAAGCAGCTGGAAGGCAGGCAGGTCCACAGTAGGAAAATTTCTGCAGCAGTGATCCAGAGGAACCTACAGCATGATAGAGCTCAGGGACTCCTGGTCCAGCTGGTCCAGACCTGAATTAGCTCTAACGATGAGATTCATCAAAGAGGAATATTCTAATCAGACTCTTGAAGGTATAGGGAGTGTCTTCTACTGGTTCTGGTCAGTACTAGAAGTTATTTTGACTTCACTGCACTACTGCAATACAAATGTTTTGATATTAGGCTTTGTGTTGCAAGGTAAACTGTATACAACCTGTGTAAAATGCTTCCCTGGTGTGAAGCCAGTACACAAAATCACTGCACATTCTGTACTGATGTACACATTATTAATGGAGCACATTGTGTCAGTTTTAGAGTTTTGCATTTTTTGACTGAAGAGAGGCTGAAGGAGAGTCCAGGTCAACAGAGTCTCTGCCACTTTCATCTACAGAAAGGGCCAGAGCCGCCTCTTTTGCCTGAGAAGACTCCGATCAATAGACATCTGTTGTTGCAGATGTTTTATCAGTCTGTGGTGGCAAGTGTTCTGTTCTATGCTGCAGTCTGCTGGGGAGGAAGCATCAAACACAAAGATGCAAGACGTCTTAACAAACTGGTGAAAAAGGCTCTGTGGTTGGACTCAAGCTGGAATCAGTGGAGAGATCTACACTGAGGAAGGTGGAGACTATTCTAAAGAGCATGGATCACCCACTTCACAACACCTTGATGGACCAAAGGGCCAATGGTGGTGGACGGCTCCTCTCTCTTCACTGCAGGACAGAAAGATTCAGAAGATCTTTTGTACCAACAGCCATCAGGCTTTATAACTCTTGTGTAAATAGTAGATAACTGTTGGAGACATATTATGTGAGACAACAGACAATTGAATTTCCCTTTGGGGATTAATAAAGTTCTTCTTATTCTTATTCTTAAATAGAGTGGAAATTTCCCGAAACCCCTACATCCCTGATATACATGATGCGTATTTCCTCTTTTATTTCTCCTTCTGTAAAAGACAAAATCTCCCTGTTACTCCAAACTCAGGGGACAGTTTCATGGTAGTAAATCTGATCTGACACTGACCTCAGATATCTGCAAGTTTATCTCTAAGATGCAAATGTCTCACCAAAACAATTACTAAAGTTTTCTGTTACGGCTGAAAGATGATTGTTTGCATGATTCTAAAATCATTGAAAAAGAGGTGAGGATGACTCTTTTTTTCTGCTTTAATGGTTTTACAGACCTAACTGACTTCCTGTGACTCCTGGACTAAATTATTACACCCACTGCAGGGAACTCGCTGCCCTTTAGCCTAGCACAGCCAAACATAATAACAAACACACATCTGTAACTGTGACCCTGAGTGGACAGTGGAGGGGAATGACTGTAGGAGTATGAACTTCCTGTCTCAGTACATGAGAAAATACATGCACTGTCAGTGAACACACATAAACACACATACAGGCACTTACACAAATGACTTGCATTGAATTTACGAGAGGGGGTTTGCAAGTTTCCTCAGTTGAGGAAGGATTGTGATGGTGGATTTGTTTTCAGTCCAATTGGATTTACGCCCCAATGTTAGATGTTAGTCACACACAACTACCTATAACCACATGAGACCCACGCTTTTGTGAAGATTTTTCTCTATATATAGTCTTATTGGATCATCATTTTACCGCTTATTAAATCCAGATTAATAAAGCTATCTTTTTAATAGATAGAAACAAATTTTCTTCAGTGCAACAACCAGCAAATGATAGGCTTCGTATAAAGGCATAAGGTAGTAATAATAATATTTATCTTGAAAGGGGTATAATATAACTAGTCTGTGATAATTAAAGGCAGCTGTGGACTGATTGTTGTGACCAGAGCAGCATCATTTTTGACATTGCCACATTAACATTTTCAGATATTCTGCTCAGTATACAGTCATTGACTTGCATATTTACCTCTTATTAAAGAGCTATTGTGCTCTTACTTTAAACACAGCCTCAATCAGTGAATAAGCAAAAGTGCAAATTCTAAAAAAACAAACAAAATGAAAGCAGGGACAATAAAATGTTTCAATAGATTTGCAACCTTCAGACAATAAAGCAAATGAGGAAAAGGTTTTATAAGAGCTGTGTTGCCTCTTTGAGCAAAAGCAGGTGTGCAGATAATCATATTTGAGGACAAATATAGATACAGAAGAATATATTTAAGACAATATATATAAATAGTTTCTTGAATGTCAGAAGTGCAGTTTTGTGGATCAGTAACAGTTACGTACATGTTGAAAAATTTTCTTTAAAAGCCTCAAATGATTGCACTGTCTGTTTTTTGTTTGCCTTTCAGAAACATGTGGAGAACCTTAACTCTCACACTGATAATTGTGCTAACTCTGGGTGCAGAGGTGAGTGTGTACTGGTTTGTTGTAAAAGCATAGCCATCTTTTATTTTTTTTATTTTAGATAAATATTTGCATTCTATTTTTTGTGAGGTAAATATTGTCTGTGCATCTCTAATTCACCATGTCTTAATTCCCCTCAGGTGTGTCTGACTGACGATGAGTGGTCCATGACGGCTATGGAGAAGGTGTTGGAGAAACAACAGCAGCAGAATGTCAGCGACAAAACAGAAGTACTAGGAAAATCCAGACGGCAGATCCTGGCTGCTCAGTTTGAGTGCTACCTGAAGATAATCCGCGATCCCCCCCGCAGAGAAGAAGGTGATAAAAGCTGCACCTATTGTTCTCTTTAATCACAGCTCAGTTTATAACAGCCCCCCTGCTACAGCTTACAACTCTCTAATGTTATTAACACATCATGTTTGCCGGATCTGATGCACGGAGATAACAGCTAATCACATAATGCGTTCAATTTGCAGGACTGAGGTTGTTCTTATGAAAACACTCCCTTAAGCATGTACAGTCGCTTAATGTACAAGAGCAAATTCAATCACAGGATATCCTTATATTACTAATTTTTTTTTTCATTGTGCTTGTTGTGATTATCCTCGCCTTTGAGTCTACGGGCTGTTTTAGCACCTCTGTATGGGATCATAAGGAAGAGTCAGAGCAATTTTAAAAGAGCTAAATCATTTTTTTTACCACTATAGCAGGTAGATGAATTGGTATGAGGTAAAAAATGAAAAAAATGGAACAGCTGGGGGGAAAGTTGTTAAAAAAACAAAAGTTATGAGAATAAAGTCATAATCTAACCCCCAGTTTCCAACGCATCTGTGATGGCAGCGCTTTTCACCGTCCACCAATTTCTACCAGAGGCATTTGTTAGACGAATTTCATGGCAGATTATGGGCAGCAGGAATCGCAAGAACTCACAAGAACCCCCGGATTCATATGCAATTGTGCAATAACGAGTTATCTCCATAAAGGCAGCCACATAACCATATAAGCAGTGGATTGTGTCCTTCCAGTGGAGGAAATCCACTTCTAGACTTCTAGAATCAGCATCTCCTCATCCATGGTGTCATCAGGGTCAAATGCTGTCTAAAAATCTTTCACTTGTTCATGCCCGTCCATTTGCATGGTGGGAAATATGAGCTGCCTAAAACACGTAGTGCGTTTTATTTTGAAAAGAAGCCAGATTTTGCGATTTTTTAACTTACACGTTAACTTAAATGGCAAATTCCAGATGCGGTGGAAATTGGGGGTAACAAGAATCATGTCATCATTTTGGTGTTTGAGGCAGCTACCTTAACCACAATGAGGAATGAGGAGTGTCTGTTAAATTTTACTCAAGGGGATTTTCCAGCTAAGTTTAAGTGAGGGTCAGACTGAGTTAGACACCCCCTTGAGAGATGAATGTTGCTGACTGCTTGCTTCTCTAGTTATACCAACTTTAGTAACGACCGCACAATGGCAATACACAGAGGTTTATGGCTACACACATAAACCTTAACCAAAAAGCTACTCTATATCCACAAATAATGCTCAGAACAGCACATAACTTCTTCAGCAGTATATATAGGGTCCTAGCCATAGTATTAGCCACCAAACATCTTTTTGACTTTGCCTGATTTCTTTAGCAAAGAGACCAAACACAACTCACCCACTCTCCTCCAGCAGCTGCTTTTTTTGTGGGGGAGCCCTGACGAGTCGATCACCAAGTGCTATCAAATGCTATTGCTATCGTGCAGTCGTTGCTGAAGTTGGTGTAACTAATCTCTCGAGGGGGTGTCTAACTCAATGTTACGGTGTGTTTGACCATGACTCAAAGTTATGCCAGAATATCCCTTTAAAGCCGCTGTGAGGAACTTTTGGTTTGTGCCAGTTTTGGTGCCCCCCTGTGGAAAAAGTGATACCTCTTATTACCAGTCTTGTACATGAGAAATGTCTTTTCAGACGAATGTATCATCCTCCTTTAACAGTGAAATGTATCACCTAATGTGAGTGTTTCCATGGAAAACTGATATAAAGCTTTTTCTTTAGCCTTCAGTCAATGAATTAGCCTGACACCTAACCCTCCACAGCTATTTAAGGTATCAAAAATTACACCTAAAAATGTTTCTGCAGTGTTACTGATGGTCTCGTTTGTTTCTGGAGGTTAGACAGAGGCACCAGTATCAGTTTCAGCCTGTTTTTCAACCAGTCAAAAAGTCCCCACCGTGCCTTTAAGTTTAGGTTTCCCTGACACTTTCCCTGATACTATATCTGTCAGCATCAGCACCACATAGTTATAGTCTTAATATCAGGACTCTGACTAGATTATGCAAAGTATCGGGACCTGGTATCCCCTCTCAAACAGGATTAAGTGACTAAAATTTAAATATCTGCTTTATTTTGGTGATAAAAAGACCGTAAACGGATTATTTAATGACTTTATTCTCAAGCTCTTTTCTAAGTTGGTCCAATACTCTGTCATACTTATCTGTTGTGATTAAATATCAATATTTGTCCACAACTGTGACCTTCGCCCCTCACCCCAGGGCCCTGGGTCAGGAGAGGTGGGAGGGCAAGCTCATTTCTTCACATGTCCTCTCTGATAGTAGATGTCAGCAGAGGAGGTGACACAGCTGAGGCGAGGTGAGAGAGGAGGAGGGAGAGGACAGAAGACACTGTCGTGACCAGTCTCAGGGGCGTCAGGGGTCAGAGATCAGTCTCAGTAATCCTGTGATGTCTCCGAGCACGGCATATGTAGCACAACAAGGATCTGTTGTACACTTTTTGCATTTTAAAGACTGTTACAGCCTCCTTGTCAACAGACATCAGCACTATAAGAGAGGAGACTAAATACAGAAATAGAGAAGACCAAAAACAAGAGATCCAAAAAGGACTGGAGATTCCTGGGCCCCCCTAGCTGTGGACCATCACTCCCAACACCTCCCCCATAATGAGAGGAACCAAAAACTAAGCTGGGAAAACACTGATTCATAATTTCAGATACAATATATTTACCTAAAACTGATCCTTTGCTCCGTGTTGCTCCGTGTTGCTCAGTTTTGCTCCGTTTTGCTCTGTTCCGCATGATGTTTAGATTTATGTCACACAGCTGGGAGCAGACCATGCAGGTTTGAGTCAGATTTATTAGTGTGCATCGCTGGTTGTCGTACCTGTTAAGAGTTTCTAGTTTTCGCACCGATAAGAGAGAGCGAGACAGGAAGTGGGTTTGAAAGAAAGGAAACTTGGCCTTTGTCTCTTTCCCTCTGCCTTTTCAGACCGGCTCAGTATTCACTGCTTTGAAATGTTATTTTCTGCTTTGTTTCCCAACATGCCACAGTGCAACCTGGTACCGCCAGGTTTCCGTCTATTGTTGACAAGTTTAGTGAGGGCGGTTAGAAACACAGCTTATTTGAGTGTGTCAAACCATTAATGTCCAATAGATAATTTATATGATTCACCCTGTTGGTGAGTTCATAAAATACTCAAAAAGCAGATTTTTTTAATTATTCTCTGTTCACATGTGAGTCTCTGATAGTTCAGACTCATTGCACAGCTGTTCCTTTTGTTCATTGTATAATGATTGATTTCAGTAGATTTCCCAGCTTGAAATTTTGATGCCTGGTTGATGTAAAATAAATGAAATCATGTTTATGCACATATTTGTCTTAAGTGCTCTTAAAAGTTAGCTAGGACACGGTGAAAAGATGTTTTAATTTGTAACTTTTTTAAAATTAAATGTTGCATTAACGCATGCAGTATTGCATTAAAGCCTCTGTTAAAACATCACTGCTCTTTTTTAGCAAAAAGTACTGTCATAATGTGTTATTTGTCTGCAATCTTTGCAAATTCATGTGCATACTGCCCCCTGTAGGTAATTATTGTAACCGTACATGGGATGGCTGGCTGTGCTGGGTGGATGCAGCTCCAGGGACGAGCGAGCAGATGTGTCCTGGATACTACATCGACTTTGATCCTGCACGTGAGACTTAAACAAAGCTGCTAATATGACATGAGATATTTTCGTTTTAGCCTGCATAACATGCTGATCCATAAATTTGCAGATTTACAGATGAAAGTTGGAGTTTAAAGTCAGTATTAATGGCACCTGAAGTAACCTGATTCAAACAGTTGTAAATCATGATAACGTTTGATGTCTTCAACAGAGAAAGTAACCAAAGTGTGTCACTCTAATGGCTCCTGGTTCCACCACCCTGAGAGCAAGAGAATCTGGTCCAACTACACCCAGTGTACAGCCCACACCAAAGACAGACTCAAGGTAAAAGAAAAAGATGAGTTGAAATTAAAGTGTGAATGAAAGGATGGAGACAGACAAGACTATGAGCTCCTTTGATGTAGCTGTGGTTCAAGAAGAAGAGCCAGCAGGTGATTTACTAACTGGAAGAAACGTCTAACTCCTGAGGCTGAGTGCACCAGCTGAGTGGACGACCTGTTGCAACCTTACTGCAGACTTAGAGGTGAAATTTATGGCGTGATCAGAGGAGGTGCCTGCCAAAAACACACACACTGGTTGAGAGCAGTTAAAGGGAGTATAATGGTACAATTTTTCAATAGTAAAAACTCCACAAATAACCAAAGCTCCTCAGTCTCCAGTGTTGTACCTAACGTTGTATGTTCCACATTTTGCCTCTGGCGCATATCAACTAATGTAATAAAACTTCACATACCTCTCTGGACACTAATGAGGCTGCACCTAAAGGGGATCAACAAAAGCCTCATTGTTTCTGTGGAGCCAACCTGAGGAGGAAACAAAGCTTTGTGTTCCCTGATCTTATTTCTATAAAGTGACTTTACCTCACGCCCTTCCTGTTTCCCAACCAGCCAAAGAGTTTAAAGGTGTATTAATGTCATTATGTCACTGATCTTATGGCCAGATTGGAGGACAAGAAGCTCCTGACTTGCTCCTACGCAGACTTGAAAAGTTTTTACAAAATTCATTCATTCATTCATTTATATGTGATAATTTAAAAAAACTCAGAAAGACAATACATATTCCATAACTCACCTGCTTTCATTCAAGGATCTCCATCAGAAACACGGTGTCAGACATAGTCCACCTCATCACATTGAATTGCCTTCATATTTTAACAACGTGAGGATAAATGAGGACTATTTTCTTAGACGTCTCTTTATTATTTGCACTTCAGGAAACACTTTGTTTTCAGAATTTCCCCAAAAGGCTCATAAACTCTACAGATGTTTCCTCCCTGCCATTCAGCAAATAGGTGACTGCACATACTGTAGATGCAATATATCTTAACAATGCACCTGCTTTATGGTACCTGTCAAAACCTTTAACCATTCATTGTTTCTATTCTTTATGGATATATTTTTGAAATGTGACCCCTTTTTGTCTGTACAGCTGGCTTATAGTCAGTACTACCTGGCTATGGTGGGTCACGGCCTGTCCATTGTCTCCCTCACCATCTCTCTGATCATCTTCTCCTACTTCAAGTAAGTCGTGTATTGTCAACAGCTCTTCTACAGTCTTTACATATATTTTATGAATATTTCAGGCCATTCTTATCAAACTCTTGGTCATTTCTGGAGCTATTTGTGTCGAACTGAAAATAAGCTTTACTTGTATACAGTTTTAACATTTCCCTCTGTCTTTTTCTGTCCCCCAGGAGTCTCAGCTGCCAAAGAATCTCCCTCCACAAGAACACATTTCTGTCATTCATATTAAATTCCATCGCCTCCATAGCCTGGCTCTCGCTTTATATTGACAACCGAGACATACACGTCAGCAACCCCGTGAGTTACTAAACGTTCTCTCTCTCTCTCTATTGTCTCTTATCTTCTCAGAGTTTTAAGCTTCCTCACACACAATAACAGCTCCTACAAACAATAAATTATATTCTACCTCATTCTGACAGAATTGATGTGATGTTTATTCATTTCTTGCCTGTCAGGTGAGCTGTAAAATCCTAGCTGTGGTTGTTCAGTACACGACCACCTCAAACTGCTTCTGGATGCTGTGTCAGGGCATCTACCTCCACACGCTCATCATCGTGGCTGTGTTTGTGGGGGAACAGCAGCTCTTCTGGTACTACATCCTGGGATGGGGTGAGTCTCAATGGTGGGATTTTTAATTTCATCTTAGTAGATCATAAGTTATGGAGCAGAATGACACAAGAAGGGTAAAAAAGTATCAAAACTCATATCATAAACACCCTTGAAGATGAACTTTAGCGATGAATTTAAGTGAGAAAGTTTTGGTTGACGCTGACCAGAGTTTGGTGTTTGTTTTGTTTGATTTAACTTTTACTGGTCTGACATCCTTTACTTCAATTATTTTATTACCCTTCTTATCTCTAACACTTTATTATTTTTAATGTTGCAGTCAATGTCTTTTTTTATTCTCCTTTATAGATAAGGTTGAGTTAAGTTAAGTGAAAGACTTGTTTGACCTTTTAGCAAACTGAAGCGAAAGTTAATTAGCAGAAACAGCCGTTTCCAAGGCAACCGGTCAATTCCAGTACAGTAAAAACATTGATTTAAAAGTGCACCTGAATGCGTGTGACTTCATGTTAGTTTTGGATGTTCGTGTTGAACTGAGAACATTCATTTTTAGCCTTGAGTCTATACAGAGATGTGTCCCTGAAGCCTGGATGTTCCTGCACTTTAAGTGCGCTTTTATTTCAGCTTTTATTCATGTATCCAGCTAATAGATTCCTCTGAGTCCAAGGCAAACATCTCTTCATCTCTAGACTGCTGCTTAAAAGTTACACTGTGATATTCCTGTAGACTGTGAAGAATTAGGATATCACTCTGACACTGCTGTGTCTCTCTCTCTCTCTCTCTGTCTGAAGGCTTTCCTTTTGTTCCTGCCACCGTGTATGCTGTGGCTCGCGGGCTTTTCTACAATGACAAGTAAGACGCTTTGTGTTTACCCCTCTCTTGTTTTTATGGAGGTGAAGCCTGAGACTAAATTAAGGAAAGGAACAACAAAGTATAATAACTGCAGTGATATAACAACAACAAAGACTTATTTCCATCGCCTGTCTGTCCTGTAACTTTCTTTGTGTTTAGTCACTTTCAGGCTTAAAAGGAAATAAAAGATATTGATTTCCCTCATCTAGGTGTATCAGAGTGAGCCCAGAGTTTGCTGAGTGTTGAATGAATAATTAAGGCTTAATCAAGCTGTTGGGCTTTGGTTTGTCACAGGACATGTGAAGAACTCCAAAAAGTGTTTCACTTTTTTTCCCTGTTTCTTCCAGGTGTTGGATCAGCTCACACACAAGCCTGGTCTATATCATCCATGCCCCCATTCAAGCTGCACTGCTGGTGAGTGAATACATCAGAGTATAGTGACTATTGATAGAGCTATGACAGTACAGTCCTGGAAAGATGCTTTGATTGGAAAAGATAATGATTTGAGCAGCTACAATTACTGCTAAAAAAGCAATCAACTGTCAGAAAATGAAACAGGTGTTTGCGAAAGTATTACAAAAGACCGGAGTGAGGGGTATTTAAAGGGGTATTCAGCTCACATTAAAGGGGTATTCAGCACATAAAAAGGTAAAGGTTATGAAAGCACTACACCAACTGTTTCTGGGCCGTAAAAGTGGTGGGTCAAATCTTGTTTTATCAGTTTTAGCCAAAGCAGAATCGTCTCCATATCACTCCTTTGTGCGCAGCTCTGAAAATCATGCAGCTAAACTCTGTATTTCTGCTGAGAGAGAAATAAAAAGGGTTTGGTCAATTACAGGTGATGCAACACAATGGTAAATATGCCTCACAATATCATATATGATGTAATTTTTTCATTTTCAGCATTTGATATGTTGTCTCTGCACTATTATCACATTATATCTATCATTAGATATCTATTTTAGGTGTAACATGTGAGTTTGTGATTTTTTCTATATGTTTGCTGTTCTCGTAATAAACAGGTTTAAATATTCTGCAGGAAAAGAGGTTGTAGATACTAACTTGCTAGAGATATTTAAGAGTGTCATTACAGTGCCCCCCTCAGGCCAGTTATTGTAATTTCTTTGGATGATATATAAAGAGATGCCCTGTATTTAAAAGTGAAACCCTCCTCTTTTCCAATCTATCTGTCTATCCTCCTTCACTGATACATCCAGGTGAACTTTTTCTTCCTCCTGAATATCGTCCGAGTCCTGATCACCAAACTGAAGGAGACGCACTGCACTGAGTCCACAACCTACATGAAGGCTGTGAGAGCCACCCTCATCCTCATCCCTCTGCTAGGAATCCAGTACATCCTCTTCCCCTGTACACCTGAAGGACACATCAACCGGGCCATTTATGACTTCTTTATAAGCATTGTCAGCCATTTTCAGGTACGGTTGACAATCAATTTCACTTTAGAGTTCAAACAAAAAAGCACAAAACTAGGAGTAACATTTAAAACTTATTTTACATAAAAATTTGGAGGTTTTTCCTCATGGATATTTTCATATAAAAACTTTCTTAGCATAGCGCAAGTTGTTTTGCACGAAGGGTTAGGGGTTCCCTTGCAGAAAAAAAGAACCCTGTTTGTGTCCATACTTTTGAAATCAGTTTGATAAGGATGAACATTAATTATTCAGCCCATATTCTTACAGACATCTGTTTCCTTATTAATAATTCATCCATGTCCTGTTGTTTTGCAGGGGCTCCTGGTGGCCATTTTATTCTGTTTCTGCAATTCTGAGGTACGTTTCAACCCAGAAAGGTCATATCTTAAAAACAGTCTTATCATAAGCTGTCTAGGTGTTTTTCTTTTTTTATATTGTTGCTTTTGGAAAGCAGTGTATATAACAGAACACGAAGGAAAGGAAGCTTTATTTTCTCTGCAGTCACAAAGATGTTGGAGCTAGATACACAGGCAGGAGATACAGTTAAGCACGTCTAGGAGATACATCAGAAAGTAGATGTGAGAAAGAAAGTGTATGTATGATAGTGCATGATAGTGTGCCATGTATAATTAACACCATTTATGATCAGTCTCAAACTGGTCTAAAGTGAAATTTCTCTTGACTTTCATTGTTGACATCCAGGCGCAGACAGCCCTGAAGAGGAAGTGGGTTCAGTGGAAATCTGCCTGGGATAAAACCGGCTGGGGTGAAACACCGATAACCAACAGCCATTTTAGCTACCATCACAACTCCTCCATCACAGAAACCAGCCGCACCAACTTCAGCCTGGAGCTACCTGCTGCTGCCGCATTTACAAAACACGAAACCAACAACTCTGTGCCCAAAGAGCAGCAGAGGAGCAGCGTGACATGCGGCAACTGGGAGGTGGAAAAGCTCGACAAGCTGGAGACCTCTGACATCTGAGGGAGAGAGAGCATAGAGGTGATGGTTGACGTGCCAAACACACACATTCTCACTGACGTGTACATACAGGAAGGTAGAAGGAGAGTGTGAAGGTGAACTTTCAGAACAAAGGTTGACTAAGGAGGGCAGTGTATGTAAAGTTTGTACAAAGACCTGAAAGCACTTAAATAACCTGCTGTTCGCACACATACACACATTTTTACTGTTACATAAACACTGGGTGTCATCCTGCCATTGTAGTGGCATAATGGTCTTTGTGAACATGTGTTTTGTCAAAGATATAGTGTTTCTGTAATTTATTTGTTTGAAAATCAAAGACCCAAACCTGTAATTTGATACCCTGAATGCAGGGCTACATATTTCTGCCCGATGTATCCTCTGTGTCTTCGCCTTATACCACTGTGACCAATGAATGTTACTGCACAATGATGTGACAGCAGAAAGCCAGCATCCCAAAGTAGGTATAGAATCATTGTATTGACTGTGTATTATCCCCCACTTTAAGGCAGAACCATGGTGAGCAACTGCTTATGACATACCGTAATGATTTTGTTAAAGCTCCTGTGAGTAACTTTAGGTTTATGCCAGTTTTTGTGTGCCATGTGGACAGAGTAATCTTAGTTCATCTTAACTTTCTCTCAAAGCCTGTATCTGCTCAAGCCAAATTAAAAAAAAAAAAAACTAAACTTCTGCATGCTTATGTCACACCCTCTAACAGAAAACCTCCTCCTACTGTCTCTTGACGGTAATATGTGTCATTTCTTGTGAATATTTTATGTAAAAACATTGTCTTCTACAAAAAGAGAGTAGAAAAAATGTTGCACAACATTGTCTAAAGTGACAATCAAAAAATCTGGTAAGTTGAGGTGGGGTAGAGTGATATTGGTCCTGTAAACATGTTACTTCACCTTTGGAAACTTTATCATCATGTTTTATTCCGACAGTCAATAATTCAAAGACAGTTTTTGGTTTCACTTTAGTAGATGTGAGTGCCTTCTATAAGCTCTCATTATTGTTGCCCCCTCCAAAATACAGTGAAGTAATGAATTTAAGATGTATACGAATGAAGACATTAAGAGAGCACTTAAACTTTGAACTTTTCATCATCACAGTCCACATAATCCAAAAGGTTCACTTTTAGAGATATAAACCTGACAGGTGAACTAAGATTTTCAGACCGTCACAGCAGCTGTAAGCAAACTTGTTCTGTGGCGCCATTCTGCCTCACAACCTGTAGAAACCTGAATGGCATATTTACGGCAAGTTTTTCTCATTGATGTGGCTGCATGAAACAACACAGTAAGACCAACTACACTTATTCTTCTATATCAGCTGTGCTTGCACAAATTTTCATTTTACCATAATCAGACCTCATTTGAACTTGGAATGTACTCTGTAGAAAAAAGGGCTCATAAACTCCTGAGTTAATTTGCAATACTTGTAATGAAGTAGGAAACAAGACATCAACATAATGTACATAACCCTAACAGTTCTCCATTCTTTGTCATCCTGGCTGCATGACACCTAAAGTAGATGGAACAAAATTACGTGCTGAACATTGTGTGCTACAACTCTGCTTATTGAAAATGGGAGCGGAGTTTTGAGTACAAGAGAATTACTGGTGCAGAGATAATGGAGCCATGGAGTGCTGCAATCTCAGTCTTTCTCTTTATTCAGTCAGTTTAAAAACAAAAAGCTGGGAGATTTGCAAAAAAATATAATCGCACTGACAAAAGATGGAGCAAAAGTAGGTGAAATAGTGCTTGTGTGGAGTGTGTGCACATGTGGTTTCAGTGAAATGTTCCTCAAACTTTGTTACAAGTAGGAAGACATGCTAGATATTTCAATGATTATCACTGCAACTATGAAAACACAATAAAAAAGGAAAATGTTACATATAACTGTACTTCTTGTATGTGTCTCTCTTGAACATGTTCTTTTTTTCCACTCAGAATAAGAAAATTAAGTGTGTAAATAAATGTTTTGAAGGTTTGCAATGTATTTATCATCATATTGTTCCTATTGCTATGTATTGTTTTGTATTGTTATGATTGTGGCTGTGAAAAATGTGCTGTTTTACTACTTTTGAAGGTTTGTGTCATTATTGTAATTATTCTTAAAAGCACTAACTGCCACTTCAGACATTAATTAACAGTCTTTTTCATCACAATTGTACCACACTGTATGTACACTGGTAGATGATGCTCCCCGAGCCCCAGACTTCGTCAGCGTTTCATTTAGCTAGCCATGTGTATTTGCTTTTAGTTTTTTACAGGGCAAACAAATGTTCAACTCTGTGTATAATGAGGTACACGTATAAATAGAAAACAAATAAGTGCTAAAGAAGAAAATACGATGGGTGATAGAGCCATGTTATCCACTCATGTTGCACTAATGTCCAAAAACCATACTATTTTGCCTATGCTGCCTGAAAAACAGCTTTCAGTCACATATTTATGGATAAATTTGAGAAACATTCCAATAAAATATCAAAAATAATGTTGAAGCCAATATTTTTGTAAATATGTTTTGACACTGCCGTTTATGTGTGGAAATAAAGTTGTTTGAACCTGAAAATGTCAGTGTGCATTGTGAGTCTGAGCACAACAGTTACATTTGGTCTTTATCACAATATTGTACTGAACCTACTACTTACTGCAACTTCCGAGAGTGCACATCTATTTTACATATTTATTTCTAGAAAGTGAAATACTTGCCTTTTTGCATCACTATGTTGGGGCAATCTATACCATGGTTTCTACAAATTAAAATTTAATCTGAACATCTTAAAGTTTGCTCTGTCAGGATATTTTCTGTTATTTTTATATGTTTTTAGGAAGAGTACAGCAGACTAAGATAAGAAATACTCTTAAATGCAGGAATTATGTCTTTCAGAAAGGTATTCATTCTGTGTTTTTGCAGAATTTGTTCCTTCACCCAAATTCGCATAAAACGGAAATAAATGTCAAAGCCACCCGATGGGCTCTATGCACCGATCCACTACTTCCTGAACTTAAGGCTGCTCCTTTATTTCCTGTCTTACAATACTGATTAATCCAGGTCTGTCTGATCAGTCACAATGATCACTCTCAACTGGATTATTCAGTTTGTCCAATAATGTAAATCAGGAAATAAACGTGCTGCCTTTATTTCAGGAAGTAGTGGATCAGTGCATGGCTGTGCTCATTTCCCTAACATCTGTGGTCAGTCCATCAGTTTCATACAGATCAGAAGAAAAGGATGAGGTCCCACCGAGATTTGAACTCGGATCGCTGGATTCAAAGTCCAGAGTGCTAACCATTACACCATGGGACCGGATGGTACCGCCGTCATGGCTCTTCAGAATAGAAAGCTACAGATTAATGCTCTTTTCTTTATTTTCTGTTTGTTGATTAGTAATTTAGTCAAAATTGGCATTTAAAATCATCTTCTCAAAGGCTACTTTTGGCTAACACTAAATACCAGCGTTAGCTCAAGTCAAGTGTTGTGTTAGTAGCCCTGGGAGCTAGCGTCTGTGTAAGACGGAGTGTGAACGCTCTGTCAGCTACATTTAAGGTCTTCGACAGTAAACTGTCTAACTATTACTTCGACTATTCTTTTAAATTAACCAACTGTTTTGTTTGGAAATACTGCAAAATAAAGCTAACTATAAGTGGAATGACGACGTTAAAAAGCCATCGTCTGTGCCGATGATATACCATAATTCTGTCATGTCTGCAAATTCAATTAACATATTTAACGGTAGAAGACTGGAAAAAATTGCGAATTTAGAGGTAAAATGACGCATTTAAATATGGTATGAAAGAGACGGTGTCTTCTCTTGAGAAAAACAAACTGTTGAATACTTTTACTATGCTTCAGATGAAGCATGTAATTACAGATTTCCACATAACATTTTTTTCTTTTTCTTTTTTTTTCTGTTGTTGTTTTGTTTTTTGCAATTCATATTTTCCCAGCTCACAAACATCATCATACACATCATTTACTTGTTTGGAATTTAAAAAACACACGAAGCTGTGGCCTACATTAATAACTTTAGAGGACTATCTAGCCAGAAGCCAATAGAGCCTTGACTCAAAGTACTATTTAGGATTGAATCAGCAACAGAAAAAGTTTCTTCACCAGTAATTTACACATTATTCTGTGACTGTCTTTCTCATTGAGACCAGTTACTCTAACTGACGCTGAGATATAGTAACTATCACTACCACAAGGAGGCAGCAGATAACTTAGCCCTCTATCTATCTATCTATCTATCTATCTATTTGAATTTATTTCACAGATCTATAAAATGATTGGAAATGTATAATATGTTAACATAAGTGAAAAGGTATAAAACAAAAGCAGTACAACAGAAAATGAGGAATATTAAAGAAAATGGAGCTGAATTGCCGCAGGATGACACTTTCAAAATAGGAAGTAGTTACTATGTCTTAAAAAATGCCAAATAAAAAGGCTGAATAGTGAAACAAAGGTATATCTCAGCCAATTACAACATTGTAAAAATTTAGATTTCCATATTTTCTGAACCCATTACATTTCAAGTGAGACATTTCAAGCCATTTTTGTTTTAATTTTGATGTTTATGATTAAGGCTTATAGCACATGAAAATCAGAACTCCAGTATGTAAAATTATGAAAATATTTCTTGAAATCAATAAAGAGAAGATTAAATAAAAATGATATATCCACTTCCTGAAAATGACACTTATTTATACCCTCAAAATTGGATTGTGACTCCTCTTCTTCATAGCAGATAAAACAACCTGGATCTTTTCATGATTACATGATAACATTTTTTATATTTCTTAGAGTCTCTTTCAAGCTTGGCTCGTTTTTTAGCCCCTTTTATTTTGTTTTAATGGCGATGATTGAAGTTGCATTTAATCTATTCAGAAATAAAGTGAGATTAACACGGTCACTGAGCCTCTACATTTCAGTCAAAGATGCGTGAGAGTCCCTCCCTCTCTCTCTATCTCTCTGTGCTTGTATGGCCCATACGGCTCCATCCAGCCGTACTGAACAGAGAGGTACTGTGAGGATACGTTAACCCGATGTCCCACAGCTTTGTCTATACTAACAGCTTAATGCACACACAGCTAGCCCTGCTATCACAATCCCTAACACGTGAGCAGAATATTTCCCACTTGACCCGCCTCTCCTTCAGCCCCATTAAAGATCAGTACACACACACACATACACACAAACACACACACACAAAGATGATTAGGCGCACACATACACAGACGCATATTGGACCAGCTAAGACGGATTGGAGGTAAATCAATGAGGTGTTGGACTTTGGATACAGTAATATGACTGGAATCAATAGAGTAGTACCTCAGGCTGATTATAGAAAATGTGATTGCTGGTTCAACCTATATTCTCCATGTATTTCCTCTGAAAGTAGGTCAGCCACACAAAAAGAAATTAATATTGCATGACTATTCGTTCTCAGTCGCCCTGCTGTGTGATTTATAATATCACACCCTCATCCTAAATACAATCTATCTAGCTTGAACACAGGAGCGAATAATTTTTACCTGAGATGAAAAAACATTTCTTTGTTTTGACAGAACACAGAGGTTTAGCCAGAATGATTAAAGACCTCATGAAATGGAAATATTAAACAGTTTCCAGTTGCTTTATTTGCTTGAAAAATATGCCGTCTTGGAGCTAAACCTATTGAGTTCAAGTGTGAATGTAGCACAATATATGTATGAAAACGCATATAAACCCTCATGAGCAGATACAAGGTCACACAGTCCCGCCCCTGTAATCCCAGTCTGTCTGCTAAATCCTGTTTTAAGGATAATCTCAATTTTTGCCTAATTGTTGTCAACAACAAAGCCCCCTGTCTGCATGGTGGGATAATGTGGATTGTGTACCTGCCACATGCATACGCTTAAGTAACAGAAGTGTATCGGAGTAAACAGTTTACTCTGATTTTGCCCTTTTTTCCTCTTATCTGATATACCTCATAGTCATTTTTTCTGTTTTTTTGGCCCCCTGTGTTTTTAAGTCGCCTATCCACACAAGGAAAATCGAACGTCTGTGTCTAGCAGTGTTTAATGTTCCTGTGCCAAAATCAATAATGTACTGATCATCTAACCCTCTGTTTATTAAGGTGCTTAGGCATTTCTTTACTGGCTCAGGATCTGGAAACAGCAACAGTCACCACTGGTTAGTGGGTCACAGAGAGTCAGCAGATTTCCCCTTTGGCCCAGTTTAGACTCTGTTGACTTTTACATCAGCCTATAGGATATGGTTCATATTGTGGAGGGGAACAGTAGGGTTTGAACCTTTTGTAGAAGACTTTGCCCCTTCCTAGGAGAGTAAAAACAACCATTTGAAAGGGCTACATCTCCTCTTTACCTGTAATCCTTAATACTAGATGATGTTTACTTTTAATAAGATTCATCTGAACTTGTAAAACAAGTTTAGACACCCCTTAAGTGGACCATACCATTTTCACCTTTATGCACACTACAGGCCAAAAGTTTGGAAGCAAGGCCATTACAGGCTGAACAGTTGGGAGTAACTTCAAGTTTTTGTTCACAATGCTTTTTTTAAAATCCAGCATGAGTTGTATATATTTTGGGATGTATTTACTCCATGATCAGATGTTGCTTTCATGGAAATGCACCATTTTACTCCATTTATTAGTATATATTCATTGATCTTATTAGACCATTGCTAAATATTTGTCAGCAAAAGAAAATAAGGGCTTAGTTGCAGGGTCAAAAACATTTGCAAGAGTCACAACTTCAGTGCAAAAGCAAAAAAAAAAAATCACAGTTGAGTTATTCACTTCAACTTTTGGCTTTTGAAAGTCTGCATACAAAAATCCTAATAAATCTCAACTGCGTTCAAACTACCGCAAAAATGGCTAGAAAGAAGCAGCTGAGTAAAGAAACAAAAGTACAGATTTGTACATTGAGGAAAGAAGGTTAGCAGAAAGAGAAAATTGCAAAACGCCTGAAGGTGTCTAACAAAGGAGTCCACTACACTCTGAGGAGACTAGAGGAACCTGGAAGTTATGATGATAGAAAAAGACCTGGACGAATGAGAGTTATGACAAAAGTAAAGGATAAACATATGATTGTCATCAATAAGAGAGATCGACGAAAGACAGCACCAAAAATAAGGGAGGAAATCAACATGACAAGGTCGAAACCCATATTTCTGACAACTGTAAAATGACGTTTGAGAAAGGCTGGTCTGAGGGGTTGTGTATCTGCAAAAAAAACACTACTTCATCCACAGAACAAGAAAAAGAGATATAAGTGGGCAAAAGCTCACAAAAATTGGACTTATGATGACTAGAAACAAGTTTGCACTGTTTGGTTCAAAACGCAGAGTCTATGTCCGCAGACAAACTGGTGAACGTCTGAAAGCACCATGTGTTACACCCACAATTCAGCGTGGAGGTGGTAGTTCCATGATATGGGGATGTTTTGCAGGTGATGGAGTAGATGAGGAGATTTGTCTGAAGTAAAGAGTATCATGAAGAAGGGACAGTACCACTCCATCCTCCAGCATAATGCTGTTCCATCTGGACTCACACTTGTTGGTCA